AAATCTTTTGAAAAACCTATTTGTACTGCATACAGCGCCTTATTTTTCTTCAAGTAGACGTACTGATTGATACTTTTGAAGTTATACTTTTTTTGGCGCGTTTGCGAAAAATTATGACACGCGGACTCCGACCCCCAAAAAGCGACATGATGAAGTTGGTTGGTGGCAAAGCAACCAATAACAACTTTTTGACATTTACCTATAATTCCACTTTATTACCGTTATCAATTGTACTTTACCTATGTCTTTTTCACAAACAAAGTGTACAAAACAATTAAATTTATATTTGAAAGCTTTTATTTCGTTTTTGTCCATTTTGATGTTATCTCTTTCTCGGATGTATGTATATTACCTCCTGGGACTCATTGTTCATATTACTCTTTATTTGATTTTAATACTAACCTGAGGGGTATGTGAGGAAGAAAGAAGTTTTTATCTATGCAAGCTAGAAGTAACTGGTTATATCATACCTTTGAATCACCCTCGTATTACCCGTGAAAACCCGGGCTGTAATTTATTTCATGCCTTCACTTCTGCTTGAATTAGACAAGCTTATGAACCGGTTTAAAGTATTTTTAAGCCGACTTCAAGAAGGAGGAGGATGTTCCCAATTTGGTCGTATGTTTATCTATGTCCAAAATATTCACCCTTGACAAACCCACCAACCGTTACTATTCCGCGTATTACAACAGTTTTGTCTTGTTTTATACACAAGCCAGTACCATGCCAGTACGGAGGATTCAGTTAAGTCAGTCATTCAGTGTAATGTCCTCACTGAAGTGAGACTTACATCAGCCACAATAGATTTGCAGACGTCAAAGTCATCATGGCAGAATCGCTGGAGTATCTTGATACTACACTTAAGTGTCTCCAACGGTGTGTCCTTAAGATGGACAAGGACAATCTGAAGATCATGTTTAATGTCCATTTTACGCCTATACCGATTATGGAGCACTGTGTTTGAAGTTGTTGGCTAGTATGTTTACCCAGGACAGTTAGTCCGGCTAGGTAGGTACAGCTTCGATACAGAGGTCAATCGGCGAATCCAAGTCGGTTGGGCAGCGTTCGGGAAACTTCTGCATATCGTCTTGTTTAATATCCGTCATTGTTTAGAGACTAAAGTCAACAATGTGACTTACTACGTTATATAAATTCCTCAATGAAATAATATTTAAAAAATTATCGATAAAATTCCTTACTTCAATAAACGACAATTTTCGTTTTTTGAAAATACGGGTTGTATTGTAAAACAAAAATATTCTTTTACGAAAACGAAAAATAATTGTTTTATATTTTTTTCATTAATTTGTTTATTTTCCACGTTTTATGAAATAAAAATATAATAATTAAATTGAAAAAATTAAAATGGAAAAAAGATATTTAAATTGTTTATAGTGCTAATCTTTGCACTTAAGACTGAACATTAAAATATGTAGAAAAAGTGCGAAAAGATTGTCGCCGCTGTGGGAATCGAACCCACGTCTTCGGCATTCGCGGTCTGACGCTCTAGCCACTGAGCTAAACGGCTGATTACCACACCGACGAAAATCTTAACGCATTCTTCTACATTGTTTTCTTAGCATTTGAAGCAATGCTTGGCGCCATCTATTGTTATATCCTTTCCAGCATACAAACAACTTCGAATATCGTTTTACAACGATAATTCGAACGAGAGATGTCGCCATTGCTTTTTTAGAAATTTAAATTGTTTATAGTGCTAATCTTTGCACTTAAGATTGAACATTAAAATATGTAGAAAAAGTGCGAAAAGATTGTCGCCGCTGTGGGAATCGAACCCACGTCTTCGGCATTCGCGGCCTGACGCTCTAGCCACTGAGCTAAAAGGCTGATTACCACACCGACATTCCTCTACATTGTTTTCTTAGCATTTGAAGCAAATCTACATATTTTAATGTTCAATCTTAAGTGCAAAGATTAGCACTATAAACAATTTAAATTTCTACGCGTGGTAATCAGCCGTTTAGCTCAGTGGCTAGAGCGTCAGGCCGCGAATGCCGAAGAAGTGGGTTCGATTCCCACAGCGGCGACAATTTTTTCGCACTTTTTCTACATATTTTAATTGAAAAAAGATGTACCACTCAATAAGGATCCAACTTGGGACCACAGGAATTGTTCACCTACCCCGGCCCAACCACTAAAACGCTTAAATTAACTAGCGATCTCATTAAAAGTACTCCGAAAAATTAAATCTAGACGTGAAATCGATGACACCTTCAAGTGCAAAACCTCTTAAATGGTATGGGTTGCCTAAAGTACACAAACCAGACATTCCATTACGCCCTATTGTAAGCCAGATCGACTCACCAACTTACAGACGGGCTCAACATTTAGTACAAATTCTCTCACCGCTGAGAGGACACACAAAGGCATACACAAAGGATTTTTACCATTTTGTTAGTTAGATAAAACAACTGTGTCTTGCTGACAATGAAACAATGGTCAGTTTTGATGTACAGTCTTTATTTACATGCCTACCATTAGAAGACTGCATCTCAATTGTAACAAGGAAGCTAAAAGAGAATAACATGCCGGAAGGATATGCATTACTACTTAAACATTGCCTAACATCCGGCTATTTGCTTTGGAAGGAGGAGTTTTACATACAGATAGATGGTGTAGCAATGGGCTGCCCAGTATCTCCCATTGTCGCTGACATATTTATGGAAGACTTTGAGGAGTCGGCCCTTCGCATACCTCCCATTTATCCAAGGTTTTATAAGAGGTATGTAGATGACACGTTCACCATTTTACCAACAAGTAAGGTTAATGTATTTCTAAATCACCTTAACTGAGTAAATTCCAAAATACAGTTTACTATGGAGTTAGAGAACAATAACTCTTTAGCTTTCTTAGATGTTTTGGTCTTCCGCAATCCAAATAACACTGTAAGCCATACTGTGTATAGGAAGGCAACCCATACAAATAGAGACCTAAACGGTGACTCTCACCACCATCCATCCCAGTTAGCTACCGTGGGTAAATCTTTGTTTCAGAGAGCACAAGGGATCTGTGACAAACAACACCTGGCCGCTGAGCTTCAACATGTCAAGCAAGTTCTGCATGACAACAAGCTTCGAGCACCGCGCCTACGTCACAGTGACCGAGTGAAACCAGCCACAGTGGAGCGAGTACCTGCTGTTCTACCATACGTCAGAAGAGTCACCGACAAGATTGGCTATATCTTAAAGCGGGCTCCAATTAATAAATTCTACAAGCCGCTGAAGAAGATTAGTCAGTTTTCTGATCTGTCAAGTTTAATATGCAAGATCCAGGAGTGTAAAACTTGACTGTGAATGTGGGCACTCTTCCATAGGACAAACGAAAAGAGCAATAAAAACCCCCGTGAAAGAACATATAGCTGACATAATAGACTTAACAAGTTTGTGAGCACACCTTAAATCGGCCCAGCATCAGGTTTGATAGACCGGAGATCCTTGCAAAAGAACACCGATTCCTCCCAAGGAATATTCGCGAGGCTATTGAAATTTAAAAAAAAACACCCTAATTTCAATAGAGAAGAGGGTTGGGTGCTACCATCAGCTTGGGATCCTGTCATAAATAAATTTAAATCTAGGCCCAAACGAACCACTTCTGCAAGAAAAGATACAATTAGCTCCCTCTGCATAGATCGGACACAAAATTAATAATTAAACAACTGACGGTAGCCCGGGTCTAACGCCTAACGCCTCAGTCTATCCCGTGACTATGAACGCTGTAAAGGGTTCGAAACGTCGTGAATTAAAATTAAAAGTAAACGCGATAAATCCGTAAAATTAGTTTAATTTAGGTGTAATTGCGTAAATACAATAAATTATCACTGTTGCTTGGTCCTACCACAGTTAAAAGATCTTTCGATCGCATATTTTCAGAACACGGTAGCGAAGTGGAAATACATTCTGCTTTCGTCTGGTGAGGCAGCCAGGGCCCATTTTAATAAAAGGTGGCAATGCGTCTGCAACCCTAGGTGTTGCTCACTTGCCACCTTCTCATAAAAAAAAAACTTCGTAGATTTATACATACTAGTAAAATTTGCCACTGTCAAGAACACGAGCTTCTTTAAAAGATATCCGAGTTTTTGAAGGTACCGTGAAGATGTAAAACTATATTCTTATAGTGGTAAAACCAAATAAAACTACAATTTTTTAATTTTAGCGTTTTGTATTACAAATAAATAGGCTACAAATTATTATTACATATTTATTTTCACATATGTTAAGATGTCAGTGATGGATACACAGAGTTGAAAGATCACAAAAATATCCATAATCTTTTCTCTGTTTCTTTGGCGAGAATCATGTAAAAATAATTTCATTGAATTTATTACGTAGAGAAATATCATAAGAGAAATATCGTAATAAAGTACTTAATAATGTTATTCGTTTAATATTTACAATTTGTACCAATATAAAATATGGCACTGAAAATATATAATATGATGTAAATCAAATTTATATGCTATTAGAAAGGAGCCTCCAAAACAACTAGATTTAACTTAAGCAAAGCCTTACTTTATGCTAAGTACGAAAAATGCAAAAATTAAATGCTGGTTTATAAGTACAAAGGATCATAGAATGATTAATTACATTAATAATAATGACAATTGTCAAGCTTACGAAAGAGATGATTCTTGTGACAGAATTTTTTCAAGAAAAAAATAAAAGATTAGTATCATTATAACCTAAGAAATAAGTGCTTAACAAATTCTACACACACAAAATATATTTGCTTTAAATATCCTTGCAATAAAATTGATAGCTAAAATAGACACGAAATGTAAGTATGAGAATATAACACACACAATAAAATATAAAATATATATTTAAAATCATTTCGTCACAAAATTTTATATTGTACTAGGTTAGGAGATTTTGTTGTTTTATTTGATTTGGGTGTTTAAAATGGAGACCTTATGAAACTAGAGATGATAGGTTCATGCCAGTGAGCGCGTTGAGCCGGTGGCCGGTGCTTTAGGGGGTCTATCTGAAGTTGGCCGGCCTACTGGGCCCTTCGGTCGGCTCCAGCACGATCCTCTTGAAGCAGCCCTCCGGCAGCTGGTCCAGGATGCCCTTGATGTTGTCCACCTCCGTGCGCAGGTGGTCGTGCTCGTCCTGGTAGTTTTTCATCCACCTGCGGAAACGGATTGCGATATAACGCCCGAACGCCACTAATTTCACGTGCGTTGAGCGTGTAGCGGGCGCGCGAGTGGACTCGCACGTTCAAACGCGCCCCCGTAAGATATAGAGGTATAAAGATATAGAAGTATAAAAATATAGAGGTATAAAGATATAGAAGTATAAAAATATAGAGGTATAAAAATATAGAGGTATAAAGATATAGAGGTATAAATATATAGAGGTATAAAAATATAGAGGTGTAAAGAAATAGAGGTATAAAAATATAGAGGTATCTCATTACCTCTGTAATATAAAAAATCTCTCTGTAGTATAAAACTTCACATTACCTCTGGTGATTGTTCTTCGCATCCGTCAAGGACTTTATCTTTCCATCCAAGTCCACTTTCCGTAGGTCGCTCTCCGCTTTATCCAGGCTCTCCTCTGAAAGTGTTGGATTACATATTAACTGTCGTGATGCAAGACAGACCGATAGCTCCGGGGCGCAGTTGCCAAGGTACTGGCTTCGGAGGCGGGGATCGTGGGTTCGATTTCCACACGATACAACTATACATACAGAGGACAGTTGTTTCGGATCTGGGTGCCTGCTCACGTGAAATGTATGTATTTAAAACGTCCTTGCAAATATACATATATATATATATATATATTTATATATTAATATCCCGGAGAGGGATAATGGTTACGAAGGGAGGGACCACAAGAGATTTCTAGGCCGAAGTGGTCGTAGGGTCATACTGACCAACCCCTTCCAAACAAAATACAATATAGACGGGTCAGCACAAGGACCGGTAACAATACTGCACGGCGTTTAAAATTTGATCCGCTTTACATTATATGACAAAGTGAATGCGACAGATAATATAGAACTTGGGATACGGAAAGAGATAGCAGTGTATAGAACTGCAATCTGCATCGATTGGTGTAATTAGACTGCAATTATATAAACTGTTAACTGCGTAAGTGCCACGCAACAGTGTTTGCTATTGCACGAATGGGCAGGTCCGTCCGTGTAAGTACCACGACCTCACAGAAGTGAGGAAGAAGTAAGTAGAAGTAGTAGAAGTAAGTAGAAGAAGTAAGTACACTTCTGCGTTTCGTTTGGTGAGTGAGGTAGCAGGGGCTCACTTTATTGAAAGGTGGCAACGCATATGCAAAGCTACGGGTGTTGCAAATGTCCACCCTGCGGCGGTTATCACAACGTCAGGTGAACCGCCAGCTCGTTTGTTGTCAAATAAAAAAAAAACTTGAGTGCCTCAGTTTCGGAGGGCTAATGTCATATCTACTTCGTACTTGTTTATAATATCACTGCGGTCAGCTGGTGAGATAAAATGATCTTACGCAGTCTGTCCAATGCTTGATCGTCCAGCGTTGGTAGGTTCTGCAATTCGTCCATTATCACCTTAAGGTCCTCCAGACCTTTAGAGACTTGTTTCTCAGCCTCCCTCGCGTCAGTGTTTGCTTGTCCGACCTTTATTTATGAACAAAATGCTACCATTAAAAAACTTAACGTAGAAATTTAATTAAAATTGTAAAAGAAAAATTAATTGAGTCAAAATCGCTATTAAAAATTTAGTGTGGGTGTTAGTATTAAGCATATTGACAATGATTTAGGGGGAAAATAGAATGAAATTTAAACACAGTTAATTTAAAAAAATACAATTAAATAATATATATATCACATGCTCGGCGTTATAGGAAAATATCGTGAAGTGAATATATTTAAGAAATAACTAAATAAATCTTTAATAATAGGAAAATTCCTTTACTCAGCAGTGGGTCATATGATATACATGATGTTGACATGTATTTTTTACAGGTGTAATGGATCGATGATAAAACAGGCATGAGAATTGTAACTGTCATGAACTACCTTGTTACTTCTACAAGGATGATCAAATTATTAAAGACTAGCTGCTGCCCGCGACTACGTCTGCGTAAAATAGGCTGAAGTCGTAACACTCAGACAGAAAGACACATATACATTAAATATGTATATAAATTATAGCCTCTGTCTTATTTTGATGTATAAGCTAAATTATTGTATGGTTTCATTAAAATCCATTTAGTAGTATTTGCGTGAAAGAGTAACAAACATCCATCCATACATACAAACTTTCGCCTTTATAATATTAGTAAGGATTTAGTATCCTGACGCTCGGTTTCTGAAACACTGATCATCGTAGAAGTCAACTAATCAGTTGTCAAATGACTTCTCAAATGTTATTTGAGTTGCCAAAAGGATTGTTAAACTCTCTGAATTGATCATTCTGATCAGTGTTCCAGAAACCGGGCGTGATCAACGTAGAAATTAACTAATCTGTTGTCGAATGGCTTGTTAAATGTCATTTGAGTTGCCAAAGAGGACGCTTAAATACTTTGATATCAAGTCAATTTTATTAAAGGAAAAACGAATTTGATTTGAAATCAAAGTAGTAAAGCACCCTTTTGGCCACCCAAATGACATTTAAAAAGCCATTTGACAACTGATTAGTTAATATCTACGTTGATCGGTCTTACGGAAACCGGACGATAGTTTAGTATACAGCGTGTCGTTACCATCGCGACAATAAATGAACACACATCTAACGCTACTTGCCAATAATCATAAAAAAATATTAACGTTAAACAAAATCCATAATTAAAAGAAATATTTTTCAAACAAACTAATTAAGTAAAAAAGAAACAAAATTTGTAACATCCTATACAACTCGCGCCATAGCGTCGCATTACAAGCCTCTCTTTCTAACAGTATGTTTTGTCTCTTTTAAATTCATTCAACCCATTCATATGCTTTGTGACCTTTACAAATGAACTTTACGTTACGCTTTTATAGGTAAGGGCGTTCTAAAATTCTTTGTTTTGGAAAATTTAATAACTCTGTGAATATTGATGTTTAAAGAATTTAAATGTTTAATACAACTTTAAAAAGTTATCCCCTATATGTGTGTTCATTTATTGTCGCGATGGTAACGACACGCTGTATGTATGTAGTTTATTTTGAGAGCGCGTGTTGTTTTACCTTCATTTTAGCGTCGCGAGTCAGTTGCATATTCTCGTTGGCCTGTTTCTCGCGATCCTCTATCTGTTTCGCGGTCCCCTTCACGCGGGCTGTGGGCGAAATATTTTTGCCCATATAATATAAACAATAATGAGCAGAATATTTAATAAATACAATTAATTATAATACTTCTGTTTAATTCATTATTCTGTTTAATACAGGATAATGAATTAAACAGAATATTTGATTATACGGAATATTAAGCAGAATATTCTGCCTGTTTATCATACATTATATTAAGCAACATATTTCTTTTTATAATGTATTGTATTAATTTATAATGTATTGAATGTAAATGTACAAGTAAATTTTCTATTTAGTACCTCGTAAACTTCCAGTGCAGTGCTTGTAAAATACGTATGCATATACACATGCATACGTATTTTACATTTTATAATTTTATTGGTCTTTGTGTAATATTCTTAATATTCTTAAAGGACTGCAACAGGTACTTGAGAATTGTTTTTATATCTCTATATATAAAATTTAAGGAGATATATCTATCTTTATAACATACAAAAAATGACTTCCGTATTTTTGTGTCCATCTTTATATACTTTTTGTTCTGAAGTGCCAAAGGCAACGAAAAAAAAGTACAGCGAGGCCCGGCCGGGTTCAGCTAGTAAATATATAAAAATTTAGCTTTTGTATGTTTGTATAGACAAAACTCAAAAACCATAACTGTTTGTTCGCAGCATTAATTAAAATTCCAACGGAATTGGCCGGTTTCAGATAGATGATAAAAATTCGAGGTCGTTTCGAGATTATTTAGGCGGACATCACCGACACCAGATAGGTGACAACTCGGTTACCAACACTTACAAGTCCTGGGCTCCGGATACCTCGCAACGAAACGCAAAAGTTGTATGAATATCTCTTGATGAAATAAACCTGAGAGTATATGCCAACTTTGAGCTGATCCACTCAGGCAAGTAATAATACTTGCCTGATAATATATATTATTATATTACTATTGATAATAAAAAATTATTAGCATTTAATTTAATTAAAAAAAAAACACATGAAAATATTAAATTATTGAGTTACATTTACGTATCGCTTACACAATGAAATACGTTACGTCTATTATCTGAATCACATTCAACTGTTCACTCCCTTCCGTTGTATTCTATTACATAACTTGCGCTCACGTAATTATCAATGTTGCATAAAGAATTTCTATGATATTGTACACATACTTGACAGTTTATCGGCCTCGTCTCTCAATTTCCCCGCCTCGATGCGTGACGTTGAAGCCTTTTTCCTTATCTCGTGCGCGGCCTGCAACACAGATGTAAAGCAATTAATTGCAATGCAAAAAATATCCCAATAATTGTTCAAATAATTTATTCTACACCTGTTCGAGACACTTTACTCTAGGTCACAGGACAGACTTGAAAGAAAAATAATCGGTACGGTATCTAATAAAAAAAAAATTATGTGTCTTATTATGAACGCACGCAACAAGTTATACTTCTTTAGCACAATATCTAAAATCTGCATTCTGTACTCTTTGTGGAATGGACATCGAATGCAATCGATAAAGGTTTAATTAAATGACTTCCTTGGTATTAAAGGTACCTAAAGGTCGAAAAGTTGTTATAGGTTGCCATGGCAATACCGTGAAGTTGATCGCTTTGCAGCCTTCATCATGTCGCTTTTTTGGTGTCTTGTATAAAAAATTCACTTTCATATTTTTTTCCAAATGCGTCAAAAGAAGTATAACTTAAAGAAAATACTCAATTCAATAAAGGAGTTTTCATTTAACTATGGGCACTATTTGCTTAAATGCAGAAAAATCATTAACTATTATTTAAATTTATGCTCGAAAAATTTAACGTAATTCATATTTCTTTTTAACAATACAATAAAATGACAAGTCCAATTACCATCCGATAGGCAAGCGTGCATTTTTAAAGAACGTTTATTAGAGTACATATTTAAAGAATATAATTATAATGAAAACAATGAAATCCTTGCCTCCATGCGTGCCTATACAGATGTCAGTGATTATTCGTTAGACCATAGGTACGATTAAAAAAATTATATTATATTTCAAGCGGCTGAGCTATATAAAAATGAATTGTTTATTGCATATATCTCGGTTTTAATTGCAAATACGTCAAAGATTATTCAGGTCAATAGTATAGAAGTTTTAATCTCCACTTTGAAACTTTTTTGCATATATTTTTACATTTTTCAGATATTTTCAATAAAGTAATTTCAATAAAGTAATTTCTAAATTTTAACTGTTTTCTAACCTCTAAATGAAATTCATTATTTCGTTAACTACAATAAATCCTTTAAATGTATGCTAAAATGAACTTCCATTCAAAAATGCAAGTTTACCTCTGTAATTCGAATCTGTTATAATTTTTTTATGATGTTTTTGTGCTTCTTTTTACTTTTTTATGACGCAACCCGGTTTGAGATCACATTAGAGGTGGCACTTAAAAAAAACTAAATAAAACATTTTTTTCGTTTTTATTTGTAGTGTTATTTTTAGTTATCTGTAATATGAAAAATGTATGAGTACAGCAATACGTCCCTCCTCGATACAGGCTTGCCTAGTGAGGAGACAACAGAACGTTTATACATCAAAAAGTGTCAGCAAATTGTACTTAAGGAAAGTTTTGTATATGCTACTAGGTGGCCCGCGCTACTTCGTCTACTCCAATTCTCCCGGCCATCTATCGGATACTTACTCAATCCAGTCGATAAATTTATCTTACATCGCGATCTGTTAATCTTATGGGACTCACAGATAGTTCTTTGTCATGTAACATTTAATTTACAATAACAAATATTGAGATGAACAATTGAGATAAAAACTACCCCTATCGACCAAGTTGGACCAAATTACAAATGCTTACAAAATTTAATAAAAATTGGTTCAGCAGTTTCGGAGTTTATCGCTAACATACATCGTGACACGAAATTTTTGTACATATAGATTTACAACTAGTTATTGCTTTTACCAATTTGTAGTGATTTTGTTGTAAACAAATGTTTTTTCAGTTTCAGAAAAATGTGCTCGCAGTACCTCCGACGCCTTGTCAGCGTACTCCTTCTGCGCCTTCTGGGCCAGATCCCGGGCGTCCTTGGCCTTGTCGCTGGCCGTGTTCAGCTCCTCGATGATGCTGGAGATGCTCCTCTCCGCGGCCGCCACCTTCTCCTGCACCCCCGGCACGTCCAGGGCCGCCTGCTCCGCCAGCTGGCGGGACTCCGCCACCTGATCGCTGAACTCTGGACGGGGGGGGGCAAACAGAACGTATTCGCTATGGACACAGACAAAGGTGTCTTAATAAATAAAAATGAATGTTGGTAAGCGCATAACTCAGGAATGGCTTGACTAATTCGGCTAATTTATTATATTTTTCCTTAAGTTTCCACGGAAGGTTTTAATGTATTATACACTCAAATAGATTTTTTTTTATTATTTACAAAATATGCAGGTTTCACTCGCGGTGTTTTCCTTCAGTGCTGAGCTCGTGATAAATCAAATATAAACATAATTTAATATAGTAATCTGTGATAATCAGCAATTAATCCTAGATACCATTTTTTTGCAATTATTTAATTAGAAATACTATTTTATATGTCTCAATTTTAGTTTGTTACGTAAAACGTATGCTGGTAATAGTCGTGTACACAATGGATAATTTATTTGTGTGACCCACGGGTTATTCCGTTTCAAGTGTAAGTCCCTCCCAAATGTGTTTCCTCATTATCCCACAGGGCGGATATTTTTCTTTAAGGAGTTGAAATTACCGAATATATAAACATACTAGATTTTCGCCCGCGGCTTCGATCGCGTTATCGAAATAAATATCTTTCAACCCTATACAACACTCTTTTCCAATTAAAAAATAGCCTATGCCCTTTATCAGGCTCTAGACTATATGTGTACCGAATTTCTACCGAATTTCATTTAAATCGGTTCAGTAGTTTTGGAGCGAAAGCGAGACAGACAGACAGACACAAGTTATTTTCTCATTTATAATATTAGTATGGATTACATTACCTTTAAGCGTTTTATATATTTCGTTGGCGTCCTTCAGCGTCGCTTTAGTCAGTTCGACGTCGTTCCTCGCCTGCGCTTGTAGTTCGTCGAGTTTCGCCAGTAGATCATTGAGCTCGTCCTGCCTGTCGTGGCCCTGGTCCAAAAGGTCCCTCCCCTTGCGGATGGCCTCGTCCAGGTTGTTCAGCGTCTCCTCGTTGCCGCTCATCAGCTGTTCCAGTTCGGCCGCCTTTTCGTCGACCTGGGGATTTAACGATGAATTACGTGATAGAATTAGATGAATTCGTTTAGACAATATAAATATTGTGTTTTGATGTAATCGTGTACACTACTTATAAGATTCTGTTACGGGGTGGAGGGTTGACTACTTGAAACACAGGATTCCTAGCCCTAGTTCAAGTGTCAATCCACCATAATCTATTATTGTGTTCTTAATATATTTTTGTATCGTATTTTATAATTTATCATTAGTTTAGCCACTTTTGCTGATTATGGTGGGGAATAAATGATTATAAAGGCCCATTTACACGGTGCAAGTTTCTTGCCTGTTGTATACAATTAAATTGAAGCAATAAATGAGTTGCATGGTCTAAACAGCACATAACATTCTTGCCTGTTGAACAAGACTTGCTTCAAGTTTTGTTTCAAAACTTTCCTTGGTGTAAACAGCACATACAATAATTTCTTAAGCAATTCTTGCATTCAATTTTCTCTCTTCATTTGCAAACATGAGTGCGATGAGTGAGGGTATTTAATCGTTGCTGTTCTTTTGAGGATAGAAATATTGAGAAAAGGTCGTAAAAAAAGTTGGACAAAAAAATAAATAATAATATATGGATAATAATAAATAAATCTCAATAGAAATATATTAAATCGGCATAATCTAACTTGAACACTTATTATTGACCCATTTTTTTTAAATAAACAACCCTTTTCCAAACGCTCAACACTTGAATGAAATATTTGTCAACGCAAATACGTGCAATACTTGAAGCAACAGGCCAATAAATTGTACACGCACATACAAGCATGTGTTTAGACAAGTCAAAACTTGAAAGCAAATGTAAATGGGCCTTTATTATTGAATTGAATTGACGATGCAACACATGTACAATTCACAAACGTTATTACATTTATTGCATTGTTATTAATCGTGATGACGTTGTTAGCGACGACTGTGGTTGTTATCAATAAAGGTGAAGTTTTGGTCGAGTTCTTTCCCGAGTTTCATGCGTTAACTATAAAGGCTCATTTACACGGTGCAAGTTTCTTGCCTGTTATATACAATTAAATTGAAGCAATAAATGAGTTGCATTGTCTAAACAGCACATAATATTCTTGACTGTTGAACAAGACTTGCTTCAAGTTTTGTTTCAAAACTTTCCTTAGTGTAAACAGCACACACAATAATTTCTTAAGCAATTCTTGTATTCAATTGCATTCTCTCTTCCTTTGCAAAAATTAGTGCAATGAGTGAGGGTATTTAATCGTTGATGTTCTTTTGAGGATAGAATTATTGAGAAAAGGTCGTAAAAAAAGTTGGATAAAAATATGAATAATAATATATGGATCATAATAAATAAATCTCAATGAAATATATTTAATCGGCATAATCTAACTTGAACACTTATTATTGAGCCATTTTAAAAAAAAACAGCCCTTTGTAAAACGTTCAACACTTGCATGAAAAATTTGTCAACGCAAATACGTGCAATAATTGAAGCAACATGCCAATAAATTGTACACGCACATACAAGCATGTGTTTAGACAAGTCAAAACTTGAAAGCAATAATCGCCTAAACATAATTGCATTGGTGTAAACAAAAGACATTTGCAATTATTTCTTGTCAAGACTTGCATACCATAATCGCATTCAATTTTTTTTACTATATCTGCGTGTAAACTGTTGCTTACAATTCTTGATGGTCAATTATTGCGTGCAATTTATTGCATTCAATTATTGCTCTTGTATGTACAAGAAAATGGCATCGTGTAAATGGGCCTTAAGTATGTTCAATGACATATTTATGCGTGACGTTGACATACTTTTTTCTTGTAGATAAATATGTTTTATAGAAAATATACAAATAATGTTTCCATACAAATAATCTAGCTTACAGGTAAACTATTCACTATGCCAATATGTATATTTCTTATGTACTCCAATACGCCCGGACCGATTTTGACGAAGTTTTGAAATATTAAATGAAATTTTCAGGTAATCGTCAGATTAACATAGCGGTCGGTTATCAATTTTGAAGTGATCGGATCAAAAATATTTTCTGTTTGTTCAATTATTGCCACCCGAGAAGCCGAGACGTGGTTTGACAATTTACTAACCGTCCTATTCATCTCCGTAGAGTCGTGTCGCAGCTTGCTGAGCTTTATATCGGGCAGCAGAGTCGTGTTGACCTCCGCGTAGAGGCCCAGGGCGTCGTCGTACACCGACTTCGCCCTCGTCAGGGCCTGCTCTGCCAGCTCCACCATGCTGCTCAGCTTGCCCGATGCGGCGTTCAGCTCATTCGCGAGGATCTGCAGTTCGTTGCTGTAAACGATCGAAACTTTTAATAGGACACGCTGTATTTTGGGGTCTTAATTTTATTTAGCACACGCTGTATTTTCATAGCGACTTTGTCTTGATTCTTCTTCTTGATTTCTTATAAAAATACCGCATCGCGTCGGGGCCGTGGTTACACGCTGGAAATGCCGAGGTTTAGACTAGCTAAAACCAGGAAATCGCTTCTTGCTAGATGTATTATATGATAGAATAGGTGACATCCACAAACAATTAAGTGAAAATAATTTCGAACTTTTTGTGAAACCTACCCTTAATGGAAAGGGCCTATTATAATGTCGAGGAATACATTGAGGACAAGGATGTGTGGAAATGACTCTTGCTCTGCACTTGCAAGTCCCGTGGCTAATGTTATACTTAAATACTTTTGTGTATATACATAAATAATTGAAAGAAAAAAATAATACATATATGACCGCAGGGTTTCTTGCCGGTTCTTCCCTGACAGGTCTAGTCAGTGAACCGGTGGTAGTTTTTGACGTTCATTAAGAGCTTAAATTAGCTTATGTTGAATAAAGAAATTTTGACTATAATATAAATATTGCCGCAAAGGCTATCACAATCATCTTAACGTCGAACTGAATCGGTTGGAAACGGCGCTCATACCACAGTTGAAGTTTCATCTATAGCAGCCCACGCCCGGTTCCTATAACAAAACTAGGGGTTTTCCTTACGAGCCGGAAACCTACGGAAAGTGAGTTACTAGCGGCCGTCGGTTGGACACGGGAGTCGGGCACTAGTGATGTACCTGATGTTCGCCTGCTTGTTTATCCCGTCCTTCGCGATCCTGTTCGCGTGCAGGGACGTGTTGAACGCCTTCTCGGCGATCTCCCGAATGTTCCTCGCCTCCGTCTCCAGCTTCTCCGCCAGCAGGCGTGACTCCTTCGCCAGGGCGGACATGTCAACCGACTGCTTGCCGAATTGGTCGGACCTGTGGCGGGCCTTGGCGAGGGCCGCCGCCCCTTCACCGTCCAGGTACTCCAGGGCGCTCTGGAAGGGGAGCTGTTCTAGAGCATTCTGTGCTGAGGGCATATTTGAAGTGGCTGCGGTGGGGCCATGCAACAGCTGCAGCAGCTTTTCTGCGATGAGGGCATATTTAAATTATCCGTGGTAGGGCCACGCAAATGGGCGTGCCCGTCCAGTTGAGGTGCAAGTGTCATGGTGATGGGCTTCGTCCTGTGAGCGAGGCAGCCGGGGCCCGCTTTGTGCAAACGTTGGCAACGCATCTGCTACCCAACGGGTGTTGCCAATGCAAGTGCAAGTGTCAAGTCAGTGGGCGGCGGTTATCGCTTAAGGTCAGGTGAAACGCCAGCTCGCTTGCAATCTTCTCACATAAATGAAGTAACACTTCTTTTAGTGCGTTTAGGAAAAGCAATAGCTTAGGTGAATTTTTATGATGCGCGTCACCAACTTCACTGTGTTAAAACGGGAACCAATAGCAACATTTTGACATTTACCTATACATAGTTCGAAATTATTTAAACAAACCCCTTTATCGACTGAATTGTATGTATCATTTTCAAAAACAAAGAGTTTCTTTTGTCCCGCTAAAGGAGTATAACTTCTTACGTGCGTACATAAGTACACACATTTTTTTTAAGTGGGGAAAATTGCAAGCGAGCTGGCGATTCACCTTGTTAGGTTATAACCGCATCCCGTGGACACTTGTAACACCCGCAGGATTTCAGATGTGTTGCCACCTTTTAATACAGCGGGCCCCGGCTACCTCACTCGCTAGACGAGGCGAATTATAACACTTCCACTTCACGCAGGTCTATTATAAGGTCGTGGTACTTCCCCGGACTCAGCAATTCGTGGCCCTACCGGAGGTATTTACTATGTGCACTAGTTAGCTCATATGCATAAATTTCCTTGCGAACAATAACTTTTTATTGAAAACGCTGTGCTTCAAACGCCACAGTTTGACGTTAGCTATTTGAGCGACTGACTTTTAATCGTGACTATTTTTTTTATTTTTTAAAACATTGCCCTTAGCTTAGGATAACATTATCCTGTGTTGTAAGGACGTTTCCACAAACATAAATTTCACGTGGACAAACACCCACCTCCGACAGAATAACTATATGTGGGTCACACAAACAGTTGTGCCGTGTGGGGATCGAACCCACGCCGATGCCGATACATAGGCGACTGGGCCACGGCGCCCTCGGTTCTACGTACGTTGATCTCCTTCTGGGCCGCTTCGATGGTGTCCTCCGCCTTGGAGACGTTGCCCTTGCTCCTGTCCACAGACTCGTTTCCTTCGTAGCACTCGTCCTCAATCTTGTACAGCATGTTCCTGAGGACGCGATACGATTGAAATTGTCATCGGAGCACCCGAAGGGTGCAACGGGACCCCATTACGAAGATTCCGCTGTCTGTCCGTCTGTCACCAGACTGCATCTCATGAGCCGTGATAGTTGGACAGTTGAAATTTTTACAGGTGATGTCATTTGTCTATTGCCACTATAACAACAAATACTAAGAAACAGAATTAAAAAATATTTAAGTGCGGCTCCCATACAACAGACATGATTTTATTGACATTTTTTATAGATTATGGTACGGATCTCTTCGTGCGCGAGCCCGACTCGCACTTGGTTATAGTTTTTAAAATAAAAATAAAAACAATGCCCTATGATTAAAATTGTCATCGAACTACAATTTTTTTTTATAATTTTTTTTAAATGTCCTTATTACTAAGATTACTTTATTACTTATGATATTTTATTGATCAGAATTACTTGATCCCACGATGGAAGGAAGTTTTACAAAAATAAATTTCACGAGACAAACACCCCGAAACGATTATAAGTGGTTCTTACAAATTGGTTTAAAATTACCAACCGTTAGCAGAGCATAGGAACTGTGAGAAGTGAGATATTGGAATTGAATTGGAAACACTTCTGGTCTCCTGATGATAACTACTTGCGGTACCACAGTTGTTCGTGGTACCGCAGCAGGGCGCTCCCAGTTGTTGAATGGGGCGCCGTAAACGCGTGCATCATTGCTAGGGACGTAGATTTATTTTCGTGTTCTCTGAGTGAATTCAAAAAGGCTGCATTGTTAATTTGTAGTGGATATAGTGAACAAGTTTCTTTTTTGTGTTGCATATTGCCCCACTATTGTATTAGGTTAAGCACATGTAATGATAGAGTAAGGTTTTCTAAATGAATAAAAAATTAAAAACCATGTCCGTTTGGTAAAGATTAATCGATTAAATAAATGGCTTCTTTAAAATTATTATTTTTTAACTTATTGATTTAACTATTTGTATTTTCATCGATATCATGGCAGCACTGACCTCACGTCCGCCAGCCTGTCGGCGAGTTCGGCGAGGTTGCTGGTGAGGGTGGACCCTGGCCCGTTGCCGAGCTCGGCCTCAGCCTCCTGGACCAGTCTCTCTATCTCGCCCCTGACGCGCTGCAACTCCTGCTCGAAGTCGGCGTTCTCCACAACCGTCGGCGCCTTCGAGATCTTCGCCAGGATCTGCAATTCATCACCTCGTCGCACAATCGATTTTAACGTCGAACTGTGTTACAGTTTCGACGGCAATCAGAACCTCGCTGGCAACAGGTCCTATATTTTTATTAACAAAAAACAAAACCGACTTCAAACATCACTCACACTTCACATTGCACTGTGTTCATTTCGTATGTGATTTTCATAAGTTCCCAAGTATCTATGGAGCCCAAGATCCAATATCAATGAAATTAATATTCAAATAGAAAAGAGTCACCATAATCGATCCTCTCCGTCGAAAGTAACAAGGATAAAAAAAATAAAGTCGAATTGAGAAGCCACCTTTTTTGAAGTCGATGAGGAAAAAAAATACGCGTTGTAGCTGGATGGCATACCTCGTCCAGTTCCTTGAGTTTTCGCCTGTGCTCGTTCACCGCGTCCAGTACCAGGTTGTAGCAAGGGGGGCAGTCCTCGCACCCCTGGCCGTCGGCCCTACGCTTCTTGTTCTCCATGCATCTGACGATTTCGAACGGTATTGATACTAAATATCGTGTTAACGTTCAGGATTTTTTGATTTACGTACCTTGAATGATTGATGGAAAAAGTCTTTATTACACCAAAAGTTTATACAAAAGCAAACTTAATGCTAAATAAAATAACATTTTCTTCCTGTTAACCTTTGGTGGTTGAGAGCAAGTTGGGGGTAGTAACGGTGACATACAATTAAATAGGTATGTACAATATGATTAATACCTATTTATTATATATATACCTACTATTTATGCTTACGTAATAAATATAATTCAAATAAAATAAAATATCAGTCAATCACACTGTTCTTATAAATTAAATAGTGTTCGGATGCACGCATTTTAAAAACGTCAAACGACGGGGTTTCTCTAATATCGAATGGCAGACTATTGCACAATTTAATCGCTGTACAGGTGAATGAACTGACACAGTAATCCGTGCGACGTTCGGGGGAAATTTAAATAATTATTCCAACCTTTTTTTTATGTGAAAAGTTGCCAAGCGAGGCGACGGTTCACCTGATGTTACGTGAATTCGCCGCCCATCGACATCCGCTACACCCGAGGGTTGCAGATGCGTTGACAACCTTTTGAAAATTGGGCTCCGGCCACCTCACTCACCAGACGAAACGCGAAAGTATTATACTTCCACTTGACGCCGGTCTCCCGTGAGTTCGTGGCACTTAGCCGGACGGGGCTGGCCATTCGTGAAACAGTGAACACTGCTGCGTGGCCCCACCACAGTTACCCTTAGCGGGGTAAGCCTCCAAGGAACCTTTCCGAACCGTTACGACCTGGGAGCCTTCAAGGGGAGAGCATACCGTTCCCCAGACGCATTTGCAAGCCCTCGGGTGTTCCGGGTGTCTATGGGCGGGTGTCACTTGCCATCAGGTGTGGCCCCTGCTCATTTGCAAATTTTCTCCACATAAAAGGAAATCGCATGAGTGGCTACCTGTCGCAGCGGCGCCCCTCGACGTTCTCCTGGCAAGAGCACTGGCCCACCAGGTCGCACTGGTAGTTGGTGCTGCCCCACTCATCGCAGTCACAGTCGCGGCACCCCACGCCCGAGAAGCCGTAGTGGTACGCGCGGCAGCGGTCGCAGTGCCTCCTGTTCCGACACATTCCACGCGTCTATTAGTCTGTTTATACATTTACTAGCTTCCACCCGTGGCTTCGGTCGCGTTGGATGAATATCTGTTTTTTTTTTCTTAATAAAAATACTCCTACGTCCCTTGTAGTGCCTCATAGAATGTGCACAGGCAGGTTCATGGCAATCGGTTGAGTGGTTTTGGCGCGAAAGCGTTCTTAACAACAAACAAACTTACGTTCACATTTATAACATTAAGTGGAGATTTGTTTCTTTCTTTTATGAACAAAGACAAACTAGCTGGCGGTTCACTAGGATTGTCACATTTTTATAAAGTGTAACGCAGAAGAGTAACTTCAACTTCACCTTAGCCGGAGGGACCTGCACATTCGTGCAACAACCAACACTGTTGCATGGCCATACCACAGTTTGCCCACCACAGTATTGTATATGTAGGTACAAAGCGGGCTCAATAACATCACATTGGGATTATCGAGCAGTCGATTTTAGTACACCATTTATAAGAATATATAACACCATATTTGTAATATACCAAATCAAGTGGATCTTCTTCGAAGAAGGCAAGGCGGAAATAGAAGGTTCGCGTAGTTTTGACTAGTTGGTTTCGTGCTAAATTCAGTGCCGTATGATAATGTAATAATTTGTAAAGTATTGAGATGTTCATCAATCAATGAATGGTATTAAAAAACATCAAGAATAATAATTCAGTTCCAACTGTACTACAATAAAGTACTATTGCACTCTTTTCATGTATTTTATACAGCGGTGGCTCAAAATAAAAAATCTCCTTTCGCATTAGTTTTACAATTTACAAACCCTTGTTGACTTTTGAAGAAAATTCGATTATGTATGAATAATAATAAATAGTTAGTACAATTATTGATACTAACCCATCGATACCAGGTTTACAGTAACATTGGCCAGACACTGGGTTACATGTGGCGTTATAGGAACCTTCCAGATTGCACTGGCATGGGATACAGCCCTCTCCGGAGTCGATGTTATAATAGCCATCCTTAAAAGGAAAATAAATAAATAAATGTTTCTGCACATATCTTTACACAACATTATTTAGTCACGAGTAACTGATAAACAAACTTAAACCTAATTTTCACCTGTAAATAAATATATATTATAGATATATGAACACCTAGACATTACAAAAACACCATGCTCATCACAGAATATCTTTCCAGTAGTAGGGATTGAATCCACAACCTCTGACGTAAGATATAGATCTACTATTCACTACGCCAATCGTCAAATGATAATGGAAAACAGGGGATTTGTATTTTAAATCAATTTTCAGGAAATTAACGTCAGAGTTTTATGTTAGCACCCTTTATACTCTTGAGTTTATATTTAGCTACAACTATTTTTTTTTATTAGTCAAGTTCAATTTTATCAAAAGTCTCTATGAATGGACTTGGGAATTTAATAAATTTAATTTTAATAAAATTGTTAAGAGGCACCTCTCAACGAAGCTTAATCTTTCTTCCTAATTATAGGGGTATTTATATATTTTGAAAACATCATCGTCATAAAAAAAAAACATCCTGAGGAGACCTATATATATTTGTATGTGAAAATTTATCAAGCGATCAAGCGGTTCACCTGACGTTTTATTAATGTGTGACAACCTCTAAAAATATGGCCCTGGTTTCCTCGCTTACAAGAAAGTTTAATAGTTCCACTTCAAGACTGTCCTCTGTTCGGTCACGGTACTTCCCCGGGCAATCCTGCCAATTCCTGCAACATCAGGAGCTGTTGCGTGGCACTACCACTTCAAACTTGCAAAAAAATATACATTTCGAAGATATGTGAAGGCACCGGTGTCTTGTTTTTGGTATCGTTGGAGATCTTCAAAAGATACCCTGTCATGATATGACTGGGTTCATGTGCGGTTTCTCTCTCTCTTACAAGCTATATATCCCACATGGTGGTGGGGTCGGCTTTCCTTGCTTTTTCTCTCCACTTCGCTCTATCGTCGACATGTTCCTCGGACACTTGACATTCTACCATGTCCCTTAGCACTTCATCTTTCCATCTTTTTTTGGGTCTACCTCTGGATCTTTTTCCAGGCACAGAAAGTTGCAGTGCTAAGTTTCCTACGTAGTTTGGTTCATGTGCGGTTTGTATCCACTAAAACCCCCTCGGTGGACAGCATCTGTACATTTGGAGGGACTCCGGGATCCGCTACGGAACGCACGGGTGTCCCTCAGTACGCCTCGAAGAAGGATAAACATTCCCGGATACACTCACTCGTGTGTACTTACAGCACGAGGTCACTTCGTGCTGCTGCCAATCCGTGTCCCCTTTAAGTCGCCTTTTACAACAGGCAGGGGATAATACCTCAGCTCTATTCTATGAGCCCGAGACTACAGGGCTGATTCACTGCTGCCTACAATGGAGAGCATAGCCCCACACTTTATTTTAATTTGAATACGATTATTCTTTTATGGGCGAGGGTTCTACTAAGGCAAGCGTTCTACTTATGTTAAGTGTTAACCGCCGCCCGTGGACATTTGCAACACCCGTAGGGTAGCAGATGCGTTGCCACCTTTCAACAAAAAGGGCCCCGGCTACCTTACTCATCAGAAGTGTAACACTTGCACTCCACACTTGTGCACGGTTCGGCCGCGGTGCTTACCCGGACGGGCCTGCCCATTCTTGCAACAGTCGACGCTGTTGCGTGGCCCCACCGCAGACATTTCGACATACTAATTACCTCGCACTTATCGCAGTTCTTGCCGATGACGTGTGCCCTACAAGAGCAGTGCCCGGTGAGGCCGTCACATTGGGGTGGGCCTTCGGCACTCTCCAAGGTGCCGGCCTCGTGGCAGCGGCACGGCTTGCAGTCGCCTTTCTTCGCCTGGTCCAAAGCATCTCCGTAGTACCCTGTAATTGACAGTAACTGCTATACGATAGTCAGTAGTATATTGACGTAGTGATTGATTTTAGCTGTGGTAGGACCACGCAACAGTGTTCGTTGCACGAATGGGTAGGTCCGTCCGACACATTACAGAAGACCCGCGTGAAGTAGAAGTGTTACACTTGTGTGCGTCTAGTGAGTGAGGTATCCGGGGTTCACTTTATTCAAAGTTGACAACGCATCTGCAACCCTACGGTTGTTGCAAATGTCCATGGGCGGCGGTTATCACTTAACATGAGATGAACCGCCAGCTCATTTGCCACTCTGTCACGTAAAAAACAATTGAAGGAGACCATTACTAATAAATGTTTTCCTTGCTTTAGCTTTGAGAGAAGACTCGGTGAAGCATTCGCGAAGCTATTGGCTTCGGCATCGATGGTCGTGGCTTCGATTCTCACGCGCGAAAAGTAGTAGCGCGTATTTGTTCCAAAGGTTGAGTGAAAAGCCCAGCCAATAACATTAACAACACGTACACACCTTCAGTTCAGTGCAGGCAAATAATCAATTACAATAAAATGATAAAAAGACTGGAAAAGGATATAAATAATAAAATTATGAAAGCGCCATCTACACTCTTCATTGAGAACTGTAACGGGCGAATGCGAATGTGAATATGCTGCCATCTACACAAAAAATAAGCGGTTTAGCGGGCAGCTTCAGGGGTGTGACTCGCTTTGATGATTTCACTCTCGTAACTTTTAGATAACGCGCCTAAAGAGGTTCCTATAAGTTCGGGAAGGGGGCGCGACGCACTCACCGCTCAGACACTTGTCGCAGTGCTCGCCGGCGGTGTTGTAGATGCACTTGATGCACTCGCCGGTGGTCCTGTTGCAGTTGCCGACCGCGTTCGAGTCCACGTTGCCGTTGCACTGGCACTCCCCGCAGGGCCTCGGCGGCCCGAGCTGGCCGGCGGGGTCGCCGAAGAAGCCGTCCGCGCACACCTCGCACTTGGGCCCTGTAGCGTGCCGCGAATTGTGGCACCGCGTCAACGCACCGTTACCGAACGCCCGCTGCCGTACCGCGTCCGCCCTTGCGACGGACGCGGCCGCGATGTAACTGGACGCGACGCGGGCCGTTGTGGCACCACTAAATCTAAGCGTTCCCAACTTTTCAGCGCTTGGCTTCCGCTGTTGCACGGATGGGCAAAAGTACAGCGGCCTTAGCCTTGACCGGAATAGATTTCTCGGTCGCAGTGGTCGTTGGGACTGATTACCCTTACGGGTTTCGCTTTAAATTTTGGCTACGCAACTGCTTCTGCTGTTCTCCGGATAGGCAGGCCCGTCCGAGGAAGTATGCTTCAGAGGACTTCTCTGAAGCGGGAAGTGGAATTTGAATACTTTAGCGTGTCGCCAATGAGTGACGCAACCGGTGCTCACTTTTTCTAATGATTGTCAACGAATCTGCAAGCCCTCAAGATTCATAGATGGCCATTGACAGTGGTTAATCTATTAACATCAGGTGAACTGCCTGGTTGATTGACGACTTTTACTTATTTCAAATAAAACAAAATACCGTAAATTAGTGCTAACAAACGAATCACAATTTGAAAAAGTGATGACTCTGTGGCGCAGTTGCCAAGCTTTTGTCTCTACGCGCGGAAGTCGTAGCCTCGATTACCACAGTTATTTGTTTGAGCCACAGATAATTTCGGATCTGGGTAATACGTATGTAAAACATACTTACAACAAATCTATGTGTATGTAAAATAAACTTACAACACAGTATAATGTAATCCTACAGTAAGGTTTACAAAAAAGTAAAAATAAGATATTCCAAATTACCTACCGGTATTCTCTTCGTATTTGGTTGGACATTATCACAGTTTAAGAATACATTTTGATAGAACTATGTTGAAATAAAATATAAAAAGAAAAAAAAAAACAACTGATTACTCGTGCCGTTTACTATATTAGCGTTATTGATAATCACAATTACAATTACATATTGGCATGTTTTCAGAGAGTAAAATGTGACAAAATATAAATGTGTGAAATACGGTAGTCGTTTAATGTAAAAAAAAATATTCCCTCTATGAAATCTTACCAGCGTACCCTAATGGGCAATCCGTGCAGACGATGCTCTGGTCCATGAGCTGGATGCAGCCGCTGTCCTTGGGGCAGGGGCACGGTTTGCAGTCGTCGGGGGTTCCCGCTATCGCGTTGCCATAGAAACCCTTCGCGCAAAGCTCGCAGTTGCTGCCGGTGGTGTTGTGCTTGCAAATGCAGAAGCCTGAGAAAATGTATCATAATAAAAAAAAAATTAAGTCCATTAAACAGTCAACAACTGTTAAGCGGCCGTAGATAGCTACACTAACGTGGAGTATTCACATTTCGAAATCGATAATATTTTAATTTGTATAGAATTTTTTATCCCACGGGGCATGTCAGTAAAATCGTCTGGTTTGCCGTAACGGCGAACGGCATGACGCTCTGATGCCATCATGCCCCTTCCACGCCGCCGCTAAGACTCCCTAGTGTGTGTGCGCGCATACACTACACGCTTCGTGGCTGAGCTATGATATTATTATTTCATTAACGAAATTCTAATCTTCATTCTCTATTTACTTTTTATTACTCCACATTTTACCCATTAATTTTTATTATTTACTTGTAGTTCTTAATCATCGCAAATGTGAATGATTCAAGTTTATAACTTGAATCATTCACATTTGCCGGGCGTTCCGTGACGTCGTATTTTTTATGTAAAACATCTATAGCCGCACGTAAAACCGATTTCTGGCGTGGCGCCGCATGCCATGCGCTTGCGTCCCAAACATCTATTGGCGATATGTGTGCTTCACACGTTAAACTAGAAGATGGAAGTGAATTGATGATGATTGTTGTGTACATTTCTCCTAATAAAAAAATAAATGACATCATTTCATATTTCATATTTTCATGTTACGTCCAATACTTTTGTAACATACTTCAGTTACCATCGACCAATTGTCACAGTAATACCGTCCTCATAGGCAACATCGAATATAACTATTACCGAAGTCACTGATTAAACGAATTAAGTAGTCACGATTTGAAATAAATTCGTAAATTTTTGTATTTAATGAAAATAAATGTTTATTCAATAAATAGTCATCGTTATCTGGAAAAAAATCGTAATATTTTATTTTATCATTATGACATATTTAGTTCCTATCACAATCTGTTCTTTTCTGCATATTACTTTTATAAAATAATGTCGATGTTTCCCATCTGCCAGGCGTCCCGTGACGGCTCATTTTTTTTATAAGGGAATAATAAATCCATTCCAAATGTCATGTAATTTTTCAATTTTATTATAATTTTCATTTTTATTGCTAGTCTCTGCGCTCAAGACGAACATTTAAATTGTGAACTTTTGCAGATGGACGAACAAAAACTTACGGCGCTGCGGTATTCGAACCCGCGTGTCCGCATACTGTCGTGTAAAAGTTATTGAAAAAAAAAAAAGGCGGAGTCTTAGCTATAGGGTCCCGTTTTCTCCTTCGGGGTGCGGGACGGTCAACAACGCGAGCGCACGTTGATCAGGGGGCAAGCGTTACCCGTGGCGGTGTCGCAGATGTGCGCGTGCCCGTTGCAGTCGCACGGTATGCACGCCGAGTAGGGGCCGCCGTTGGCCGGCTCGTGCTTGAAGCCGGGCGCGCACTCCTCGCAGTAGTCGCCCACGTAGGCCTTCGGGCAGGAGCACTTCTCCACCCAGCTCGCCGGCGCGGAGCCCTTCTCGCGGCCAATGTTCGCCGTGTCCAGCTTGAAGCTGGTCATGTAGCCCTCGCCGCCCCTGTTGTACGTGCCCCTGACCCTGATCGCGGTCAGGTTCTGCAGGATCGACATGTACTCGAAGTTGGACAGCGTCGGGCTCCAGCCGTAGCGCGGGTCCTCGTGCAGCCGGAACGTGTACTCTTGTGTCTGCAACGGAGATGCGTGCGTTGTGGATAGTTCCAAGGTTTTAATGCGAAGGAGGAAAACTGTAGTAGGGCCACGCAACAGTGTTCGCTGTTGCACTTGCAACTGTGGCAGGTCCGTCCGGGTTAGTACCACGTCCGGGTTAGCACCACGGGAGACCGGCGTGAAGTAGAAAGTGTGACACTTCTGCGTTTCATCTACTGAGCGAGGTAGCCGGGGCCCACTTTGTTAAAAGTTGGCAACGCATCTGCAACCCTATGGGTGTTGCAAATGGGTGGCAGTTATCAATTAACATGAACTTCCAAACCTGCCATCTCGTTTTCTGTCACATAAAAAAACTGGTAGTGTTGTTAATATCAAGCTGAGCATACTTAAGTGTAAGGTATTAACGAGACAAAGTATTCGAACCCAATGAGTCCATACCAATATAGGTATTTGTTGAATCATTTCTTTTTTCAATTTCCTTTTTCATAATAAATATTGCAAAATCTTCTTAAAAAATAGTAAATTGCAGAGCTTAATGAATTAAGTACTTATCTTTATTTACCTTTGAAACAAAGAGCAGTTATATGACCCATGTTGCTCAGACAATTTTTTTCTTTATAGTATTAGAAGATACAAACAGGTTGTATTTAATTATGTATAATCTTTGATCAATTGACAGTCATCCATGGGCAAGAAAAAGCTTTTTCTCTCCACAAATAAATTAAATATTGCAAATACCTTAAAGTGCTGTTGATATGTTAAACTTACTAAAATTACTTTTTAGTTACTAATGCAAAACAAATTTATGACGTCTGAAAAGTCTAGAAACAAGTATTGTCGACTTAAATTTGTACAGTTTTTACAGTGTACAATGAAGATCAATCATGAATATATTAAATTCGAGACTGTATGAATTGTATACATATTAATAACTTGTATAATCTTAGCACAGTAATAATGAAACATTGATAGTCAATAAAGTCAAATTGTGATATTATTACAGAAATCTAAGTGACATCAAAATAACAGCCTTCGCATAAATTTAATCGCCAAGCATGTGAACTCGCCAGATTGCTAATATTGCTCATACCTGATCGGAAGGCTCTGGATTGCTCTGGCCGTAAATGTTCGTTGATATTGAAGCACGGGCTCCCTCCAGTATAATATCTTGAGACGACGGGTAGCCCCGGGCCTCACCCAACCGCAGGGTAAACTTGAGGTCATGGTTGTAAGACGGTCTCTGGTCTCCGAGGAAAAGTTTTGAGGCCGTGAAGTAAACTATCTCCGATCCTTTAGACTTAACAGCTAAAAGAAGAATGTGATCATTTAATACTATCCTTTGCTTATTTCACTATAACAATTTTCCTGCGTAGTATTTCATATTATGCAGGAAGATCCGAGTGATGCTTGGAAAGACTATCATCTATTACAGAATAGAGATGATTTTAATCATTAATATAATTAATATGGGAAATATACAAAAATATTACATGTATCTAAATATGGGCAAATCCTCGTACAAATTTAAAATTGTGCTTGCTATAGATGTAATTAAATAAAGCAAATCACTAATATTTTCTGCATAAAGATAATGAGCACCAGAAGAAAATGACTACACTAACTAAAAATGGTAACAGAGACATCTTTTAGAAAGTAATAATTAATTAATATGCATATATACACTCTAAATGAGAATGAACATACTGAACCTCAATTTTACAAATGGTCATGACAATGCCGTGCATAAACATATAAGAGCAGCAGTGAGCTATAGTTCAGGAAATTGCTGAGGATATCATATGCAAATAATACTGAAATCCCAAGATCTACCTACAATAATATGAATTAAGAAAGAAACCCTATTAATTTTGGCACATATTGGTTTTAAGAACTATTAAAATAATTTGCCAAACAAATAAAATAAATAAGTAAAAATAATATTTAGCTAACACAATTTTTACTTAGTGCTATGTTACTAAATTTCATGAAATAAAAGAAAAGTGATGTTATGAACTAAGTAGAATTAAATTAAAGAAATAATTTTAACAGTTACAATTAAAAGCATAACTAAAAATTCAGCATACATAATTGAAACCAGCCCAATTAACAACTAATAATTAAAAAATCAAAACACTGTTGAATAATATGACTAGAGTCATAACAATACAACTAAATTAATATCTTAAGTTTAAAAAATCTAGCAAAACTGAAAATAAAATTATTTCTTAAATATCATTGTTAAAGTCACATCACAAATATGTTCTGTAACATGACAGCAACAAAACCTCTGGGTGCTATGAGAGTCTTTGATCCCCTATGACCATCAATCACCATTCCTCAAGGTGCCATCCCTTGGAAGTGAAAAGGGTAAATTAGTAGAACAGAACATACTTCTACTGACCTATGTTTTGAGTGTTGGCGTTAAACAATAATGGCGCAGGTTTCCTTTGATCATCTTCAGCGCCCCATTTCTCTGCATCTCTGATGAAATGCGCTGTGAGCTCGCTGGCTTGGTACTTTGGAGCGGAGCTGCACTGGGAGGAGTGTCCGAAACAGAAGCAGGGTGTGCAGCCAAACTCATTGTCAATGTCCAGATTAAAGAATCCAGGCTTACATCTGAAAATTGTAAGGAATATGTTGTTGAAGAGTTGTTCCAATCTGTATCTACAGATTGGAATGAAAATGGAATCTAAATATAGTAATATCATATTGATTATAACTGATTTGAAAATGAATGTAGATTAGCTTAAGCAAAACATATATTTGGATTTGATATTTCTAAATTGAAGAAGTAACAAAGACTAAGTTTCTAGTCATCTAGCTATATATTTAGGCCACGTAAGGAAGAGATTTAAGTCATCGTAAGTGGTGTTTTTGGGTTTATTCACCATACAGAACAATTATTCATACTATGACCCACAAGCGCAACTGTTACTATTGTTCAGTTCCAAGTTCTTTTTTAAGTGAGTAAGTTACAAAAGAGCAGGCGGTCCACCTGATGTTATAAAGCAGTCCACCTGATGTTATAAAGTTAAGTGATAACTGCCACTGTCAATGGTAATGGTATTGTGTGCAGTATAATACTTCTACTTTACGCTAGTCTTTTGTGAGACTGTAGTCCTTAAGTGGATGCACCTATACATTTGTGCAACAGCAAAAGTTACAGTGCAATCCTACCACAGAGATCTTTGAAGGACACCCTGTGATAGTTTATTCTCCAGAGTTAAATTATATTAAAACAATGATTATAATATAGATGTTAAAATCTAGTAATATGAATTCTGGAAAACTTACTCCCTGCACTGCTTTCCTTCAACATTCTGCTTGCAAAGGCAAATGCCTGTCTGTGGGTCACACTGGGGTGTGTTGGCATAAGCGCCGGCTTCGTTACAGCCGCATTGTTTGCATCCCTGGTTAGTGAAGTCGAAGTGGTTGGGAGCGCAAACATCGCACTTGTCACCCGTAACGCCTGGCTTGCACTGGCACTTGCCTTCTGAGTTGCACTGGAGACTACGGGAGCCTAAAAGAGTGAATTTATATAACTAAACTCAAAGATGTTTTAATAAAGATGACGCATGTGATATTTAGATACTGTGTGGCATTTAAAATTGTTCCAATTTATATTATTATATGACATTTATCAATGAATGTGACAGATGATATAGAATGTGTGATATGAGTTAGGAGTCTATCTATAGGCATAGATATAATTGTACCAAACAGGAGAGAAATTAAACTAATTGCAATAATCTGAATGCCTCAGTTATAGCGCACTAGTGGCATGTTTAGTGCAAGCACTTGTTAAACTGATCAAATTGTATATAGCAGTATGCATTGTATATGCAGTAAAGTGCATATTGATTTTGAGATAATGTGGCCACTGTCTCACATGCTGCATAATTATGTCCACCAAAGGATGAACTGCTTCCTAGGGGAATGTTATTATTACATTGTTGCATAATTTCAAATAAAGAACCAATTACTATTAAATTTTTTATCTGTTTAACATTATGGTCAGGTGAGAAACCTGGCCTAGGTGACAAAATTCCAATTCACTTTTTATGACAAAAATGGTGACTGAATAGAATATTTTCTATTAACAATCACTGGATTATTTAATTTTCCTCCACAACTGCATATTATATTTATTGTTGTAAATTTTATTGTAAGCTCATCAAATTGGATTGCTACACCTTACAGACTTTAGTAAAGACTTACAAGTTATCACATCTGACAGATAATTCCTGAAAAGTAAATATTATGAAGATGTAAAGTTCATGAGCCTGCAGCTGTAGGTATTGAATGTATCATATATTTAAAACTTGTGGGAAACAAAATTTAATGTTCAAAAATTAGCTCTTTGTACTTTGTGATTTAATGGGTTCCCCGTCTCCATAAAACTGTCATTTTGGAATGTCACAAGTTCTGCATTTTTTTTTTCAATTAGACTTCTGTCAATGTTTTGAGAGGGCTTAATACATAATAATATAGATATTTATATTTTGATTAAGGAAATCAAAATTTAAAAGGTATGATATAGGACTGTGGTATTTTAAAAGTACCTCTTTTGTCCCGTGTATATATGGTGTTTGTATTTTAAAATTTATTTGTGACACAAAAAGTCTCTTATAGTAAAATGATGACAAGATTTTCTTTTCTGCAATGTCGATTACCACAACACATTACATATAAGCTATTTATAAATTTGCTTATGATACAGACTTGGTTGGTAAGCTCTCAAACTTTGTTCAATGCTTTATGTTTTACATGCTAAAATCGGTTTAATATGCTAAAGTTGGGAATAATGCTGTAACGGCCAAATGCAGGTCTTAGACTAATCCTTCTCCTCGAATTATTAATAACGTACTAACTGCAAGACAAGGTAGTCCTAGCCATTCTTAACAAAATCAAATTGCTGGGCTGGGGAAGACAATATCTAATTTTTCCCTCTTGGTTCTCGACATCGCACCAAAGGTCTAAGCCCAATGGTAAAGAGAAATCCATAGTAATGAAGTCTAAACGAAGTATTACAAAACTAATACAGAAACACAATTAATTTACCGTTGTACAGTTTTCAATGATCGCTTTGGTAAATATATACTATATACAATTTACATACCAATCCCTGGTTTTGTTCAAATGCTATTTAATATAATTTGTAGTTAGTTATTAGATAAACTTATAACATGCAAACTAGTTCTTGTAAACACTACCATAAACATGGATAACTTTCAGTGTCAAAGCTACGTTTATTGAAAAATTATGATACGTTCCATTTTTACTTTCATAATTTTCTTGACTGTAATTGGTGTAAAATGTTCTTGCAACTTATTCATTTTAAAATTGAATTAAAAACAAATATGTCATCTCACCTCAACAAGTCGTTAAGGTAATGTTTTTTATTTCATACTATATTGATTCAATTAGTTCCTCTTTTTGCTCAGCAAAACGTATAGTGAATGGTTTTGGACAAATTTGTTTATTTTTCTTATTACTAATTTTATTCTTTTTTTAATAAATACGTAATTATTTAGTTTATTTCTTACTTCATAAATGGCAATCTTTCAATCTTATAAGTAATAACACTTGAATTGGTACTTCGTTTTCTAAGTGCTCTATAAAGTTTATAGAAATTAATAAAGGTCCTTGCTCCATATACCTATACCGAATGACTTTACAACACGTTCCTGTAGTATCTATTAAAAATTTGGATCAAAAGTCTGAAAATCTAATAGATGAATGAGAATTAGATAAAATAAAATAACCTAACGATATTTTAATAATCCTTCACCAATTCAATTATCTGCGTGTAATATTGAGAAAATAAATCTTTTTTAAATCTTGGTAATAATTGTGTTAGCCAAAAAACGATTCTTCCTATTTTTAACGTTATCCTTTTCTTCCCACTTTTGGTTAAGTTTTTTATGTCTCACAAGTCAGTGAATTTCATGTAGTAGCTTATATTTTTCTCTTTAGTGCTGTTGAACTTCAGTTATGCTTTGTTTGTACGTATGGCATTGGCAGACTGTGGACATTAAATATAGGTACTGTTCTTGATGTTTACGACTACTGGTGCACCATAGAATAGGGTTTTTGGTTTGGCCATTGCTTCTAACAGTCTTTAATTCTACATCGTCTTTAACTCAATATAATGGGTGATAGTATATTCAAGCTAATCCTAAATGTTTGTTCACTTCATTATTTATGTATCTAATGGAGAAGTGTAGTAAATCCATTCAATAAAAACAATTTCTCACCACCGATGTTGAATGAGATTATTTGATGACATAAACAATGACATTGATTTTGCGCTTTTCATCACAAACGATGTAATGTTTTCCTCGAATGAGAAATATGTTAACAACAAAGGCTCTGGATACCAAACTGCTTCGGACCACTTACCAGTAGGGTTACAATTGCATGGCATACAGATGTCCTGGGCTCCCTGGAAGTAGTTCTCCTTGCACCGCTCGCAATTGGCGCCGTCTCTGTTCTCGGCACAATCTATACAATGGCCCCCATGGCCCGTGCGCTCGTAGAGCTCCTTGTCGAAGTAGCACTTATTGGAGAAACCGTTGCAGTTGCAAGCTGAGGACATAATTCATATTCTAAACTACTTTAGTCATTTTAAGTTTACGTTTATTTTAAACTTAAATTCGCGAAGAATAAAAGTAGAATAGTTTGCAGTATTTGATGTCACGGCCGTTTCGTTTTATAATCTTCAGTGTTTGCGATAATATTACATTGGTAATGTTCAAGTTCAATTTCCCCATGATTTAGATCCCAGTGATTTTCAGTGTCAATGTTTACCTATTACTGTACACATTGTTAACATTTTACTTCTCATGTACCCTAATAGTAATAAATTACATTTACGCAAGCATTATAAATGTTAGTAAATTAGAGTTGGCATTTTCAGTGCATAAGTATGATGCATGAGTTTGACAAACAATCTGTTCTTAAATATATTTATAGAATGTGTATTATAAATTTCGCTCTCAAATAGATCTTCCCGATGCAGGAACGTCACCGTAATCATTCAGATAAGGCAGATATGAATTAAGAAGTATTTACGCCAGCGACAATGCAACCAAGTAATAGAAAGCGTATTTTAACCCCTATCAGATTTATCACGCTTAGCTTTTACATTTATACAATATTACTCGATTTCGAGTTTCAAACAAAAATAATATTTGTGTCATTAACTGCAAAGCTATGTACTTAACATAGCTTTCCTGTTGATAATAATTATTTAACTGTGGTAGGACCACATAACAGTGTTTGCTGTTGCACGAACGCGCAGGTCCGTGCGAGTTAGTACCACGACCTCACAGAAGGCCAGCGTAAAGTAGAAGTGTTGCACTTCTGCGTTGCGTCTGGTGAGTGCGGCAGCCGGGGCCCACTTTGTTAAAATCTGACAACGCATCTGCAACCCCACGGGTGTTTCAAATGTGCATGGGCGGCGGTTTTCACTTAATATCAGGTGAACCGCCGGCTCGTTTGCCATTTAGTCACACAAAAAAAAGTTAGCAAATGTTGAAGATTTTTTTAGGTTTTATGATATTCAAATTAATAAGGAATGCAAGTTCATAGAAGCCCAAGCATTTTTTAGAGAAAATTAATGTTCATGGTTCAGTCAATTGTTATAATAATATCTAAACCATAACGTTGAATTCATATACAATTAGTGGTATAAAGTCGTCGATAAAACGATATGAAAATATTTGTTGTTTTAACATCTTATTATCGTTGTAGTAGGTGGAAAACGAGTACGCCGTGATCGCTCAAAAGTGAACCGTTTGTAAGTGATGAACACTCGAGTTTGTGTGGAACCAGTATTAAAAAATCTGGCCTCACAACAAACCGCTTATAGTATTTAGCAGTTTGTTGTGAGGCCGTGGTGTTGCCAGGACGAGACAATAAGACAACAGCAGAAGATGTTATGTATTTACATTCACAAATTTGTCACAGACAAGAATGGAATCTGTAACTATACCATACGCCAAAAAGGTTACGAAATAAAAAAATAAAACAAATTTCAACAACTCATAAAACATTTGCACTTGCGAAAATAATAATTCGCTTGATTTATAAATGTGTCCATCGCTTAAGCGAGTAGGTAATTATGCGAGACCTACCCTTGCATTCATGCACGTTATTAGGGGACGCCCTGCCCCACGGAGCGTCATTGTAGAAATCGAGACACCTCTCGCATTCGCGGCCGGCTGTGTTGTGCTCGCATCTGCAGCATTTAATAATATTAAAGTTTCATACAAGGAAAAAAATGCAATAGTGGAAGAAATGCAAATGCACAGAGCAGGAACCAGTCCGGCGGATCGGTTTACATTTTTATGAAATAATTCTATTGCTGCCTTCATTTTTGAAGGTTTACTTCTTTTGGCGTGATTGGGAAAAATATAAGCCACATCAACTTCATGGTGTTATCATGGCAAGCATGAAATTTTTTTTGAGATTTACCTATAGTCGTTTTTTACAAACAAAGAGCACTGGGCACACAATTTTCCTTTTATTACGTTAAAGAATTTTACATACGGTACATAAGTACACATATTCAGGTTTTTTAAATAAAAACGAAAAAAAATTGTTCATTGTTTATATAACCGTACTGTTGTTATAGTTCGTTTTTATAGGACGAAGACTCTAAAGAATTTGTAAGTTCCATAGTTTCTTACAGATGGCAGGGTAAGACATTGGTATTGACTCACTTTCCTGACTTTTAATTAATATTAATTAAAAGAATTTGAACTAATAGAATATTAATTTATAGAATTAGTCAATTAATATTACTATTTCAAATCAAATAATGGCTGAAAGCTTTGATTAAACTAAATTTATTAGTGCCAATGTCTTGCGCCAGAGGTTGTGGTTTCGATCCTCACTACTGGAAAAATATTCTGTGATGAAGACAGTGTTTTTAGTGTCTGTGTGTTATATATCATAATATCGTTATGATCAAAAGAAAAGTACATTTAGTTACCTAGTACCCATAGTACAGAAAATATGTCCCGAATAAATATTAACACATATAATATTTATTTATTACTAGCGACTCGCGCCGGCTTCGCACGGGTGCAATGTATTATATATATAAACCTTTCTTGAATCACTATGTAGTAAAGAAAACCGCATCAAGATCCGTTGCGTAGTTTCAAAGATCTAAGCATACATAGGGACAGGCAGACAGGGAGACAGGGAGACGACTTTGTTTCATACTATGTAGTGACTAATCAGGAATGGTCTAAGTAATTTAGGGCACCTGCAGGATCTGGCTTTGGAGCCGTCGGGCATCTCGATGGAGTCGCAGATGGAGGCGTGCCCGTTGCACTTGCAGCGTGCTCCGACCGATACGTCAGCGATCGCGTACCAGTATGACTGCAGCACTTGGGTGTCTCCGAATATCTCGTCTCCGAACGTGTTGAGGCGGTCCAGCGAGATGCGGAGGTCGGTTGCCGTTACCCACTCCTGGACACGTTGAAAGGTTCAGCTTCGGTGCCGATGTGTATGTATGAAAGCTCAGATAAGCTCTACATCGTTGATCATATATCGACTCTACATTTATTGTCATTTCACGGTACGACAGTTTAAATGCTAGCCGGCTCCAAAATAAAGGGGACGTTCTCAATACGTCGGATGTTTTTGAACATGTCGAGTCATAGTTTATTTTTTTCGAATAAATTCCGATTTCATTGATGATTTTGTGGTTTGAAGAGTGTGTTTGGATTTCTAATGAGCACAAATCGGCGAGATCGTCATCCTTTCTATCCGTAAGGATATGAACTCGTATAACAATAAACTTATAGGCAATGATTGTACACAAGTCAACCGATTTCGATAATTAGTATTGCAACCCCACCTGAAGCTCGGGGCTGCTTTCGAAGGTGTAGCCGGACGGTCTGCCCTCCAATGTGGAGAACACGACGTTGCCGCCAGACAGGGGCGAAATGTCCGAATACTCGCTGGTGCACAGAGCCCTGGTTTCGGCGCCGAGGTCCGCTGCCCGCTGCTCCAGCACGCCGTACGTGTCGCGGCAGGAGGCGCTGCGATTTTACGATTAAAACGTCATCATCATCCTCATCTTCTTCTTCATCATCATCATCGTCATCATCATCACCATCGGCATCGCCGTCGTCAACATCATTATCGTCATTTCGCCTATTATTTCTGATGAACATGTTTAAAGAAATGTCTTTCAAATCTGCTTCCAAACATATTTTCCGTATTTTAAGACGTTCGAGTTACCTGTAATACTGATAAGGCAAATTAGCTGTATTGATTTATCTTAATACATTCAAATTACCTGTAATACTGATAAGGCTCCCAGTCGGCCTCCTCTGCCCTTTTCTTGTAAATGGCAAAACTTTGTGGCCTTGGCGAGTAGAAGACAATTCTGATGTACGTTATATCATAGGCTTTTCCTGATAAGGGACAACATAAAAAGTTATTACTCATCGTACATCAGATCCGTCCTATATAAATTTAAAAATCACCATCGATTACATTAACAAGTCCATATCTTCATTAACGAAAAACAAAATCCGACTTCAAATATCTCGCTCTGTATTCATTTTATAATCGATTTTCTGGAGTTCCCTAAGTATTTTCGGGGCCAAAGATCCAATAACAACGAGATTAATATGGGACCACATGGAAAAGCACCAGCTTTCAAATAAAAAGAATCATCAAAATCACTGAGCTGAAAGTTCTGAGGTAACAAAGATAAAAAGGAAAAAAATCCAGTCGAATTGAGATCTTCCTTGTTTGAAGTCGGTGGATATAAACTGTATCGGTTTCATTTCTATTTTAGTATAACGATAATTTATGAAACATAATGATAAAACGTAGCTAACCGAGGTGCAAAGTCAAATTCACTTGATTTGGATACTGGATGCCTTCTTTCATGGTTTCCGACTGCCACCAGGTCTGGTTGTCTTGCTCGTAATGCAGATCCGTTAAGTATTCACTCGAGAACTGGTTCGGTTGACAGAAGTCACAAGATCTGCCAAATGAGAAGCAAAAGAGCAGTTAATACACGTAATCTTATATTGAGATTTTCACTACAAGATGATTCGTTATTGTTTCGGCCTTTTAGTTATTAAGAACGTTTCCATCGTGTAAAACTTCGTTTTAAAAATATAAACGTTAAACACGTATTTAGTACGAAACATTTGGTTGTTGTTGGCTAAAGGTTTTGTTTGTAGAAAGACTTAATCAACTTCGAAACAGTTTATATACTTTCGAAACAGTTTATGTTTATTGTCTCAATTAATTTGCCTAAAATTATTATTTCTACAAAAATACGGCGTTCGTACCTATGAATAGAGTATATTTTACCTGGTTCCAGAGGAACTGCCGGCAGAGGTCTGAATGCAGTACATCTTTGGGCCGTTGTCACCGCATGTGTTTGTAGCCTCCATTTGGACCATAAACGCCGCGTTTTCGAACTCCGGTATACATCTCTAAGAAATAATATGAACATTAATTAAGAAGTTGTGTCGAATTTTGCTCTGTATATGTCTTCTTCTTCTTCTAAAGCAGTTGCTATGTATGTTTTAAATATAGCATCAGTCTTTTGCCAGTACTGTCGAAATGTTTCTAAACTATAGATATTGACAATTTTTTTAATAATTGTCGTCATCTCAATGATTTGTGACTTTATTTACGACTTAATTCTATCAGTGGTATGATTTAAATAATAAATGTAAGTGCACACCAGTAAATGTGGAGGCCAAACTTAGTGAGCCGTATTTAAAAGCTCCTCCTAAAAAGTATATATATATATCCTCAAATAATTTACTAAAAGCCCTTCTCCTTTCATTTCGAAAACTTTGAACATAAACGGAAACAAGCTTAACGCTAGGCTCGTCCCAGATAGTAGTTTTGCCGCCAAAATAGTAACACGTTATATTTAGCGTGCACGTCGCAGGACGTTGGCACCGCTCGAAGAACTTGCCTTAGTCACGCGTAGATATCACTTATTGGCCTCAGTTTGATACATATATGCGTCTTACGAGATTCGTATAACGGACGGATTTTTTCTTTAAATTAAGATTGGAGCAAACTATTAGGGGTTCGCTCGACGTTGAGTCATTACTGCTCATCACGAATTTTCAAGGTGTTTTCTGCCTCGAACGACCACTCTGTGGAACCAGCCGTTGCCGGCGGTCTTTCCGACCCGTTACGAAGGGGTAACCTTCAGGGTGATCGCATATTCTTTCCTAAAAGGCCGAAAACGCATTTGCAAGCCCTCCGGTGTTACAGATGTTCTTCAGCCTCGGTGATAGCTTTCAATCGGGAGAGCCTCCTGCCCGTTTACACCTTTGTCCACAAGAGTCAATAAATATTCAATAATTTTCCGTGGTGATTCCTCGAACGATTTTTCCCATTCTGAAGATCGTATTTAATCTTACGTACGAATTGTAAAACATCCATACTTTGTCTATATAAATTCACACAGGTGACATAAAAAAACAAACTTTTTTTTCAAAAAAATTGCCATTCTGTTCCCTCAAAAACAGAACTTGTCGACAATCCGGTAGTCATTCATAAATGCGTCGTTTACTTTTGAAATGAATTTTGTGCGTGTTAGTTAATGAGTTGCCCATAAATCACGCACTTTTGAGATAAGATAAAATGAGTGTAATTAATTACGAATGATTTTAAATATTTATAATTTTTTAAAACATAAATAATGTTATAATTTATGCCTAGGGCAATGTAGGGTGCAGGCCGCTAACGACCGGCCGAAGTGGTAGTCAATGGGGGAGGCCTATGTTCAGCAGTGGATGTCCTATGGCTGATATGATGATGATGTCTAGAATTTAATAAAAAATGGATACACTTAGAAAAGCTTGCCTTTATAATTCTTTGAATTGTATAATTGCTATGATGAATAGGATAGTACGCATTTAATTGAAAAATGCATTTAAGGTTGCATGAGTCACATCGTCAGAATAGAAATGAAGCTTTAATATTAACTCATGGCAATAGCGATATTGCATCAAGGATTTGAATTTGAAATTTCATTAAATGAGATAATGGTAATAACAATTATTTAAGTAATTATAATATTTGCTGAAGTCTGAAAATTCTACTAAATTTACAATATTAAACAATAAAAAAATGTCCGAATGTAACGAGCGTATGGATTATTTATTTAAAAATGTTACTTGTACCCGTTCATATGAAGTTTTAATGGAATAAACACCGTATTGTGACCCACTAACTTTGGACCTATCGGCTTCACACTCATTATCAGTGATGGCACTCAATTTAAAAAAGGACGACACGTTCCGTTTTAAGGGGCTATTTTATTTGGATTACCTATAAAATGAAAGATCGCCTATAAAAAGAACACTCGGAGGCCATGTTAACTTTGAACCACCATTGGAAATCAGCAATTTCAGGTACGGCCATAATGAATATGGTTACATGACTTGAACGGATTATGGTAGATGTAGAACGAGAAGGCGGTTCTTCTGATGCTAAGTGATTACCGTCGTCCATGAGCAACCAAAGTAATCACAACAAGGCGATAGGCTAGGGTGTCTTCTTCATAGGATGAAATTGTTACATTTTTTTGTTAACATTATAAATATATTCAGCTTACACTAGTCGGATCAACGATGCATAAAAGATGCTAATTGGCTCTACCACATTAAAGAATGACAATAATTTACAATAAACTGATTTAAAAAAGATTATGCGAACAAATGCGACGATCTAAAAGATATATTGGCTGTGATCATTTAGAGAGCGCTAACAACTTATTTTAAAAAATATTTTTATTTGTATATTTATATGAACCTTTATGAAAATAATTAACCTTTGTACAAAATATCTTTGCATAAAGTTTAATTTGCCGAGAATTATAAATTTCATCGGTTCTTGACTGGCGGAAAATGTTTTCTGTCAGTCAAGCTAGCTTAGCCCCATAATATTTCCGTCTTGTAATATATCTTTATCCAATTTTTATGTTCAGTAAAACGTTGTAATTAAAAAAAAAAAAAAAAACTATGTAGCCAGGCTTAAGAACTAAGCTAAGTATTGTTTAACTCCATCTGTCGAGGAACCAAGTATTCAAAAATTTTCCTTAATTTAATAGGTTTACTTTTTAATCGTAACTGAAAAAGTCTTTCTCGAAAAATTTAACAGATTTTCCAACATAGATTTTTGAATAGAGTTCGAATGATGGTCGATGTAAAGTGCGGCACTTTAAATCAGTGACTATATATTGTGTACGTATTCGTATTATAGATAATTTGATAGACAATGACCATTATAATGTTACACATATCAAAATTCACAAGTTCAAAATTGTAGTAAGCTTTATATATCTCTCTCAACACAACGGATGCGTAGCGATAAGCCCGTTCCGTTGGCCCCTGATAACGAAGCATTAGGCTTGAAAGTAAACGAACTCATTTATTGTATCAATGGACTTACAACATTTATTGTCTCACGATAACCTTGCGATAATCCATCTAAAATCAAAGCGTTAGCAACAAAAACTAATAATTAAACTGAAAAACATTTTTAACCATATGATAAAAAAAACAATTTTTTTAAACAGAAGCGAGTATTATAACAGTAGAGCTAGACAATATTCAATTTACGATGAATATGAAAAACGAATTATGTTATAAGGACTTAAAATAGTTGCAAATCTCTCTTAACGCTATTATTTCATCAAAAGTTGACACATGTGCGTTCTCATATTTAGAGACACAATAAACCACAGTAAACACACTCACAATACTAAAGCAAGTTAACTATTGTGAACAGATGAGAATGTCACAAATTGAACAGATACTCGTACTTGTCAAATTGAACACAAACAAAAACTTTTAAAAGCTTGACATAAAATATTTTTGACTCACTTGCGGTTGCCCATCGATGTTGTAACAAGTCGCCAAGTCCTGTGAACCAATCCTTGGTGTGTTGTAGTAATCCTGTGCCGACGCAACAGCTATAAACGTTAGAAAGTGTGTACAAATGAGGAGCCGCGCCATTTTGTGTGAGCGCGTGGAGCCCGCGTCGACGCGCCTGCTGGTCGACCGAGCACTGACGCTCGGCGTGTTTCACAACACTACGCCAAAGATGAACTAACATTTAGTACCAGCGTCAGGCCACCCTTCTCATTCATAATTGCCTATTTATTATTTGACTCTCAGGGGAAAATTACCTTCTTAACTGATTTAGTTACACCCCGTACATGGTCTTTTTTTACAGAAAAGCTTTGTAATAATAATACTCTTTGCATATAACCCATAACATCAAGTTAGCTTGCTTTTTCATTAATATAGTAATAATTAATATTATATGAACCTTTAAATGCAAGGATTTTATCTAAAAAGAATTTAACCTTACCTAAAGCGATTTGATATTAAACATACAGCAATATTATAACAATAAATATTATTAATGTTGTATGACTAATCGCTCTTGTTACTAAAGTAACTTGTGAACTGTTATTCTTTGTTGAGCGGCGGTGAACATTTCTAAGCGCGGCGCTGTGGCCTCATAGCGCCCGTTTTTGTGCACGAACCTGAAAAGGTCTGAGCTTTTGTTCTCCGCGAGATCGCCATCATATGCGGTTCGATTAATACGCAGAAATGTTTGGCGTAAATCGTCGGAGCGATAAATGACTTACTCGAAAGTAATTTCACCATTTCAATAGCAGTTTATTTTTAGGACAATTGTTTCGAGATTTAAATTTTATGAATAGGCGCGAGATTTAAATGTAGTAAATGTAGTACATTTCCTAATTTTGCCAACAACTATCGCACCTACTTACTCAACACAGCAGAGAACGGTTGGTGCAAAGCTGACGCAGACGAGTGCATTAGGTCATGTGATAGTGGTGTCTCCCTTCCACATTAGGCTCTATCTCGTTCACCCCAGGACCACCGATTCCAAGAATACCAATACATCCATTTAGACGATTTCCTTATATTAAAAAGGGATGTTCCCTAATCTATAAATAATGTTACCTTAGAGCAACAATTCAAAAGATACGTTTTAATTGTCAATATTTTATGATGCATACAGTTTATAAAAATTAACTCAATAATTATCTCCCGTTTCTTTTAGATTATACTGTTGTTCACCCCCTATTTTAAAAACAGTAGCAAGCTTAATTGTTTCTCTTACATCCTAAATAAAAATGTAAACTTATTGAATGTAAGTACAGAATAGTGTTTTGTAACTTATTTGTTGAAATCCTCTGCATTTACTTTAAAATACCATAATTATAGATATGGTAGATCGTTTATATTTTTCAGTTTTAGGAAAAAAATTGTTTTAGGTAAAAAAAAATTAAATCGATATTACCTAACTCATTTAAGAACAGGAAATATTTCGATGCGGTCTGCTTGGCCAAAAGTTTACATGTGGCCGACATCTGGAGGCATTTCAGAGACTTTAATATTTAAGCATAGAGCCGAGACATTCATAAAAATCCTTTATTTAAATGAAATTTAAATGCATCGCTTGTCAATTACTTTAGGTAGGCATAAATTTTATATACAAATTTAAATTCTTGAGGACGTAAACTGTACGTACTGAATACAAATAAAATAAAACGTCTAAGATCAAACTAATAATTGAAAAAAATATATTAAGCTGAAACGTTTATTTGGTTTATACCTAGAAATAATCGTAGTTGAAAGTACAATAACTGAAAGGGAACGTTTATAATCTCAATATTTCCTATTCATAAACTGGAAACAGTTTATACATTGCGTATGCGAACGGTCGGCAGGTGAGCACAAAAGCTCTTTCAGAAAGATGAGGACTTAGTGAATGAATGAAGTCTTTATTATAGGACTTGAAGAATAGCGTTGATAAAAGGGTAGATATACTTTACCAACTCGATTCTTCAAGCCCCAAAAGAATCTGCTAATGGGAAGGAATATTGAGCGCGACCGGTTATAGACATATGTTGGATCTTGAATTGGGCACATTTTTAATAATACATCGAGGGAATTACTGTACCGTAAAACTGTTTTGTGCGATATACAGAAAAGCGTTATTTAAGCTATAAATACACCATAAAAAGGCCCCTTTCGGTCCGGAAGGCCAAATGACATTGATGTCTTAAGCTTTGTAATACTATACTTACACTACACAAACAGTTAAGTGTAAACAATTTCAAACATTTTGTAAAAGCTACCCACCCTATTGGCTCTACCTTTTTTTCCCTATGGCTATGAGGCCCTTTGGCTTATTATATTGTTGAAGAGTACATTGAGGATAAGAATGTGCAGAAATTACTCTTGCTCTGCACTTATACTGCTGCTGATTTATACTTTACAAATTTGTATTTATCGTTTAAGAAAAAGAGAGAACAAGAACAGAGCCGTTCTTCTCTGGACCGGCCTAAACGTATATAGGTATGGGTATATTACTTTAAGAAAAAAATATTGGCGGTTAAAATAGGTTATTTTAATTTAATATAATTACTTAGGATAATTTAGCTAACATAGAATTATTGAATCTGGTTTATAGATTGCGTCTGGCAAAATTCCTCGACTACAGAAGTGATGACATAGAAACATGTGGTTTCGCACTTATTATTTTGACTAGCCTTTAATTGGTACTGCGTGAACCGTTACATACAAATATATTTGTTATAAACTTAGAGTAATAATTTTAGGCGTTACGGAAGCGAGTTTTGTAATAAAATATGTGTACTCCGGGACATCTAAAACGGAGATAACACAGGTCAGAGAACTTTCTGATGTACTCGTGGAGATGGCCCCTTTGTTTTAATCTTGTTCTCAATTCAGTAGAGGTTTTTATATTATCTGACAGACGTTAAATGGATCTCGAATGCTGTATTTTAAAGTGTTTGTTATAGTCATTAAAATGTGAATTATATGTAAACTGGAGAAATTTAAAGTTTTGATCTTGAAATCATTGTTATCAAAAATCAAATCAAAACCAAAAATATATTTATTCAAATAGACGCTTGCGCGCTCTTATTAATCATCAAATTTTACATCAAATATTATGTATATAGGTTCATAAGGTACCACCGGTTCGGAAAGCAGTTTCTGTTGAGAAGAGACCGGCAGGAAACTCAACAGTTGCTCTTTTTCAAAAATATCAGGGTACGATATAATATACAGGTATAATAGTCTTATTCTAGCCTACGTGAGTATCAACAGTATTAACTCCACACATTGGCGTCGTCGAGATATTCCGAAATGGTATAATATGCTTTAATCATTAGTTGATTTTTAATTTTACATTTAAATTGGTCAAGCGGCAGACTTAATATCGACTGTGGGATTTTATTATACATGCGCACACTTTGCCCCATGAACGATCTATTTACATAAAACTGATTTGGTTTTGAGACTTTGTTGCATTTCATTATGGTTTTAATTCCTCTTAAACATTTTGAAAAGTCCACGTCAAATGATTATAAAGTAGAGAAAAGGAAAAATTTCAATTTAAAACATTTTTTCATTGTTATAACTTTTTTTTTGGGATGTTATCACATTTAATTTTTATTAATTTAAATCCCGTCGTTTTGAAAACTTCAATGAATTCACGTCGATTGACCTATTCTTCGACTTTTCTTTTCGCACGTGGTTTAGTTTTGAAAATTTATGAATATAGAAAATTCTGTTTTAGTGCCCAGAAATATTTACGCTATCGTCGGTTTATTTACTTACTTCGCTCGCTCAGCGACACAAAGAGGATATTGGCGGCCGACACTAAAAGGCGCCTCTGTTCTCTTCTCTATTATGGGCTGTTTCTTGCCAGTAGGCTGATTGGCGAGCGCATGAGCAATGAAGATCTGATCTTTCTGCACTTCATATTTCCAACGATATCTGGGGCGACCAACAGGATGCTTACCCTTTGGTTGCCCCATATATGCTCTCTTGATGCCACGACCCTCCCTCATCCTCCAAGTGGCCATAATTATAAATATAAAAAAAAGAAAGCTTGACTGCTTTAAATTTACTTTCAATAGCACAAAAGCAAACTCAGTGAAGATTTTCTACGTATGATATAATATAAATATTTCATATAATTATAGATTATAAATATATCGTGTGTGTCGTTTTATACGACATTCGACAGACGATTTTATCTCCCCAAAGAAGTAAGAACGTCACATAAATATAATTAATTAATTACAAAACGCTGTAATAGATGATCACTCTAACATAACTAAAATAAATCTTACAAGATCGTCCTTCCTAGTAGTACGTTTACGAAGTAAATCTGTACATAACTAGTATCCTAGTTACAAATACAGATTTACTTCGTATAAATCATAAAAAGTACCTATATTTATGTTTCAATTCCAATTGCCAATACATTAAAAATTAAAATTAGTAGTTCAATTCTACTGGTACAAGTAATGATATTGATCTTAGTGATAAAAAAGAAGTACAGTGATAAAAAAAAGAAGCCATCGCAATTGAACGAAATAAATTGAGTCAATCTGTTGATGTAGAGACGCATTAAGACAGAACAAAACAATAGGGATCTTGCATACGTTTCCTACATACAGATACATATAATACGTACAGCTTCATATTGTTGCTACATCACATATTAAAAAAATAAAAATTACGATATTATGCCACGCGTTACTTATGCTTTTTAAGTCAGTACCTGAACATTTTTGGATTGCGACGAATTTCGATGGGAATTGTGGGATCTCTTCAAAGTTCAAGCATCAATATATATATATATAACAAAAAACCGGCCAAGTGCGAGTTGGGTCCGCGCACGAAGGGTTCCGTACCATTATCTATAAAAATGGCGAAAAAAATCATGTCTGTTGAATGGGAGCCAGAAATACATCATCTGCGAAAATTTATACTGTCTTACTATCACAGTACATGAGATATAGCCTGGTGACAGACGGACAGACAGACAGACCGATAGCGGAGTCTTAGTAATAGGGTCCCGTTATACCCTATGGGTACGGAACCTTAAAAAAATTTTGCCCCTGGCTAACTTTTGAGGGGAGATCAAGAAATTAATAAATGACGTTGTAATAAATAACTGTATATATATATATATATATATATATATCAAGAAAAAACTTGTACATCAGAATTGTGGATGAACAGAAAAAAAATTATACAAAAAAGAAATTAGTAGAAGACATCAGTAAAAATAAGATGACTGTTGAACACAAGAAAAAAAGCAGCAAATCAAATAATGTAAGTGTTGTTTTTTTTGTTATGGCGAGTCAATAAGATCGACCGCTAACAAAATCGCTTAAAGCCTTATTAAAGTTTGGTCGCTTCAACGGACGCCGCTGGTATTCTGCAAAAACCTTACGAAATTACTATCGACTAATCGGATCAACATCTCGCTCGAGTTACTATTCACATCGAAAACTCAGCATCTGTGATGGGCTTCGCAAGTGGACAATAGAAGTAAATACTGAGAAGAATGAAGCAATAGACTTAACTCGGGCCTGCTTCGTAGCCAACTCAATCCTTGTTCGTGTTCTCTCAATCATAAACCAGGGCAAATCATGTTAAACGGCCTATCGATTCCTTGAGAAAAAAATTATTACGAATATTAGAACATAAGAGACATGGCCGCTTCCATTTCGGCTCTATAATAGTTACTCCAACAAAATGTCTGTCAGGCATAAACTTTTATTACCTAGGTCTGCAAACTCCTACGCCTTTATTTCCTTTGCTCATGTTATTCTCTCAATAAAATTCAGGCAATTTAAAAATATCGGCCGCGCTACCGTCGTTATTTATGAATCAGCGTAACAATGACCTCCATAACATTTGCTGATTCCCGACGCTATGTGAATACTTTCATGAGTTAATCGAAAGAAAAAAAAAAACCTAACCAATCTTCTGGTGGTATACACAGAAGTAACGGACGTAAACGCGACCGTTTACAAAAGTCATTCGCGTAACATCTTCATCCAACGCGGGTGAACAAGATGATGCAGTTGCGTCAGACCTAGTAGATCTGCTAGACAACCCTATACCCTCACATAGTGTTAAAAGCATACAAGTTCTGAGCACATAGTGCGTTAAAGTGTAGCATTTAATTGATGCACTTCGTATATTAGGTATAGCTGTCATCATTTTGGTAGATTATGACATCTGTGCCACTAAATTATTAAAAAGAAAAGGAACACGTGCTAAATATTTACAGTTTTATATGATTTTTAATTTTTAAAATATTGTGCATTTTAGATGTGGTGATTGTTAAAAACAAAAACCGACCAAGTGAGAGTCGGACTCCCGCACAAAGGGTTCCGTACTATCTAATATATAAAATTCTCGTGTTACGGTGTTTGTAATTGAAATCGGAAACTACTCGACCGATATTCATGAAATTTTGTGTGCATATCGGCTAGTGTGGAGAATCAGACAACATCTATTTTTTTCTAAGCCGTTGAATTAACTTTAATTTGTGATCCTTCATGTAAGTATGAGTTGTAAAATGTATCTGAATATTAGAATTAAGTTACAACTAGAAGGCTACCAATGGTACATGGAGCTCTTCGTCTAAATACTGGCAAACTCTTTTTTATGATAGACTTTTAATTTTACAAAATAATTTACTTGCAAAATTCACGACCTATTCACATGTTTCATATGCCAAAGTTTCGGTATAGGGACACTATCAAAGAATATTCTGAAATTTTAGCATGGTCTTCGTTTAAGTGACCGAACTGTTGAACACTTTCGTTAGAATTAAAAGTATTCCTGTAACCTGCCTGCGTATATGTGTTATATGTGCAACTCTGCGTATTGTTTACTATAAATAAATATTTTAGGACACATTTTTTACACAATGTTCTCTTGTCCCAAACTAAGCAACGCAACTATGGGTACTAGATAACTGATAAACGTAACTATACATAGTTTTCTTTTGTAAATAATTACATATATAATCACCCAGACATTGTAAAAACACTATGCTCGTCACACAATATTTTTCCAGAAGCGGGGATCGAACCCTCTCCCACTGGCGCAGGCGACAGGTACACTACCGACTACGCCATTCGGGTCGTAAATAGTATCTGTTGAGTATAGAATAGAAAAAATTAGTGGTTCCTCCAGGAGTAAAGTAACAATCTATGTACTATGTACATACATGTATCATCCTCATGTATGTCATCCTCTATAGAGAGGGTATTAGGGTATCGTAAAAGGCGGACTTCATTTCTTCGAAACATTTTGATTTGATCTTGAACTCAGATTGCTCAAATGTATTGAATTAAAAGCGAGTGCCCGACCACTGAGCTACCACGGCTGAGGAGTTTCTTTTGTTAAGGGGCTTTGGGTTGAACGAAGGGTCTGACCGCCTTTATGAATGATTTGTACATATTGAGCGCGACAAGTAATGAAACCATCAAACCGTATCAGGATTAAAGGATTAATAGCTGGTAGCAATTGTGTATCAATGCAAGCAAATGCCCTTGAAAAATTTAGAAGTAAGTAAGAACTATTCTAATTGTATCCCAAATGGTTCTCAACAATTTTTGATTAGCTGAGTAATATGCTGATAAGCCAAAAGTTCCTGAAGATTGGAATTATTGAGCAGAGGTCACAGGCACGTTCAGGTTAAGGAGGAAAAGTACTTTGAAAAATTCTGATATAATCTTCAGATTCTAATCAATAGATCAAATACCAATTTTTGTTCCATAAATTTGTCAGAATTTTAGAGTTCTGAAAAATGATTTTAAACTGAATGTTTACTTTGTAAGCGATGTCTATAACGTATGTAACGTTGTATGATGTCGATAACACAAAATCTATATTATGTAAATAAATTAGATGTAAACTCCGTAAATAAAATAGGTCGGGTTCAGTTTAATAATACAATTAATTGAACAGCACGATTAGGAGTGCTTTAAAAACGGATGAATCTTTGTGTTCGTCCTTGTAACGGGTTTATCGTTATAATACGACATAAATGATTAATAAAGGGTCCATTGCCAAGGGTTCATGATAAAGTGGTAGGGGGAAAAGAATTTATAATACTCTATCTATGTAGATAGTTAAGTGACCTGCGTTATTTCACCCCTTTTAACTGCCCAACTTTGCGCGACTTTACTCACTAATTACTGGCGGGCTTAAAGGAAAAGTGATACAAGTGCTAAATTAATGAAATATAGTATTATTTCACGATATATTATTATATTTCAATTAATTATAATAACTAACATAATCAATTATTTGTAACACGCTGATGGAGAAGGTCGCGTAATAGCCGCTCAACACCTTGTTCCGGATCTTTAATGACCCTGAATGGATAAATAATTTTTTTAGTCCTCCTATACCTAAAATACTAATTTTGTCTTTACTTTATACAATGAATTATATCGCGGGCGGGATTAAGTCCAGAAAGAAATAAAACTTTGCGTACAGTGTTCGGGAGAATCAGACAAGAATTCAATACGAAATATACTTATATATAATCTACATCTCATTTGAAACTTTCGGTGCGCAAAAAGGTGACAAGTGCGTAATGCATGTAAAGTTTAAAAAGAACTCAATGCGTATTGCAATTTAGGCGATTTCCGTTTTGGTGCGACAATCAATTTTAGCGTTCGTGGAGTGCTTTGCTCATAGCCGCGTCCGTACGTAGCGAACGGGTAGCATCAGTTGCTTTTTAGGGTTGACCGGGATCGCCTGCCTGGGAACAACATGGATGCTAAGGTAAAGCACTAACTTTTAATATACAATTAGGGAGATGTATTCGCCGACGGTAACTTTTGTTACAGTCCAGCATTTTGTTTTATCACGAAAACTGAAATGAAGATCTTTTTTTTTTTAAACTGTTAGCCGATTGGGGCACGTTATAGACGGCTTTTATTTAATCAAAACGCCATCATCAACACATTTTTTGTATAAATTGTTCAATTTATTCAAATACAAGGGGTTCGTGTATATCGCTGTATCGAACTTATACGAGTAACATTTATCTGTTTCGCTGAAACTGTTTTCTTAAACTTTGAACGTAGCAATTTTTGACATTTGACTATTTTTTATTCAGGGCAAGGAGAAAGGCATCCTTAAGCTGGAACCGCGCCCGCGAGTCGCGATTGAAGCGAGGAGCGAACTAACGCCGCAGGTAAAATTTTAATGTTCTTCAATTATTCTTTATTAATCAAAGTATCATTGCGATAGAGTACGAACAAAATAGACGATTGTTTCATTCCTACCGTAGTCCTCTCATCCTAAACTATTTTCCATCAGTGCATCTATGGCTAGATAATAACCAAATATTTTTCATTCTCTTTCTATCTTGCGTGGAATTAAAAAAAGCGCTGTATTTTTAAAAACTTAAATTTTGTCTAATTTTTTTTTTTACAAAATTTAATAAGATTTATGTGATACCGCCACTTCAATGTTGTATGTGTGGCTAAAGACTTCCTTTTGTAATTAGCATATCGAACTTTACTATGTCACGTCTTTTAACCTCTCCCATAGGATTCTTTCGTATAACTTATATTTTTTACAACATAAGAAACGCAGACTTTTGAGTTTTTAAGTATTGAGTATTCCGATTTTGATTTTCCCTCCATTTTTGAACAGATCGGGTCTATATAATAAATAAGGCTGTATGTAAAGATGTTTGCGAAACATTGGAAATATTGGAAGTCATAGCTGCCATACATCAGTTATTAAGATAATAAATATTTACAACACATAACAACAAGGTTTTCAGCCGTAAAGGTTTTCATATTTCAAAAATAATAACGGTAAAAAAGACAAGATGCACAATGCATTTTACACAATACATATCTTTTACAAATTTAACTACAAAAGAAGAAAGTGATAAAACATCATCTAACGCCCGGTTTCTAAAACACGGATCATCGTAGAAGTCAACTAATCAGCTGTAAAATTTATTTACAAATGTTATTTTAGTTGCTAAAAGAAATGTTGAGTCCTACGATGATCAGAGTTTCAGCAACCGGGCTTTAATCTTTTCTTTTTACATAAAATGATTAGACTAAAGTCGGTTGTAAATATTTTACTAAGTAGCTAACATACAGTCAATATGGTACATATAGAAATAATACTCATCCAAACCTTATATCGGGAATGGATTTGCTCTCTTAAATTAAAATAAAGTTCTATTATAGTATTTTATAATTTAACGCCAAAACAAACTAATCAAATCAAACTCCGCTAGCATCATCCTATATAATTAATTAACTAATATTAATTTTATCATTCTCACACAAATTTTACACAAGTGGTCCTGAATTTTTCGCCGAGATTTTCGGCCTTCGGTCATAGGTACGTATATTTTAATACTAAGCATTATGTCGTTCCTAACGTAAGCGCTGAATTTCACCTTATGTCATACGTTAACAAAGGGCGCCTCCAAACGTGTAATTACAGCGAAAATCGGGGCACGGCCTCGCTAAACAGCGGCAGCTGTTTGCAAATTACGCAAAACGTGTACTTAAACGATGCGTGCGATACCATCACTTCAATGTTCGATTGAAAACTTAAATGTACGCTTTCTATCGGAGACCTAAACTGGATAACACTGTCGAAATCCAACGTCTTGTCTTATTATTTCTCATTGAGAAGTCGGACAGCAGATTAAGAAGGATGGTATGACGTCGTTTTGTCGATATAACATTTTCCTTTTTTCCTATATACGCTATATCTAGGAATAGTCCTATAACTGAATAGATACATACAGTAGTTGGTGTACCAACATTGACCGTTTCGTAAACGTGAACTTGAACATCTGGTGAAGTTCGTACTCGGGACACGCTACTCGAAAAGCTGGAAATCCTTGCTTTAAACGACGACGTCCAAAATAAAATTATTTACTAGCTACACTAACTAATCAAGATAATTCATATTGCTCGGACTAATTGTTCCAAATTCGCCTGTGGCTAGCATTCCTTCACAAAAAAATCACTTCTTAATTATTGCGCGGGGTGTTATAAACGAAAATGGGGTTGGGGGTCGGGTAGGGCGTGCTTGTTAATGGAATGAATGAGCAGGGCTGCCTCTCAAATTACCACTGTTAATTATTTCACACCTAGTTTCTTTCCGCTAAATAGCATGTAACTAAAGATACGGTGCGGACATTACGTAATATTTAAATGTATCGTAATGGTTGAATTTTTCATAGGGAATTTCAAATGCGAGCAGCGTGTTTACAAAACTAGAACGTTTAGAATTCCTACGTATGCATGTACCCTAGGTATTGACAAGAAACGAGGACTATTGCAGTACGAAAGTAAACCTTAGCAACATTGTTAATACTATTATCAAAGTTAATAATATTAAAACGTGTCGTACTTTTATGTCGCAAATTTATTTGCTTTCCTGATAACAGTTTTAAAAAAATTCTAATACTATATTTTCTCGTTGTGATCATAGTACTATGATCACAACGAGAAAATATAGTATTAGAATTTTTTAATCAAATTTTCCAAATCGAGATATTGAATGCAAATAACTAATGATATAAAATAAGTCATACAGGCTGAATTGTAGTCTTTACGTACTCACTGTTTAGGGAAAATATTTACATGTTCGATTATAATTTTTAATACAAAAACTTCTAAGACAAGATCCGGATCTGCAGATGAGATGGATACAAAATATCGATTTCTACTTCATTAATGAAGAAATTTTGTTTTGTTTTGCAGTTATAGATATTATCCACCACTTATGTGGTAATTTGTGGTAAGCAGTCAATAATATTATAATTATATGAGACTATAATTATAGTCGTTGTTGATACTTGGTTGGTTTGAGTTGCGAGCTTCTTATTTTTAATAACAATTACTAAACCCATCACAATATAAAACATAACGTAAATTGATCTATTGATTTTATGCAAATATTATACATATTAAATGAAACTTTACGGGCGTTCTATGATATATGATACGACTAATTTAAAAGATCGAATCTAAGGTTCGTTATTTAAAAATCAAAATTTAAACGTGATAAAATCGCGATAAATTTGATTCGTTAAACATTAATACCAGATCACCGAATTAGTTTCATCGTTATTCATAATGAGCTCGGAGCATTTAGTTTTTATTAGATACAGAAGTAACCAACACGGTAAAAAACCTCAATTCTAAACATTTTAGCTGGAGAGATGAGGATGCGTGAAATCAGTTTTACAATTCACACTTTAAGTTTCTACCAGAGCCGGTCTGTGGCTCTCGGTATTTAAATTGCGAAGAGTAGCTTCACAGATTTTTGTAAGTAATAACCTATCTGTAGATTTGCTTACTGGAGATTTTGAGTTTTTAATAACCAAATCTACAAATAGATTGAGAAATGAATAGAACTGAAATAGAAAGAGAATATTGAGACCGGCCGCTAACCGCATGCGAATAGTTGGAGCAACCTTTTAGTTGATGTAAATAACTTTGATTTGATGTAAATAAAAAGATTGGCAGCCCTCAAACGCATAGTTAATCAGAGTCACCGATTAGCGGTTACTCATTGGCTCCCATGGAAGACTGACTGCTTTCTGTCACGGCTGATCTGGGTGTGTTCCGCACCTCCAGGAGACTGTTTAAACTGAATGCAGCATTAAACAGAAAATGTGTTTCTTTGATTCACCGCTACCGAAAAACACTACAATTACCATGAACTCTCGAATGGTGTTCGTACTTTTACAGACGTAAATAGCTCATTACTCGCGCAATCGAAGAGTATTGGTTCACATATTTTAGAGTATTGGTTACATTATTAATTATTTCGTGAGTAAATCAGAACCGATCAGCCGCTACCAGATATATACAGCTCAACAAAATTGGAAATGTTTTATTTCATTACATATTCCTATTTACAGGAGTTCTTAATCGATCGAAGAAATCAAGCAAACTGCTCGTTTCGTAAAAATTATGTATCTCATGTACATTAATTTGAAAGATACAACACTCAAAAAGAGTTTTTTTTTAATTAATTGGAATATTAACAAAAATCGATCACAGTAAAGTGAATTTTCACAAATATTACGGACGTTCAATAGGATTTTGTTCATCCGAAACTCTAGTAATCAAAAACTTAGACCAGACGCCTGGACTGCAAAGATGGCAGAATAATTCTCTAAAAATATTCATACCTATATATTAATATCCATAAATATTCTAAAAATATTCGTATAAAATATCCATTTTCATTCGGTACCGTCGAAGTAAATTGGGTTGCTTTAGTATAGATCGTCCATCAATCGAAAGCACCTGTATATAGTCGTTAATTGTGTAATTTATTGGTCGGTGTGGTAAGGCCTTACTTAAGTTCAGTTCGCCGGCAGAACGACAGTACGACCGTCGACGTAGAGTGTACCACAGGCCGTGTTTAGGTAAAATCAAAGCTAGTCAGTTGTTAGGCAATTGCGAATAATATTAGCAAAAAATGTTCGTTCAAAGCTTCAATTAAAAATTTTCTGTGCAAGCAACTAAAAAGCTTTCGACGTATCGACGGTCCCCAGTGACGAGGTCATGCAAATTTCCTAGACAAATTTAATTTAATTTCGCAAAGAGTGTAATCAAGGCGATAGCGACAATTAGCTACGATACTACCGAAACAACACGCAGTAACAGCCAAAATTAATTAAAATCACACACGGGACTAATTGATATTAATAATCGTTTTTTCGGGTAATGGAAGTGAAACGTTAGCAGAAAGCATTAGTTAAACTTCGCTACAACACGTGCTTGTGATCTGCCGTTTGCGGGTTTTCCTAATAAAACTTTTCATAGACTGAAGATATTGTGTAACGTTCAAAATACGCACAAACGGTGATAAAAGTGCATATAAGAGTTCTTAATGCGAAATTTCTCCAGTTTTCTTTACTGCTTGACTGATTTAGTAGAGTTTAAATAATTTGTTATTTAAAAGCGTGCTTTTCCAATTCACAACACGCCAGGGTTCCTGTGATCGAGCGCCTGCCTCACCGCAGCCATCGGTGGACCGCCTATCTGTGACCTGGGCAGATCCGGGTAGCATGACCTCGTCGGGGGTCACTTTATTTCATCTCCCCTCCGAGACCCCCAACAATGAGGTGAAGTTCTCTCCAGCAACCGGAGGTAAGTCATGGTTTTTATGTGAGAAGGTGGCAAGCGAGCTGGTGGTTCACCAGATTTTCAGTAATAATCGCCGCCCACGGTTAAGTACCGTCGAGGTAAGTATCATAACTTCACAGAGGACTGGCGTGAATGGGCAGTGTTATACTTCTGCGTTTCGTCTGGTGAGTGAGGTAGTCCGGCCGGGGTCCACTTTATCAAAAGGCAACGCATTTATAAACCTACGGGTTTTGCAAATATTAATGGGCGGCGGTCATCACTTAACATCAGGTGAATCGCCACCTTCTCACATTAAAAAAAAATTCAAATCCACAGGATAAATTTTAAGAACAATTATTATATAGCACGACATTTGTAGCCACCGAAATATTGTTTGAACTGTCTTGCATGCGTTACATGGTTGATTAGACTGCAACCCCCGATAACATCGCATGAATTTCCATTTGAATAGGTGTTGTGTAAGGTCAATAAGGAAAAGTCGGAGCTCCTGTATTCTAGGCTCCTCGTGGCGTCAATGTTACGCTCAAAGTTACCTCCACTCGATATCGATAATTATTTTGTGCCATGCCTGCAGATATGTCGGAAGACGAAGATTATTCTGTCAGCTTGAGCGCTGTGCTAAGACAGCGCCGCGCCAGCGTCCGCCGCTCTCGCAAAGGCCGCGCCAGGCGTCCATCCTCCCCATTCCTGCCCGACGAGAACCGGTCACGAAGGCGATCTTCCATCTTCACCACCAGCTCCGGCGAGTGAGTATTTCTTCGCGTTAATCACACTCCGCTTTCATTTCACATTAAATGTAATGTTCCCTGACCATAGTTTTAATATAATAACATGATATTTTGTGTTGTTGAAAAAACTCTCTTAAAAATTAATTTTTCTAAAACTTAAGATTTGAAAATTTTTCCCAGAGCTAATTGAAAAACGGAAAGAATTTATTCAAAATAGGGGCATGTCATATGTAAGTTTATTTAGTAAGAAGTGGCTAGAACTTGATTTTAGTGGCGAAGCAGTCGTAGGTGGTGAACAAAATCGCTAATCTAAAATAGTAGCAATTATTACAACAGTCTCAAAGATGTCTATAAAATTAAAGAAACCGCAAACATTTATGATGCCGTTTGTATTATATTATCAGCACAGCGATTTCAATCGACGAAACACCGATTGTGACTCAGGAGCAAATATTTGAAAATATACACCTTCATAAGGAAGTGCTTGGTTCCGTCAAACAGCAACCTTTGGGCATGCGCAGAAAGCTGAAAATTGTGCATCAGGTGAGTGATTTTTTATCCGTTAAAATATTTTTGTTGCAAAGGTACAAATATTAAAAATTTTAACTACCTATTTAGTTTCTCAGATCATATTCTATTGAAGCTTCATCAAATGCTGCCCGTGGGCTAACTGGAACACACGAGCTTGACTTTTATTTTTATTATTATTTTTACGCATATTTTCGATTGGTGACCCGATTGGCCTAATGTGAAGTGACCCAGTCTCTTGCGCCAGAGGGTGTGAGTTCGATCCCCACTACTATAAAATATTGTAGTGATGAACAAAGTGTTTTTCCAATGTATGGGTGTTTATTGTTTGTAATATATATTTATTTACAAAAAGAAAAGTTTGTTTAAGTATGTTTAAAAGTTATCTAGTACCCGTAGTTGGTATTTTTTCATTGCTTAATTTGGGACTAGAAAACGTGTAAAAATATGTTGTGAAAATATAAGGTTTTGCTTAACTTTGCCCTGAAATTGCTTAATTATAGCTACGTATATAAAGTAAAGAAAAGTAAAGTATCAGCCTATACATATCCCACTGCTGGGCAATGTTCTCCTGTACAGAGGGTATCAGGACATAGTCCACCACGCGGCCCCACTGCGGATTGGCGGACTTCACATATCTTCGAAATATTTTTTTTATTATTTCGATTTCCTCACGATGTTTTCCTTCACCGCAGAGCACGTAATAATAATTCGGCACTTAAAATTAACAATTTCATTGGTGCCGGCGCCGAGGATCGAACTCAGGTTGCTCGAGTATATTGAATTAAAGGCGAGCGCCCGGACACTGCGCTAGCACGGCTCAGTACCACGTATATGCTCACTGCGATTTCTACTTTAGGGATCATTAAGGTCCAATAGAGGATAAAAAGTAGCCTACGTCAAGCTGTGGCCGTTTCTGCATGAAAGTGCAAATTTATAAACACAGTTTTCCGTTTGTAGTATTATTAGATTTATTAAATAATTATAGATGATAAATATTTATTTACGACTGCCGATCATCTCCGGCAAGACGGTCCAACTAGGCCTCCCACTAGGTGGAGCGACGACATTATAAGAGTCGCGGGCAACCGGTGGATGCAAATGGCAAAGTGTCGTTCGTTGTGGCGTTCGAAGGTGGAGGCCTATGTTCAACAGTGGACGTCTTGCGGGTGATGATGATGATGATGATCAAATCCATTGAATAAGGAAAAATACAAAACCGAGTCACCGGTACGGGGACGTCTTGGTCCGAAGTGCTGTGATTGCATTATATTTATCGAATGAATTTAACACATTTTCATGTTCATTTGATCTACAGGCCAAGGGTTATATAAAACGACACGAAGGGCAACTACAGGAACGGCTTGCGCAATCGAAAAGCACGCGGGATATCTATGCGCGTTTCAACATCCTGATTGCTACGGTCAGTTTTATTCGTTTATTAAAAATGCGTTATTAATTATTATTAATTTAAATTTATACTAAAACATTATTAATTCATGTTAGATGGATACTCTTTTTGCGTTGATTTTAAGGTACATTAGCAAAATTGAAAGGCATAATCGCTTTCCCCTTATAATGATGTTCTTTTGATATTTATAACAAGAAACTTAAACAATTACGAATCTGAGCGTCACAACTTCGATTATTCAAAGAAGAATAATTTCCTTGATGAAAGGCGAGGCGGCTGTATGCCTGTAATTTAATATCTACAGAAATGGCAGCAGATAAAACGTGAAGCGGCAAACATGTCCAACCTGCTCATACCCTGGGAACTGCGCATTAAGGAGATCGAGTCACATTTCGGCTCAGTCGTCGCTTCCTATTTCACTTTTCTGCGATGGCTGTTTTGGGTTAATTTGGTTATTGGTTTCATCCTTCTGGTATTCGTCATTATACCCGAGGTTTGAAAAACACTTTAATTTCATTGTCAAGTATCTAAGAAAATAAACAGAACAGTTTTCATTTATTAACAGTGTATAAGAATTGTAAATAAAAAATACTGACTGCGGTAGAAAAAAAGTTAAAACTTCATTGGGGCACCATTCGCCATAGAGACGTGCCACCCCTTTTATTTTTTTTAATAATTTTAATGTACCTAGTAACGTTCGGCCAATAAAGGTGAATCTAAAAATCGGTTCGGCCATTGTTCAGCAATTGTTACGAGGGAACATAGGGAACATAGGACATGTTAAGGGACGTTTATACATATATATCAAATACATAACCCTCTTTTTTGGCTTTGCCGCAGCATTCTGAGAAAAATCAAACAACTGCTGAGTATTTATTTTACAGTATCTAACGGCAAACCCTTTGCAAGATGGTGAACGCAAAATTATTATGCCAGAAGAGGTTCAGAACTCCACTAACTTGCTAACTGTTTGGGAGTTTGAAGGAGTATTAAAATATTCTCCCATTTTCTACGGCTATTACAGTAATGTGGAGAGACCAGAGTATCGGATGCCACTAGCATATTTCCTTACTGGCTTGGTGGTGTACATTTATAGCTTCGTCGCCATATTGAGGAAGTGAGTTAAATATATCTTTTATGGATACGTATTGCACGATGGTTGTCCTTTTGATGTTATGTATTATGATGCTATTGCCTTAGTACACATGCCGATTGATTTATGTCACGTGCAGTAAAACCTGTAAATTTTGAAAACAGAGGTAATTCAAAAAAAACAATTGTTAATAGCGTCTTTCTTTCATTGTGTGTAATAATCATGAAATACATCGTAAATTTTGGCAAATGGCAACAGAAAAGTTATATTGTAGGTAGATTTAGTGTTATGTTTTATTTTCAATTAATTATGGTATTCTAAAACGAATGTGGTAAATGATATCCATAAGATATAGTTTAAAAAGTATAATAGATGCCATATGCGATAAAGATAAAATTGGCTTTTTGTATTTGCTTGCAGCACCCCTAGGCAAAGACCTCTTTAAACACAAATATGTTGCAGTGGTCCTAACACTTTTTGTTTTCTTTTTTTTTTATTGATAGCATGAATTATAAAATTAAGGATAAATAATAGCCATAAATGTAATGTTTTTATTTAAAAGTGCTCTTTTGATATTGCAGTTGATTGCTAAAAATTTAAACACTTTTTTTACCGGTAAAGTAATAAAACATAAGTTGAAAAATATTTCTCGATTCGCTATACATTTTTTTACATACAAGCCTACATTTTTTTGCAAACACTTGAACCCCAGCTTCTTGAAAAACTTCATTTATACACACTTGTTTTTCTATTCTACCGAATTAAGCACCTTATTGTCCATTAAGGATACACACCGACAAAAAATTATTACAGGATGGCTGAAAATTCACGGATGTCGAAGCTTTCTGAAAAAGAAGACGAATGTATCTTTTCGTGGAAACTATTCACTGGCTGGGATTTTATGATTGGAAATACAGAAACGGCCCACAATCGTATAGCTTCAGTTATTTTGGGCTTCAAAGAAGCATTATTAGAAGAAGCTGAAAAAAAGAAAAATTTACACAAGTGGTTAATTTGATTATGCATTAGATAACAAATTAATACTTAATACAGTTGTCATTAACGCCCTTATAAATTTTTACAGTTGGCGCATTGTTTCATTACGTGCAGCCGTTAATATTTGCGTCATAATTCTACTCGGTGTATCTGCATATGCAGTGGTAACAGTTGTATCCCGATCTGGTGATAACTCTAAGTCTCATAGTTGGTGGCGGGAAAATGAAACTACCATCGTTGTTACTGTAATCTCAATATCCTTTCCTGTGATTTTCGAACTACTTGGATATTTAGAGCATTACCATCCAAGAAAACAGCTAAGGCTACAGCTTGCAAAGTAAATTCTATTTTAAATATTATGGTTATTTAGTTACTAGTCCATAATTATATTAATACATTAACCTGCTTTACAGAATCATGCTGTTAAATTTACTTAACTTATACTCTCTTATATTCGCTCTCTTTAACAAAATTGAAGGTATGAGTAAAGAATTGGACTCGTTACAACCAACCTTAAATATGAATGCATCTGTGATTCCAGATAATGCACTAGATTTAAGTGAGATCATATTAAATACCGGAACAACATCATGTCACGAAATAGCTATTCCTTGTTTACCATGCCATTTACTCGTCTCTTCTTTAAAAATTTCTAAAAATAATTTAGAAGTATGTACATCTACTCAAATAAAACCCATAGATATTGGGTCGCAAACTCCTTTTAAAACAAGACCAAATGATGAGCTCATAAGACCTGAGAATTTGAAAAGGTATGACGACAACAAAACAGATATTGTAATAGACGAAGTTTCTACTGTCAACAGCATATTACTTGCAATGAAAGAACTTGACAGATTACGAAACATAAGTTATATTCCTGAAGATTTCAAAGAATCTGACGAAAGTACATCAGAAGTTTATGATTATGATAATACCATTGAATATTATGAAACTACTGGCGACGATGAAACAACTTTGATCAATCCTTTTGCAACTAATGATCCTTTACGCGCACATACTAAAGAATATAAATCTACTACGGAAGACGCTTCACACATAAATAGTGATAGTTTATCATTTACAAGTTACGATACATATAGTACTAATAACTATTACACAAATTTTACAACGGAAATAATGCTCGATATCAGTAGCGTAAATACTGAAAATACAATGGAAAATCATGATATGAAGCTCGGCTATGAAACTCTACGGACAACGGCAAAGGATTTTGAAGATAAATATGAAACTAGTACTTCAATTTCAGACATGATTTTAGATACAACGGTTTATGATAACGCTGATACAACATGGTTTGTAGAAACTATACAGACAACGCTGAATGAAACCTTCACAGAAGTAACAAGCAGTCCTACAGCAAGTACGGAAATGAGAAATAACAAAACTGATACCGATACTTTTGAAAGTATGACAGATCGTACAACAGAAATTATAGATTTAATAAAAACTACCGATATTCCGCTGGACAAAAATTTTGTGAGCATAACTACATGTCCTAATATAACATTTAATTGTTCTATTAACTGCGGTGAAAGAAATGTAACTAAAGTATTTTATATTTCAAATTGCACAACACTGGATATAAAATGCTATGTGAACAAATGTGATTTAGAAATGTTGCATAAATTTAAGCAAATAAAATTAAATACCACTGCCATTGATACAGTTTACTACAATAAGAACAGAAAAATGTATAATTTGACTAAGGCTACACAAAAAAAATTGTTAAAACTCTGTTGGGAAACAATGTTTGGACAAGAATTAGTCAAACTCACTATGATGGATTTGGTAAGATCTGCTATTTTTTTAATACGAACTTAATAACGATGCTATGGAATGAAGAATTATATTTATTCTTTTTAGGTATTCGTAGTACTTGGTACTTTGATTATGGACTTCTTTCGCGCACTATTCCTCAGGTACATGAACCGATGTTGGTGCTGGGATTTGGAAAAAAAATTTCCCCAATACGGTGATTTCAAAATTGCCGAAAATATCTTGCATCTTATAAATAACCAGGGAATGGTTTGGATGGGAATGTTTTTCTCCCCTGGTCTTGTAGTTCTTAACGTTTTTAAACTAATGATTATGATGTATCTTAGATCATGGGCCGTAATGACCTGTAACGTCCCGCACGAAGTTGTATTTAGGGTGTCTAAAAGTAATAACTTCTATTTAGCTCTCTTATTAACAATGCTTTTTTTATGTGTGTTACCCGTTGGTTATACTATCGTTTGGGTAAAGCCTTCATGGCACTGTGGCCCATTTTCGGAATATGAGAAAATCTATCACATACTAACAAATAATATTTACAAAATACTTCCTAAAAGTTTAAATTTCGCTCTTGAATATATGACGTCGCCTGCTATTGTGATTCCATTGTTAGTATTACTTATACTGATTATATATTACCTAACATCGCTTACAAATTCATTAAGGGAGGCAAATAACGACCTGAAGGTAAGTTTATAAATTACATAATTATTCATAAAATATATCACAATACATAAAAATATCATAAAGTAAAGTATCATCAGAAAAATATCATAAAGTATTTACATATTTTAGATTCAATTACGACGCGAAAGAACTGAAGAAAGACGGAAAATGTTCCAATTAGCGGACACTAGAAGACGAACTGGATCATCTGATAACACACCTTTTTCACGGTGGAAGAAAGCTTTGCCTTCACTTCCTATGTCTAAATCTATTGACTCAGATGACCATAAGACTGCAGATGAAACTAAGGAAAATTCCAAAGAAATGAAACAAAAAGGTAAACAATCTGACATAATTCGGTTTTAGTAACCAAGTATTTTAATTAAATATTTGTCATATTATTATATCGTATATATTTTAGGTGGTATATTCGCAAAAATTGTTAGTTTAGCAGTTGATAAAAAACCTGCCGCTGAGAGTCCATCGCCTTTGCCTCAAAATGTCGACGATGAAACCGATACTGACTTCCATGAAACGCTCCCAAAAGAATTGTTGAAAGTAAAAGACATTACTGTCGTCAAGCTTGTAGATCCTAAAAAAAAATATGGCGTTGATTTTAAAACAATCTCTAATGAGGAAAACAAAGATAGGGGTGAGCGAGTAAGTAGTAAAGTAAAAGTGGAAAAAACTGAAGAATTTCCCGAAAAGAAAGTTTTATTGGAAAAAGTAAAAGGAGACAAAATAATGGAGGAAAAATGTGTGTCTGTTCCTTTAAGCAAGATTTTGAAAAACGAAATTAATTCCAATAAAGAGGATAAAGCTACACGAACTTTGGATAGGAAACAGACGTCAGAATCAAGCACTTACTCGAGACAATCAGATTCCATCGGCTCTGTTATACCGGTAATAATGATAAGTACCACAGAGAGTGATGACGAAATGTTACGATCACCGAAAATATCTGGTGTACAGCAAAGTAATAGTCAGGGTAAAAAATCTTGTATTAAGGAAGAACTAGTAAAGAAAGCAAAAAGAAGCAGTTCCGATTTAAAATCACTTCGCAGGCAAAGCAGTGTTGATAGCATTAATGAGAATAAAACGCCAAAAGATAAAAAAACAGAGGAGGGCCATAAATATCAATATTCTCTGTAGTTTCGAAATTGTAAAGAAAGTTAATGTACCTATATGTCCAATTGTCCATAGCTTAATAGTTAATATCATACAGAGTAATTAATGTTAGGAGTACTACTACTATTCATGATTAAAGTACTACCTATTAGTATTTATCCAAATAATTATTAGCAATATAATTTTAATCAATATTATTCTTAGGATTCGTTACGTATGTAGAGCCGAAAGGCTTTTTGTAATTTGTAATAAAATTATTGTCTTAATTTATATTAGTCATTCTATGTATTTTTAAATATTGAAATTACAAACATTTATCTTAAATTTAGTTTCTATTTGAACCATTTTGTTGTTACTCAATTAATTATTTACTTTTTACATTTGTAATAAAAGTGAAAGTGATAAACGAAAATTTAAACGATCAAATTGAGTTACTTTTTAATCTTTACATCTTTAGATATTTATATCCATAAATATTAGGCCCATCATTTGTCCATTATCAAATTTAAAGATAGCCAAAGGTTAGATATTTTAAAGGTATCGAATTAAAGATATTTGATGCTTAGCTATGATTCCTTGCCCGTCTCGCGTCTCAGAAACAGGTCGATGGGCAGGCCATCTCTTTTCACAGCTAACAAAAAAAATCATCTCGCTACCCTTTCCGAACCCTGCGGCGTGATATCGCTGAGTGGGACGTCATTCAGCATTCTGTGGCTGGCCGGCGCACACACAACATGGGGCGTGCTGCGCTCCTAGTTTTATTTTTAAGCGTCGCGCGCGCAGAAATCCTGACGCCCCCATACTTTAACTTGGCGCTCGGGAAGAATATCACCGCAACGGCGACTTGCGGCGACGAAGGGCCGGAGCTCTACTGCAAATTGGCCGGCGCCAACGCCGACCACGACGAGCATGTGATCCAAGGACAGGTATTTTTTTTGCACGTTCGCTCTCTAAGCATTTTCGATGGCTAATAACATTGTTGTTTACTTTTATGCTCTGACCGCGCCGCAACTCGTACCTACCTTGTATTTCAATGAAATTATTACTTACGCTCTTTATGCTTATGTGAAACATGTAAGCATAAATAGAACTTTTTAAAGTCATTATTGATTAGCGCTGTCTCAATTGTAGGCTAATGTTTTTGTTGCATCAAGTGACTAAATTTTTTAATTGAACAATTTAGCAGAACAGCAAACATTTTGGACTAGGAAAATTTATGTTAACATACTATCTTCATATTAGTTCTTGTTTATTTCTCTTGTACAAATATTTCAAATGTTTAAATACTACATAGTGATATAATCACAACTTTTTCCTAAAGTTGAACACAGCCTCCTAATCATCAGCAAGCTAAATGGGAACTTGTGATAACGCTCTTATCTCAACCCGTCGCGTCCTGTTGACCAACCGTACAGCAGATAACAGGGTCTGTCCCGGGGTTGATTGTAAAAGCTATCCCTTATATGTATGAGAATATAACTAGCGACTATTATTTTCAAGATTATTGAATACATTATTAGAAGGTATTTAATGTTATAAATATTTTATAAGAGGAATAATTGAACTAACATAAATTAATTCCGTAACTTGTTACTATTTGAATTTTCAATTTGAAACGTATTGTCATTGTCATTAACATAGAAAATATTGTCTGATTTATTTGTGTTTACAAAAAATCACATTAAAAAAAATTACATGAAAAATCTCCAGCTTCTTATAATGTTAACGGCGTTCATTCATCGTGATAATGGGTTCTTAGGTCAAGGGAAGATTTCGTACAGGCCATTACACTTTACTTCAATAATTATTAACAGTGTTAGCGGCACTATGCTGCTGTATCGTTGTTTTACAAAGAAAGGAAACTAAAGGTCAATAAAACCTGAGTTTTAAGAATGAAAAGTTTAAAGATATGATATTGTTCACAATTTTTTTATTTCACGATATCGCAAACTAAGTTAATTACGTAAAACTAAAGTCACAAATCTTGCATCATGTGACATAAAAAAGGTATCCGTCAATACAACAACAAATAGTTTCAGACGAACAAACAACATTGCGGCTATTATTAAACAGAGTCCGTTAAATAAGCCAAGATGTCTGACATGACCAATTACTACCAAGGTTGTAATTTGGAATACCTACATCTTAACGCTTCGGAGAACTCCGCCGGAGTGCCGTGGTATTTTTTCCGACATGTGGTGGCCAAATGCGTTGGCGCATCCCGAATTTAGGCGTCCTTTTGTTTCGCTCGCCTTACAATGGCGGCTAAATTTTAGGGCTTTTATTGGCACATGCTGTTCGCGTGTTAGCAAAAAAAAATCTGAATGAAGGGATTTGTTGGGTGTTCCCAAAGAGCCCTTTTCTCCTTACGAAAGTGGGAAGATGATGATGTAATGCAATATTATGAACGACTCCATAATTGGAACCTCGATGACTATTGCTTTCGACGTTCCGTTTCTTTTGGGAAGCTATTAAATTCAAAGGGAATGTACTTTTCAACATGTTGTTGCATAATTATTATGCAAGGAAAATATCAACATATCGAATGATTTGATTTCTTAAATACGTTGAAGATGTTATGACTAATGAATATCGTATATTCTATGCAGGTTTGCGATATATGTGACGGTAGCAATGAGGCCAAGAAGCATCCGCCAGAGTTTGCTGTCGACAGCATGGAAACTTGGTGGCAGAGCCCGCCACTGTCACGAGGAATGAAATACAACGAAGTCAATCTGACAATCGATCTCGGTCAGGTAAGCAAAACTCGTGATGAGATGTATGGATATGTCATCTCAAGATTATATATTTAAAACGATTATATATTTAAATTACTGTATGCCGTAATGGTATAACTGTCACCAATGCTATGCACTAATTCTAACATTAATTTCTAATTCTAACATGCTTTTTCCTTACTTCCTTATACTATCTTATCCTCAGTATAATACCACAGTGTCCAACCGAAACTCGTCTGAGATCCTATTGAACGAAAATTTTCTTTCTATGTTCAATAAGACTAACATAAGATATGATATTCAATACTGTTTAAAATTATCGAGTATTAGTAGACTCCGTAGCGAGCTTTGATGGTTAGTTTCCGCGCTTTTAGTGCATACTTTGAAAGCATCATCGTGCACAAAGGCACTTTAAACCATCCATGTTCACGGAATTACGTATTTGTAGCCCAAATCGTTCATCAGCTCTTCCGTCAGCTTTACGATTATTTATTTTTATATTTAGTTTAATTTTATTAATAAGTAGATGGAAACTAATAAATGAGGGTAGGTAGATAGATGATTGATGAGGTTAGACTGCTTGGGATTGGAAGAGGTTAGAAACTTCCTATAACCCAAGGGGGTCATCAGTTATTCATTTCGATGTAACTGTATTGAATGTGGTTTATAATCTGCAGACATTTTCAACGATCGATGTATCCATTTCTGCTTTAAGTTCTTTCACCCGGTTAACATACATATCGCGATAGGAAATACCAATTTCAAAATAACCCGGACCCATAAAGCTATACACAAATATTACGAGAAAAATGTGTGCAATTTTAACAGTTGCTTCAATTGAAGTATATGAATTACTTAAATTTATTAGGAAATAACTTTAGAAATAGACAATTATGTCAGTTTCGTACTTACAGAACACTATTAACACGGTACGAAAGCTGATTTCGGCCAAGCTGAATTCCTCGGCCTAAATATGGTTGAAACCTAGACTGTTGCAATAATTAATACAGGCTTAAGCTGTCCAAAGTCGAGCTGTATGAGTTTTATGTCACACCGAATGAATTCAGCTAAAAATAAAATTCAATTCACGTGCATTTTCTTTACAATTTATTTAAAATATTAGTATAATATTTCATTCAAAATTAATAAATATTAAAAACATTAAACTAAATGTATTTTTTAAATATGCTTGCAAACACGACATATATGTATCTACATATTATGTATATTTGTAATTTAATGGTGCAAATAGGATGGTTCACACATTTACGTCTATTCGGGAATGCCACATGCCACCTCCCGAAATAGTAACATTATACGATACTGAAAGTGCATTGAACCCAGTGTTACCTCACGTTAAGCTGTTAGGAGCATAAATTTAATTATAGATTAGATTGTATGACACGATTTTTTACAACGGACGATAATTTACACGTTAAAAAATTAAACAAGCAATTTTAGAATATGAATTTAAAGAAAATCATCATAATATAATGTTAACAATGTAATAATGTTTTGATTTTATATAATAATATTTAATACATAATTGCAATCCAAGATAGTTTTCAAGTTTTAAGAAAATTAATACTTCTTTTTTTACTCATGATTAGGGTTGTAGAAGAAAAAAACGAGTTCTAAAAGTTGTCATTAGCATGCAATTTATATGATTTAATTTCGCATAATTTGGTCTTTGCTAGCGATGTCCTTTGTATATCGTCATTTATAAATGTGGCCATTGCATTTCTTTATCATTAGGTACAGCGTGTCAGTACCATTGTAATATAAACAAAAACCTGCGTGGCGAAATCCAAGAAGGCAATGTCAGCGCGTTGCCATTATATTTAAGAATTCCTGCAAAATAGCTGAGCGAATGAATGATGCATAACTTTGTTTTTTTTTTAAAATAAATGCACGGCAGCAGTCTTCAATTATTGGGACACAATTCTTTATTATTATTACATTCATACATTTTTATATGAATCCCAAGCAGAATATACTTTAATGATAACAAGTCTAAATTTGTTTTTATTTTGCTTAAAATTTTGTATTTTTGGGTACATAAATACCTTTTTATTTTCTTTGTGTACGAAACTATTTTTAAAATTCTTTTTCTTAAAAAAATTAGTCAGGACTAACTGATTTCTGCTTATAGAGGCAACTAAATGGATTCATCATTAAAACATTCAGACATCATTCTTAAAGAAAGAAATTGATTTCAAAATGATATAAGAATAAGTATCTTTTTTATTAAAAAATTTAAGCCCTTAATTTTATTATTTCACTACATAATTATCATTGTAGTATAAGTATTGTTATTTTTTTATTTCATATTTTGTACAAACGGGCCAGTTCGACCTTAAGGAAGAGCCTCGTTCTTTTCTGAGCAGAGAAAAATTGAAGTTCTGAATAAAAGATCTACTTTTACATTTCGCCTGGAATGCTTGTGTATGCAAAAACCGGAAATCTTATTTTCTGTATTTTATTTGATACTTATGTGTCAATGGTATTGTGAATGTCCAAGGGCGGCGGTAATCACCCATCATAAGGCAAAAGGTTATTCTTTTGACCTTCTGCCATTAAAAAGACAATTGTGTTTTATGCATCAGTACAGTCATCGCATCTTATCAAAAGCTTCTTAACTTTATTTATTACATCGTACTAGCTGGTGCCCGCGACTACGTCTGCGTAGAATAGGCTGAAGGCGTAACATTCAGGCAGAAAGACAGGTATACATAAAATATATATATAAATTATAGCCTATGTCTTATTCCGATGTATAAGCTCGATGGTAAAGTTTCATTAAAATCCATTCAGTAGTACATATTTGCGCGAAAGAGTAACAAACATCCATCCATACATACAAACTTTCGCCTTTATAATATTAGTAAGCATTAACTTCTTTAGTTAGGTATCTAGGAGTAAATAGATAAGTTTTCTTCATTCTAGTGCAATTGCGAAATACATATGTATATTGATGAGTTTTATATTATGTTTGCTTAATTTTTACAAACGAAAATATTCCTTAATTCCCTAAAGTCACTAAAAGATTATAGAATAGCTTTATAGAATTTAATCGGGAATATCCAACTTAGAAAAATATGTCTATACGGTCTGTATGAAATTTTCGCACAATACCGTGATCCATTTTCGCTATATTTTACGCTATTATATAATCGAATTTTATTTGAAAACATTAACTGTATTCTACTAGTCTATATATCGCCAATAGCTGTAAAATATGAATCATAAAATTTTTGAAGATTTTTTGATGACTCTGTGGCCCAGTTGTCAAGATATTGGTTTCGGCGCCGGGGTCGTGGGTTCGGTTCCCACACGGGACAAGTATTTGTGTGAACTACAGATAACTGTTTCGGATCTGGATGTTTGTCCACGTCAAATCTATATTTGTAAAACGCTCTTACAAACACAGGATAATGTTATCCTATTGTAAAGGACAACGTTTTTTTAAATAAAAAAAAACGCAATAAAAATAATTAAGGACTTAACGGCGGTCCAAAAAACGCCTCTGTCAAATAATATATCAATACATATTATAAAGCAAAATCGTCCCGCTGTCTGTCTGTCCATTTGTATGCTTAGATCATTAAAACTACGCAACGGATCTTTGCGTTTTTTTACTAACTAGAGTGAATCAAGAGAAAAGTTTTATGTATAATAAATTGCACCCGTGCGAAGCCAGGGCGGGTCGCTAGTTTTCTATATAATGCTAAACGGCTTTTCGCGGGCGACATTGTTATCCAGAATATGTAAAGAGGATGCTCTTTGAGATCGCTTCGTAATATATTACGGACCGTATGATCTCATTTTGTTGTACGTCGACTTCCCATATGCTAATTAATGGTCGCATCACTTTTAGTGATATTACGTCATGTTCTCTACACATAACACTTTGCATTACTCGCATATTACAAGCTCGTTATCTGATTCCTCCGAGTTCTGCGTTCGGTGAAGCTTTGATAGACTACGAACTGAAAGCAGAAACATCGGACAAATTGAAGTACTCGCATATCGATGTTACCGACCGGAAATGGAACGGTCAATTTAATCGCTTCCTGACGTTCCAAATTCAACGGCCCTAAATTCGTGAGCGGAGCACAGAATCTCCGCATGACATAAGGCGGACGAACGGAATAGCGCGGGCGTTGATAGTAGCGCGCAGATAATAAAACTTTTATGCCGCCAACTAATATTAAAGGGCGGTGTGCGTGATACGACGTCCGCCATTTTTTTTAAATACAATCATAAAACTGGAATAGAGTAACCGACCGCGATAACCCCGCCGAGATAAATTGCGTGATCTATTTCTTAATGAACTAACTAATGTAACGATTCCTCCAAAATATTAAAATGTGGAACTTCGAATGAGGCTATTTACCTTTCATTACAGCAGACTCCTTTCTTCGCAATATTCATTAATACTTTATTTCAATTATAAACACATGATAAATGTAATAAATACCAGCAAAACGGCGACCAAATGGAAAGGTAGTTTCTTTCAAATATTTTTATGTGCACTAGCGGTCGTACTGAGAAATCTGAATTACCACTCAGATTACATAAATCTTTAAGTCGACAAAACATAATTAGTTAAAGAACGAATTTGATTATAGTGAAATGTTAATTGATGTCTCAAGTCTAGTCGCACACTTACTTGATGAAACGTGCAATTAAATAGCATTTCTGCTTCAATTCTTTATATTTGTTGAGGCTGTTGTGTTCCGAGGTCGACCTATTTTCATAGGCTTCGGTAATAGCATTTCGTCATTACCGAATTTAATCAGCGTTCATTAAAGAACAAGAAATCTGTATGTCCCTAGAACTTGCGCTGGAAAAGTTAATTGTTTATTTGTAAATATAAACAAAATTTTTTTTTCGGCACATACTTTGACACGACGACATAACTGATAAACATACCCAAACATAATTTTCTTTGGTGAATAAATATATAGCGTTGTGTACAGGGTCACTGTCTACTACACCAATAGGGTAAAAAAAATATTGAAACTCAGTAAAAAAATATTGAAACTTATAGTAATCCAACATATCAGTCTTATGAGATGCGCCTTCAACTTAACATCATTGGACATTTTTAAAGTACCAAGAAATTACATGCATCATGTAATACTTGTTTACGGGATATACTAACTTACGGTGATTAATATTATTACAAAAAATTAACCTTTGACTATTTCATTTCAAACTGCCTGCAAAGGAATGAATCGTCTTAAATCATGTTACACATTTACGTGAAACAATTATTGTAAACGAAGTTTCTTACAACGTCAGAAGAGAATCAAAATAAAATCTTAAAATCCTTGTTTAAATTAAGTATTATTTTACACTCACAAGTTTTTTTTTTTTAATTTAAAAAGTTGCCAAACGAGCAGACGGCTCACCTGGAGTTAAGTGAATACTATTTATTAATGTTTTATTTTAGATCAACGTTTTGCGTTGACCTAGAACTAGACCAAATCGTTCCGGTGGCACTTGCAATTTCTGTTCAACCTCGGATGTGACGCACCCACGACGTATTCCTGTAACCAGAATCCTTTAACCAGAACCTTTTCCTATTATATATCTGTCAGTGTTATCTGAGTGTTTATGTATTAAGTATTATATTGAGTGGTTTAGAGGAGGGCCAACGGGGCAACAACCCTGGGGCCCAACAATAGAGACTTCGGAAAAAAAATCAAATTCAAACTGGTAAACTATAGTAAACTACTTTTCCGTTCATATTTTTTTTCGCGTTTCACCTACAGTACTTTGTACAAACATGATTAATTAAATATTAACAGTAATCAATAGAAAATAACTTGGGGACAAGGGGCCTCCACTCTTTTGTTGCCCCGAGGCCTCCTGACCCTGTATTTAGTGCTTACTAAAGGTAAATTCGTTCGCAGGAATTCCACGTTGCTTACGTCTTCGTGCAAATGGGCAACTCACCACGCCCCGGTTTGTGGGCTTTGGAAAAGTCCACGGACTACGGGAAGACCTTCAAGGCGTGGCAGTACTTCTCCGAGTCACCTCAGTAAGTTTCAGGCTTTTTATATGAAGCTTTGGCGATTAGAATAACAATAATGACATATAAATAACATATTTATTTGCGAACTTCGTTGAAGTCTGCTGCTTATTCTATTTAATGATAAATGTTTGCAATTTCAGTACGAAGACTATATATAAATGACGGATGTAGATTATTCTAATTATGTTACATATATCTATATAACTTAAGAGCTATTTTTACTTCTATATTTATATAGAAAGTGACGCATATTTTTATCTGGAAAGAATATTAAAATGAGAAATTGAAGATTTTAGGTAACTGAAACTGTTCATGTTTGTATTTGTTTTTTACAGAGACTGCGAAAGATATTTTGGAAAGGAAAGTTTACAACCCATAACAAGGGATGACTCCGTTATCTGCAGCACGGAATACTCTAAAATTGTGCCATTGGAAGGAGGGGAGGTAAAAAAAAATATTTACTTTTTTTTATGGAAAAACAGGCAAACAAAGTGCAAGCGTGTCACCACTCCCATGTACATTTCAAACACCGGACGAGTCACAACTGGGTTGTTAGTGATCATATAAAAGGAGCTGATATTGGTGTGCCACAACTCAGAATACAGTATTCCATGCGCGGCCAAATCTTTGCTTTTGACAGCTGTAAGCTACGGGCTGGCAGCAAATTTTGTCTCCCTCTACTTAAGAGACCAAAATTTTAAGAAGCCAAATTAGCTTTCCCTCCCAAATGACTGCAAAATTGATGCTGCTCCATATATCAACGCCAAGAATTCCGATCGGGTCTGACAACAAGGGTGCACCAATCCAAGGGGAGCAAGCTCTCAAAAAAAAAAGGAGACACGACCAACTAATGTAAACAAATTTTGCTGTAAACGGACAAACCTGTGTCTTTTAGGGTAAAATTTAAAAAAAATGTAGTCCGTATTTAGTCGGCCCCAAATCAAGATTTTGGGTAACCAAGCCTAGACTTTAGACAAGTTTATTTCGTCACTCAGAAATGCAGTAGCCTTCAAACGCAATACTTTCTGAATATTTATTTCTATTTTATAGTTTTTTCTGTATAAAAAGGAGGATGAAGAACCAAAAAAACATTTATAAATATGTGCATTTTTGTTTGTGATAATGGAATCAGAATTGATCGTTTTTTTAGATACCAATCTCACTTTTAAACTACCGTCCGTCATCGAACAAGTACTTTGATTCGCCAGTTCTACAAGAATGGACGAGGGCAACTAATGTCCGACTCAGGCTATTGAGAACTAAGAATTTACTGGGGCATCTTATGTCGGTCGCCAGACAAGATCCAACTGTAACTAGACGAGTGAGTATTTAAAAGGAGCATTTATTTTTCATAGGACACTTTTAATGACTTTCATTTTCTCTTGAAACATGAACACACCAACGTTAACAAAAGAATTATTCCCTAGTAAGGTTTTTTTCAGGCTGCGTTTACGCAAATATTATTCCTTTTAAGGCCTATTGGGGTATTGCTTAATAGGGAAAGCCCTAGGGACAGCTTCCGATAGTTCTGAACTAATCGATTTGTTCATACACTCACACTTAAAACCTTTTACTAAGTCGCTTACAATCTTTACTTTTCTAGTACTTCTATAGTATAAAGGACATCAGCATCGGTGGTCGTTGCATGTGTAATGGCCACGCAGATAATTGTGATCCAGCCGACCCACAAAGCAACACCAATATCCTGGTCTGCCGATGTCAGCACAACACCTGCGGCCCACAGTGCGCGGCCTGCTGTCCAGGATTTGAGCAGAAGAAGTGGAGGATTTCACAGAATTGGAACAGATTCGCTTGCGAACGTGAGTTGTTCATTTCAAGATTGCATCATTCTGTGATGACATGCCGGAAATTAGTTATAACGAAGAAGATAAGAATATTCAAATTTCTGTGTGATATTTGCAATGATGACAATCCTCAGTAGGTCCCTAGTTAGGGTCGGCTCCACTAGAGAATGGTGTTGTTTGTGGTATTAGCTATGTTTTCTTACGATATTAGTAAAAACGTAATTCGAACTTTCTCTGGTAAAAACGTCATTTTAACTTAGCTAAACTTATGTATAAAATAATATATGGTATCTATACAGCGTGCAATTGCCACAACCATACGACGGAATGCTCCTACGACCCCGAGATAGATGAGAAGCGACTGTCTCTGGACATCCATGGCAATTACGAGGGTGGTGGTGTTTGCAAAAACTGCCAACACAACACCGAGGGTATCAACTGCAACAAATGCAAATCCACTTACTTCCGCCCGTACGGGAAGAAATGGGATGAGATCGATGTATGCCAGCGTAAGTATCGTCAACCTTTCTAAAGGCCCATTTACACGATGCCATTTTCTTGTACATACAAGAGCAATAATTGAATGCAATAAATTGCGCGCAATAATTGACCATCAAGAATTGTAAGCAACAGTTTACACGCAGATATAGTAAAAAAAAATTGAATGCGATTATTGTATGCAAGTCTTGACAAGAAATAATTGCAAATGTCTTTTGTTTACACCAATGCAATTATGTTTAGGCGATTATTGCTTTCAAGTTTTGACTTGTCTAAACACATGCTTGTATGTGCGTGTACAATTTATTGGCCTGTTGCTTCAAGTATTGCACGTATTTGCGTTGACAAATATTTCATTCAAGTGTTGAGCGTTTTGAAAAGGGTTGTTTATTTAAAAAAAATGGGTCAATAATAAGTGTTCAAGTTAGATTATGCCGATTTAATATATTTCTATTGAGATTTATTTATTATTATCCATATATTATTATTTATTTTTTTGTCCAACTTTTTTTTTACGACCTTTTCTCAATATTTCTATCCTCAAAAGAACAGCAACGATTAAATACCCTCACTCTTCGCACTCATGTTTGCAAATGAAGAGAGAAAATTGAATGCAAGAATTGCTTAAGAAATTATTGTATGTGCTGTTTACACTAAGGAAAGTTTTGAAACAAAACTTGAAGCAAGTCTTGTTCAACAGGCAAGAATGTTATATTCTGTTTAGACCATGCAACTCATTTATTGCTTCAATTTAATTGTATACAACAGGCAAGAAACTTGCACCGTGTAAATGGGCCTTAATTCTCGATGGTAGCTGCCATAGTGAAGCATTCGATAGGGTCCAGGCAATAGTTGTATATAAATTAATTCAAAAATCTTTGAACGTACCTTACGGTGCTTCGTTGAATCAAAAAGTCAGGTTGTTATGTTATATTATGTTATTTAAAGCAAAATAATGTCATAAAATATTGTGAAACCTTTATAGAAATTACATAAATTCACCTTATCCAGTCTTTTCGCCGTATATGATCTAGATCATTTTATAAGTTCAGCAATTATTTTCATTAGATTCACATTAATTTTATTGGCAACGGCAATACATACATTGCGATAACTTACTCTTTAACCTCGAGGTATCCTTTATGTCACTTACGACGCTGCTTCTCATAGCTTGCAACTGCGACTTACACTACTCGACGGGTAACTGCGAGGAGGAGAGTGGGCGTTGTGAGTGCAGGCCGGAGTTCAATCCGCCCAACTGCGACTCCTGCGCCTATGGGTACTTCGACTACCCGTACTGTAAACCGTGCACTTGTAATTTGAACGGCACTGAGGGTGACAATTGCACGCCCACAGACGGCTTGGTGAGTACGTTCCAACAATTTATACGTCTATTGCATCTATTGTTATATCCTTTCCAGCATACAAACATTTCGAATATCGTTTTACAACGACAATTCGAACGAGAGATGTCGCCATTGCTTTTATAAATTTTAAAGTTTTTTTGCACCAAGCATTGCTTCAAATGCTAAATGTCAATGTAGAAAGAAGGCGTTAAGATTTTCGTCGCTGTGGCTATCAGCCGTTTAGCTCAGTGGCTAGAGCGTCAGGCCGCGAATGCCGAAGACGTGGGTTCTATTCCCACAGCGGCGACAATCTTTTCGTACTTTTTCTACGTTTTAATGTTCAATCTTAAGTGCAGCGATTAGCACTACAAAAAAACTTTAAAATTTAAATGAAGTGTTATATATATGTTATATACGACCTTGTTAAATACTTACCGTGCCCTCGTAAATTTTGAAGGCTGTTTCGACAGTAGCAATTAGTCACTTTGGATGGACGATGATTAAATGTCTAATTATCTATCACTAAAATAGCATGTGCGGAAATTAAAAGATTCTGTATTAATCGGCATAGTAATTCATATGTTGACTGTGGTTGGGCCACGCAACAGTACAACCTGTACAAACGAACAGGTCCATCCGGGGAAATACCACGACCTTACAGTATACCAACCAAAGTGAAATGGAAGTGTTATACTTCTGCGTAGCGTCTGCTGTGTGAGGTAACCGGAGCCTACTTAACTAAAAGTTCATTTGCAACCCTATTGTATTGCAAATCTTCATGGCGGCGGTTATCACTTAACACATGTCTGCTTGTGTACTTATATTTTTCTATTTAATTAACAGTGCCCATGCAAATACAACTATGCTGGAAAGTCTTGTGAAATCTGCGAAGATGGTTACTATTCACCGGACTGTAAAAGTAAGTGTAGTATTATTTTGTCGTTTTTTTTTTTTCTTTTAATGATTCCTTTAAAGATTAATTTATGAGTTTCACGATGTCCGAGTTCAATTGGTACGGCAACTGCCCAAAATAATAATGGCAGACCACATTCGTTCGCAATTAGCTATCAATTGACACAATAAAACTTGAATTTGTCATGGATTCACTGCATCGCATCATACAAGTAATAATAAATAATAAAATGGTACATTTTAAAAGTCATTTTAATATTTTGCCGTACATAGAGTAATGAATTAACTCAAAAAATATGTGTGTACTTATGTACGGACGTAAGAAGTTATACTTCTTTAGCGTAAAGACATTAAATGCAATTCCTAGCGAGTTAATTAAATAACTTGGAATTATTGGTAAATGTCACATCTTTTTATTGACGAAAAACAAATCCGACCTCAAATATCTCGCTCTTTGTTCGTTTTATAATTGATTTTCAGGAGTTCCCTATCTCATGAGCCCAAGATCCAATTCCAATGAAATTAATATGGGACCAGATGGAAAGCACCAGCTTTCAAATAAAAAAGAATCATCAAAACCGGTTCTCTCAGTAGAAAGTTCTGAGGTAACAAACATAAAAAATACAGTCTGATTGAGAACCTCCGTTTTTGAAGTGTGGTGAAAAGTCGTTATTGGTTGCCAAGATTAAATTGGTTACCAATTTACGTTTTAGAGGGTCGGTGTGTGCGGGCTTCGTAAAAATTTTACCCTCATAATCCATACCTCGATAGGAATATAAACGCGCCAAAAGGAATGTAACTTCAACAAAGCTTTTTCATTCTACTTATCTGGCCATTCATTGTGTGTAAAGACATACCAAGTATGTTTCTTTGGGACCGGAGACTAAATAAAACAATAATTTAGGAAATAAATGTGTAACTAATTGTAGTTAACTAAAGTTATTTTGATGTAGAAGGTTTCATAAAATGTAACAAAGTTGTCTGATGAGTCAAAGATTTTTTGTACTTGCGTAATATCTCCTCGTAGCATGCAAGTATTTTTTGTTTCTTGTAACAGAAAATGCGCTCTTCGTTGGAGTCTATGCTTTCCAAAATTGTTAACCCTTTTTCAATGGAAATGAGTGCTTCTGTCAAGTTTCCAACTGTTATTTGATCTTCTAATTGAACTGGGTCCAAAGGATCAAGATTCCTCATAACAAGTAGACATTGTCCTCTTGCTCACGCATTTTTATGAGGTCATCAATTGTGAGCTGCTAATTGTGTTAATCCAGCAGTTCTTGAATATCCACTAGCCAAAAAGAAACGCCGTTTGACCTTGACTGCGCGCGTTCACACAAAAGACGAATAAATTAAAAAGTCGTATAACTTCGAATTCACGTATGTCGAGGTAGCGTAAGTCGGGGTATTACTATATTGTATTTGATATTTTTGCGAAAGGAGCATTTGGATTTAGTAATTACTACAATGGATTTAACTAAGACAACCAATAATACTCGTTTTTTTAAGTGCGGGTTCGATCTCCACTACTGGAAACATATACACTATATTTTTTTTACTTCCAGTCTCTGGGTGTTGATATATGTATTATATGTATTTATTTACAAAAGAAAAGTATGTTTAAGTATGTCTATCTGTTTTCCAGTCTCCATAGTGCAGTGCAGTCTCCAGTGTTGCTCAGTTTTGGACTAGAGAACGTTGTGCTAATGTGTCCGAAAATATTTATTCATTATTGTTTACAGACTGCGAGTGTAATACCGTCGGTTCGGTGTCCCACGTGTGCGATAAAGAAACTGGAAATTGCACCTGTAAGAGCAAATACAGCGGTCGTACTTGCAATCAATGCGAGGCCGGTTACTACAATTATCCCACATGTAAACGTAAGTATTAATGAATTAGTTTGACGATGATAAAACATATAAGTTTTAGTAGATTTTAAGTGTAGACACCACTAATGAGGACTTGAAATCTCACTTACGTCCGCAGTTTTCTCTTTTTTTTCTTTTTTAGGGTTCCGCACCTTAAAAGTAAAAAAAGGAACCCTCATAAGATCACTCCCTTGTCCGTCTATCTGTCCGTGTATAAGCACCAATTTTCTCAGGAGCGGGGGTGGACCTGGCAAATGGAAATAAACCAGATATTAGTATCTGGTATAAATTTCAACTTGCTAGGTCTTGCCGACTATAGACCTCAGGGTCTATAGTCCCTATGAGTTGTATATAATCAAGGTCCTGAAACAGTGATCAAAAATCAATCAGAAATTACAACTTCTAGCAAGTCCCACCCATTCCTGATAAAATTGATAGTGATTATTTACTAATTTTGTTATGGCGATATATACGGAACCCCGGCGTACGAGTTCGACACGCATACGACCGTTTTTTCTACATGAGAATATCATTGTCACACATTTCACAAAGTTAGCCACAGTTGTCTACCATACATATTGACAAATATTAGTATAAATAGCTCATATAAGCTATGGAATGGACATAAATCAATCGCACATTTGTATTTGCAGACTGCAACTGCGATACCAGCGGAACGGAAGACAGCATCTGTGACGATGTTAACGGGCAGTGCATCTGCAAAACTGGTTTCGGTGGGTCGCGTTGTGACCAATGTATTTCGGGGTAAGTTTCGGTTCAATTTTAAATCCAACCATAGATTGAGATTTTCATGTCCCAATCTATATACAGCGTGTCGTTACCATCGCGACAATAAATGAACACACGTCTAACGCTACTTGCCAATAATCATAAAAAAATGTTAACGTTAAACAAACTCCATAATTAAAAAAAAAAAATTTTCAAACAAACTAATTAAGTAAAAAAGAAACAAAATTTGTAACATCCTATACAACTCGCGCCATAGCGTCGCATTACAAGCCTCTCCTTCTAACAGTGTTTTCTCTCTTTTAAATTCATTCAACCCATTCATATGTTTTATGACCTTTACAAATGAACTTTACGTTACGCTTTTATAGGTAAGGGTGTTCTAAAGTTCTTTGTTTTGGAAAATTTAATAACTCTGTAAATATTGATGTTTAAAGAATTTAAATGATTAATACAACTTTAAAAAGTTATCCCCTATATGTGAGTTCATTTATTGTCGCGATGGTAACGACACGCTGTATATAAAAATGAATTGTTGTTCGTTAGTCTCGTTAAAACTCGAGAACGGCTGGGCCGATTGTGCTCACTTAGGTTTTGAAATATTAGTGGCAGCCCAGGGAAGGTTTCAACGATAAGAAATTATGGAATAATTGTATAGAAAAACCGAAATGGCAAGAATTTTATTTCCCATACAAACTTTTCCTATCTGTCAAATATTTTATGCGTGCGTTCAGATTTCTTTTCCTTATTCGTGTTCATCTATTATAAGAAATAATTTATATGGCAAAACAACGTTTACCGAGTCAGCTGGTTGTTAATATTGTTAAGCTGATAGCACTAATCGAAATGCGTACAAAGATTATTTGTGATTGTCATAACTTAATGACTGACTCTACCTCGACTAACTTTCTTAACGGATTTCGTTTTGATAACTTGCACTTGATAAGTGGCATATATCTCAATTGCCCGTGCCCTATTATTTTACCCGTTTCTGGTTTCTAATGAAGGAAATTAGCTGCTATCGGGCGAGGCCTTGAGCGTGTGCGTGACCTGTACCTTTAAAAGTTTTTTCGCCAGTTACTACATGGAAGTTCGGGGCCGGGAACGACTCTGTGTACCTTGCAACTGCTCTCCCACCGGCTCTACATCCACCAGCTGCTCGGCGGACGGCAAATGCAACTGTCTCTCCAATTTCGGAGGGAAGCAATGTGACCAGTGCTCGCCTGGTTACTACAAATACCCTGAGTGTCTACGTAAGTCCCAACCTGCACCCGAGTATTTATAACGAACATTTGAATTGAATCGATAACTTAAATAAAATCTAATGTCCCAAATGATATTATATAAATGATCCAAAATTGAGATTCTGAATTTTTTATTTAAGAACATGGCAAGTGAGATAACAGTTCGCCAAATGTTAAGTGACAACCAGCGCCCATTGAAATTCGAACATCCGTAGTGTTGCGTATGTGTAGCCACCTTTAAATAAAGTAGCCGGGATCTACCTCACTCACCAGACGAAACATAAATATAATAATTCCAGTTCATGCTGCTCTTCTGTAAGGTCGTGGTACTGATCCGGATGGAGCTGCCCATTCTCGCAAAAGCCGAAGTTGTTGCGCGGACCTATCACAGACACATTTGTAAAGATTAATACCGTGCGCTATTTGCGATAACTGAACTTTGTTCTCAGTCGAGTAATGTATAAATGTTTGCGCATTACAGCGTGCAATTGCGACTTGGCCGGCTCAATTGGATCCACCTGCGACGACAACGGCCTTTGCCACTGCAAGCCCAACTTTGACGGGGCGAAATGCGACAAATGCAAGGAGCAATTCTACAACTACCCGGCTTGCGAAGAATGCAACTGCGATCCCAGAGGCGTCATAGCATCTTTCGCAGGTGATTTCATTCACATAATCGTAACATACATAATATACATATCTTAATCTCTAATTCTCTATAAATACGTGAAGCAAAAATTTTGTACCCCTTTTACGAAAATTGCGCGGACGGAATATGAAATTTCCCACAATCATAGTTTATACAGAGAAGGAGTGCAGAATGCTAATATTTTTTTAAATGATGCATAAAACAACATACATTAAATCTATAAAGAAAGCATTACACACTGCCACGAATAAATAACTATGGTCGAATTTCGACCACTGTGCCACTTGCATATAATTATAACTCTACTGTGCGTGTATGTGTCTGAACTCCTGCCAAACGGCTGGACCGATTTTAATGAACATTTTTCTGTGTATTCAAGTGGATTCAAGAATGCTTTACATTCACAATTCGGTTCACTACAAAATGTTTTTTATTATTTTTTTAATTATAAGTTCTCAATATTAACATGTGTGTAGAAATCACAATAAAATCAATAAAAACAAGTAATAAAGTTAATTAGCCGGTACAATTTAAATAATCTATATACATCGTTCTAAACCACGATAGCTCAGTGTCCGGGCGCTCACTTTTAACTTAATACACTCGAGCAACCTGAGTTCAAATTGCGACATCAAAAAAATTGTTAGTTTTAAGTATTGATTGGTCGCGAACTCAGCGGTGAAGAAAAACGTCTTGAGAGAACCTTCATATTTTCGGAATAATAATAAAAAATATTTCGAAGGTATGTGGAGTACACCAATACGCAGTGGGATCACAGATACAGCTTATATTTATATCATTTAGAAAAGTATAGTTTACATTACATCATTTTATCATCGTTAACTTCAAATTCAAAAAAAATCTATCCCGTAAAGCTTTTTTGTTGAGAAATTTGTGAGAAATGTGTTGTTAAGTTACGTAGTCTATGATGCTGATGAAGCATATAAAAGAAAAGGAAAGAGAAATTATTCATCTAAAACTATACCACTTAGCATGTAATTATCATTTGTGTTTAACAAGTCACTAATTGTGTTACTAAATATTCCTACCAGGTTGCGGTACAGTACCAGCTGGGGAGTTGTGCCAATGCAAGGATCGTGTGCAAGGGCGCATCTGTAACGACTGTAAAGCTCTGTTTTGGAACCTTCAGGAGTACAATCCACTCGGGTGTGAAGGTAAATTCTACAAATCTACTTTCGTTTCTGATATTATTTAATGGTTATGCAAAAATGTATGTTACACGTGGACATTTAATGAAAAGGGAAAATAAGAATGTGTTAAAACTAAATGTCTACGTTACTTACTACCAAAAAATGTTAATACGAATAGCTGGCGTTGTCAATCTAACTGGTATAATGGCTGCATAGCGACTCTTTTTTAAGTAGCATTAAAAGAAGAAGACCGAGGTTATAACAGCTATTGGCAAGACATAAAGGAAGAAAGAAGCCGCTTTATAGATCCCGGATAGGCAGCTAATGAAAGTCTCTTAGGCTCTTCCTTGCTTAGGTGATACGGGCATGCAGCCACAATGACCATTTCTCGTCGTTTCTGTCAGAATGCAATTGCTACCTGGCTGGAACCGTGGGCGGGCTGGGCGCCTGCGATACCCGAACCGGCCAATGCACCTGCAAGAGGAATGTCGACAGACCACAGTGCGATCAGTGCGAGAGCGGTTTCTACAATCTCGAGACCAACAACCTCTTCGGTTGTACAGGTCAGTCACTATGTTGTCCATTTTTCCATTGCGGAATTCATTCCGCAGATCTCAATCTGCGTGAACTCATTTAATTTACTATGCGAATTTTTTTGCAAGTAGGGCTCTGGAAAGACGAAAAAAGTGTTGTCTCGAGACACGGATATTTTTGATTTTATTTTAACTGGTGTTTTTCGTTTCCGTCCATGTACTCTTAAAGTATCATCGAAACCAGAACTCAAGTATTAATTTTGTTATGCTTTAAAGAAATATACTACAAAATTTTCAACAGCATCTTTATTTTCTTTTGCCGAATACCATGTCTTACTTGATTAAAAGAAACAGTAGTGTTGGAGACAACATTGGGAAATCACCGGTGCTAACTCATGACATCAATGACGGTATTTGGTACTATTACGTTACGAAGTAAACGTGTATTCGACGTTTCGTACACGCTTTATAGAATGCGACTGCGATATCGGCGGTTCCATCGACAACAACTGTGACAAATCCACTGGTCAGTGCCGATGCCACTCTCGAGTGGAGGGACGCCGATGCGACCGTCCCATCAGGGCCCATTACTTCCCCACACTCCACCAGTTCCAGTATGAGGTTGAGGAGGGGCTCACGCAGTCGGGACCCGTTCGATACAGGGACTCTGAGGAGGTATTCCCCGGGTATTCCTGGAAGGGGTACGTCGTGTTTTCGGTGCTTCAGGTAATTCGGCTCATATTATTAACGTTCATCTAATATAATCGTATTTCTATACAGCGTGTCGTTACCATCGCGACAATAAATGAACACACGTCTAACGCTACTTGCCAATAATCATAAAAAAATATTAACGTTAAACAAAATCCATAACATTTTTTTTTTCAAACAAACTAATTAAGTAAAAAAGAAACAAAGTATGTTACATCCTATACAACTCGCGCCACAGCGACGTATTACAAGCCTCACCTTCTAACAGTGTGTTTTGTCTCTTTTAAATTCATTCAACCCATTCATATGCTTTGTGACCTTTACAAATGAACTTTACGTTACGCTTTTATAGGTAAGGGTGTTCTAAAATTCTTTGTTTTGGAAAATTTTATAACTCTGTAAATATTGATGTTTAAAGAATTTAAATGTTTAATACAACTTTAAAAAGTTATCCCCTATATGTGTGTTCATTTATTGTCGCGATGGTAACGACACGCTGTATATTGCTACTGAAGAATTAACTCTCTCGCATTCATTATGAAGGGAGAGTGATTACACTAATTTAATATTCTTCTAGAACGAAGTGATCAACGTGGTACACATAAGCAAATCCTCGCTGTATCGCATGGTGCTAAAATACGCTAACCCTCTACGAGACGCGATAAGCGCAACAATTATAATAACACCAGAAAGCGTCGTCGACACCCAGCAAATGTAAGTCCACTGTTCACAACCATCGAATTAAAGGCAAATAAAATGATAATAACGTTTAAGACTCGGCTAATATCTTTCATTTTAGCAGAGTCTGAAACGTACGACAGGTAACATTTGGGAAATTAGAAATCATAAGATGTTATTTCTGTTGTTGACAGCAATATTTATATCTGAGTATAAACAGAATATATAATTTATTGCGTTTCGATTTCTAAAATTTGAACAATGCTCGTGACAATTAAGTATTTTTATAATCAATAAAAGTTCTTTTCAGTTTTCATCTCGGACACGGTTTAAATGTCTCGCAGAATTAATTTTTACTCGACGGACTAAGTAATTTTTGTCCTGATATTAGTGTTTACTACAGCTACCGTCCACTTGAAAATTTTAAGTTTTACCCTTTCTATGTTTTTTTTCTGTGTGTGTGACTTAAAGCAGTAATTACTCTTTCGATAGGTTTAACGTGTACTTAAGGCCTACCGAGCAACCCCAGCTGATAACAGTGACTTTGGAGAAGGGCAATGCCCCGGCGCCGTTCGTAATGAACGCCGGGAACTGGACGGTCACCATTAAAACTACGCGGGAGGTCATGATTGTAAGTATTCATTATGAATTCATCGTCGCTGCGCCTATAAATACCGACGAATAGAAATAGTCAACTGTTCGGTGGAAACCAAACATTAGTTTTAACATTTTGCCAATTTTTTTTAAGAAGTTAGCTCTATTCCTACCTCAAAGGTCAGCAACGCTTTTGTGACACCTCTAATGTTGTGTCCACGGGCGGCGGTAAACACCACCATGGTGATTTGCGAGCTTAATTGCCTCCATTTAACAAAAAGCAAAAAATAAATATGAAAAAAAAATATATTAAAAGTCATGGAAGATATTCAACGCATAAACCTTTTAAATCAATTGTTGAAACCTTGCATTTCACCAAGTCATCACAGAGGATTCTCGTGTTCGGATGCAATCGTCAATTGCAGCTCATAAAATGATCGAATAGATAATTCTTTAGGCCCAAGCACATCTTTAATTTGTCACAATTTAACAACAATGGTACAATGGTGTACAGTTTTGTACGAGTTTCTACGCAATCGTAGTTGAGTTTTCATTGATCCTTTATCAAAGGTATTCCTTTGATTAAGGATCAATGAATATTTGGGCATGGATATCAAAAATCCACAAACAACACGTTGAAGAAGCCAGCGGCTCATCAGAGGTTCATTAGTGCAAACCTTATTTACGTTTAATATAGGTTTGTTTGTATTTTATTGTTCTATCAAATTTGTGTGGCGCAAATCTTTTCGGAATTTGAAAATATAACTTCAATTACTTTTGTTATCATTAAATTAAAGATAATTAAAGGCTTAAGAGTTTTTTGTGCCCGTGATTTGTACTGTATGTTAAATTATGTTAATTGTTGTGTTACTGTATGTTAATTTTCTCGGAATTCTCAGGAAGCCAGATTAATTTAAAATTTTGGTAAACTAGGCATTAAACCTAAAGATAAAGTTATCGTGTTTCTATGAAAGTTGTTCTTATGAAATTGGCATGTTCAAACATGAAAAAAAATCTCTATATAAATCGTACATACCCTTTAAATTTTTTCTCGGATTTTGAAACATTCGTGAGGCTATGTAACACAGAAGATTTAACAGAAACAAACGAAGAAGAATTAGGGATATCACTATTAAGGTTGCCATACCTTTCATTTTAACAGGCCTATATGCGGATAAAAGAAGCAATGTACCCATTTTTATTTGGATAACCGGTTAAATGACAAAAACAGAAAAAATCATAAATCCGCTATCTTTTAGTTATACTTACATGTTATGACAAACTTCTACAGTCATTACATTATACAAATAAAAAAGATACGAAAGTTTGTGAAGTATATAAGCTATAACAGTAATATTCAACCCTATACCTATTACCTAATAATACTAGTAATTGCTTTCGAAAGAAAATATTTTGTCTTGTCATAATGTGACCATGAACATTCTATTTTCATAAATAAAAATTACAAACTATTCTAAAACAAACTAAGTGCCGCTGGTCACGTGATCACCCGAAGTGATTATCGCTGCTCATGAATATCTTCCCCTTAACGTAACGTACAAAAATGCAACCAATCTGTGTCCTCATTTACGCTAAAAAACGATTGTCTGGTTTTAAAGGCGCTATTGTCTTAAAGTGATACGTGAATGCGTTGTTCTGTTACATGGCTTTCATAATTTCTCAGCAGTAGGAAATCAACACTTTTTTTTTTTGGGCTGGATGAACCACTGTCGGCCTTAGGAGCCTTTACAGTTCCGACGGGCTTGAGGTGGCCTGGCGCACGAGACGCCTAGCCTGAACCTCGGCGTATTATTATTACGCGTTATGGTGACGAAGCTCGAGGGCTCCCGGGGGCCCTCCCTCGGCTCGGGCGGTCATGCTATTATTATCACCGGTTAGGGAGGCCGCCAAGCTCTTAGGGCGCTTTGGCGGGCGCTCCATGGAGTGATCAGGCTCAAGGGTCCCCGAGAGGGGACCTCGGCTTGGGCTGTCACTCAACACGCGTTTAGCATCCCAGCTAGCCAGCCAGTAGCTATTATCTGACTGGGAAATCAACTCCTACAACGAAATTGTTTGCAGGATTACTTCGTACTCATACCGGAGGCGTACTATGAGGCGACCGTTTTGACTAAGCTGGTTGATAAGCCGTGTAGTATCGGGGAACGGAACTTGTGTCGTCATTTCGCATACCCAAGTCTGAGTGGCCTACCGACGGCCAACGTGACAACTTTAGTGACTCCTGTCTCCGAATACGTCACCAACCCCGAAGTGAGTAGAACTAGAACCAACACGATCTGTTTTAAAATACCGAAATACAGTGTGCTCAATGCACATTCTTAAGAAATTGCATCGTTTAACCAAAATCTGTTAACGTCGCCTGTTCTTTTGTCAGCAACTAAGGGAGTACAACGTGGGACCGACAGACATACCGCTATTGAGTAACGACCAAAGCGATTTGCAATACAACATGAAGATAGATCCGAGGGGGCCTTACGTTCTGGTGGTCGAGTATGTCACGCCGACCTCGAGCCCGGATCCAAACGCCGTCATAGGTGTCCAATTCTCTAACGCATCGTACGACAACAGTCCAAAGGGCATAATCACCATTAGATTCCAATCCGGTGATGCCCCTGAATCGAGCGCTGTTATAAATCTCAACGCTTGTCCATATACCGCCCCTTGCAGACAGGTGGTGGCCGACGATCTAGCGAAGGTCTTCGTCGTGAATGTCATGGAACCCAACAATGTCGTGTACTTAGAGGTGAGTGACTTCGATTGTTTACACACTAATTACAACATCCCATATGCTTCGATTGTAACTAATGATATAAAATATAATCATATACCTACATATGTATACCATTTTTTACAAATGTTAATTGTCTATTAAATATCTAAATTTGAATTTTGGCTTTTGTAAGTTGCAACAAAGATATAATTTCACAACCAAATGAAATCATAAGAAAAGGAAGTAAAAAAATCGCTCGGTTTCGATTTACGTCTTAGCTCTCTACTGCGTACTTTTCTTAAATATTTTCCATGAGCGATACGGTCACGTAAGTGGGGATAAAGTCGATATGTATATACCAACATGCATATATATAACTACGGTTTGCCATACAAATAGTTATTACTATAGGGCCAAGTTTGAATATGTGGTTTATATGATAATACCACAAAATGAGTATTATTTCACAAGCAATAAAGAAATAAATATTTTGCAAAGCGAGAACAACACCTTGGACCGGGTCAATCTACGACTGAGCCCTCGACCGCTTATTTATACGGTATTCCATGTCCTCAGAGCGATACGGACACATTAGCCGGAATAAAGTCGATAGTAGCGATCCCCGAGTCCACTTGGCGTCTAGACTACATCACTCCGAGGCCCTATTGCGTTAGACGCGATGGTAAATGCAGTCCAGGAGTTTTCTCAGCAGCAGTAGATTCCAAAAAGGTATGTTGAACTCAGCGCACTTTGAATATCTATACCTATAAGATACATATAAAGAAAGAGAAGTGTCTCTCTGTGATTTCGAGATAAATGCTTTTTTCTCTGTCTGTGTTTTTATTCCTACTTATTTTAGAAATGTATGAAAGTATTAGCTAAGGTGATAAGGAGTACATTTAAGGTATAATATTAGTAGAATTTACGGCGCTCACAAATTTATTAAAGCCTGCGAATTTAGAATATTTGTTACCTTTTTTATATATTGTTATTTTTTGTGTTTTTTAAATGTATTATTTTTGTATGTCGTTTGTATCTAAATTACTTATTGAGAATTACAGTCGCGCAATGTTAACCGTATATCTGCTACACATAAACATTTATTTAACATTAATTTTTGAGGCATTCCTTGTTAGCGGGATGGTGAGAATTGTATCAATTTTTTTATGTAAAAGTTGGCAAGCAGACGGTCCATCTAACTTTAAGTATGTACATGGTTTATGTAATATGTTAATATTCAACAGGTGGAAATAGAAGGGGGTTCTGGTGGAAATCGTGATAGCAGGCCATCTATTCTGGACAACTCAACGATGGTTGTTTATTTAGAGCCAATGGCTGAATCGGTAAAGATAGAATCGAAAGTGCCTGCGCCGGGAGAGTATCTTTTTGTCGTGCATTACTACCAGCCTAATAATCCAGGTAAGCCTAAGAACGCTATCTAAATCATTGTGTAATAGAACATTTGAATAAATTGTTTTGATAGTCAATGGAATACTTGACTGGATTGATGACTATTTTATATGTAATACGAATCATGTTCTGCAGAAACCAACGTTGATGTAACTGTCACCACGGACGATCAGAAGTACGATGCATCTATCCCTATAGAGCATTGCCCGTCCAACTCAGGATGCAGAGCACTTATCACAATGGCGAATGGAAACACTCAATTCCCGGTCAACGAGAACTTTACCATATTATTTAAGGTATTATCTCGCATGTACTTAAACAGACCATCATCAGCACCATCAACAGTTCAGCTTCTTTTCCACTGCTGAACACAGGCGTCCCCCCAGACTGCCACAAAGCGCGATCCTCAACCGCCTGCATCTATTCTCTCACATTTGCATATATACACATATAAATATATATATATATATATATATATATATATATATATATATATATAACCGGAATCTAGGAAACGGCTCCAGCGATTTTCATGAAATTTAGTATGTATGTGTTTTATCACTTGTATGTCGTTTGATCCCAGGGAACGAAAAATATCATTCGAACACGACGGTAAATTTCACCAAATATTTTCATTAAAAAAAACTGTTATAATAGCTCGGTCGGTAATCGGGCGGCGCCTAAACAGGCCGTGTCACGATCATTTACACACTTTTTTTTTTACTTTTTTTTCGATTACAGATCATTGCTTTCTTCATTTTTTATTTTTTGGTGATATAACTACAAAAAAAATAAAATCATCTGGGATTTTGTTATTTTTTTCCCTTTTTTATTTAAAGTTCTTTCTTTTGTGAAAAACACCAGTTCATATTTTCTTATTGTTACGTCGGTAAGATCGAAACATATTATGCATATTTCATTACTCAGTATTTGTATCTAATTTCCAAAATAAATGATTTACTAAAAAAAACAAAACGAGCAAAGCTCGGTCCTCCAGGTACTTTAAATTAATCGGCGATAACACTAATTATGGAAGAGTCGAGAAAGAGAAAGAGAATGCGTATGGACGTAAAAACAGTCAAAAAGCTGATATGTATATGTTAACACCAATCAATTTTTAGGATATTTTTTACTTTTAGTGGACGTAAGGTGAAATTTGGGTAACGCTTAAGTGTCAAGTTTGAATTCCACAGCACCGTAGAAATTTTTGATAATTTATCTATTAAACTTTACATTTTCACCTTAAGCGCTTTCAGCTTTTAAAATTAAGGCTACTGATAAAATACTGTTAAAATGAAAGATAAAGAGCAGATAGTAATTTATTTTGTACCATTATTGAACAGGGTAATTCGAGCAAAGGCGTTTGGCTGGATTACGTTCTGGTCATAGCGAAGCCGGACTATATGGACACAGCCGTTAAGGAAGTCAACACTCTAGATTATACAAGGGAATTCATTGAAAAGTGTGCTATGAACCATTACTATATAAATCCCAATGAAACCGGTAAGTATTTAATACCAGACAGAAAATCAATTAACATGTTTATATTTATTATTTTGACCTAACCCTTTTTCTATAGATAAATTAAAGGCAACTTTAGTAGACTTCCTTATTATAAGGATGATAGGAAAACAACCAATTCCTTATTGTGCTCTCTCGCTCCTAAGGCTACGAGACATAGCACTCCTGACCCTGACCTTCAACCGTGTTTTTGATTGTTACAAGTTTCTGGCTTGGCTGACAAAATAGTGCTGCGACCGCGAACCATTTAGTTTATTAACGTTGTCGAATTTTTTCTTCTGTTTGACAAGGTTTCAAAAATTTCGATTTAGTTATTCTTTTTAAAATAATATTATTGTACATCAATAATTTCAATCAATAAATTATTTTAAAATAAATAGCAACACGGACCGTCCTCTGACTAGCCTGCTCCTCTTGGAAAGTAATAACTTACAAGTTCATTGATCTAAGTGAGAGGAAACTCAATCTCATTATAATGACACATTATTTTTGGTTAACATTTTTTTTTACTAAATTATGACATTCTCCAAAAACCTCACAATGAACGTAGAAATTAACGGAAGAAGAGGAATTAGATTTCTATCTTATTTCACGAGATTCATAAAAAAGCTCGATATTGCATCGGGCGCTACCGATTTTCACGGCCAAGCACATCTCTAGACCGTTAAAGGAGTTTGCGTAACGGCTCTAATAAATTTCGCAGTGGCGGCGGAACACGTGCGGGTTTGTTGTCGGTGGTCAGTGGTGCGCGCGCCGATAGATGCGTGCGCACCACTAACTAAAATCCCTTGCACGTATTTCGCGGGCGTCGTGCCCCCCGTGTCGTTCCGACCGCTCCCGCCGACGCACGTCAAGCAATACACGGAGGCAAACCGAGTGTCGGGATAAAACGCGACGTGTGAAATTATTTCACGGCGACATCATCGCCACTCGATGGTCGTTCGATTGATTTGATCTTCGAAATGCCGCCGCTTCGTAGGGTTCTGCCGCGACGCGATGTTCTCCATCACTGCGGAGTACAACAGCGGCGCGCTCAGCTGCTTTTGCGACTTCATGGGCTCCACGGAGCTCGAGTGCAACACCTTCGGCGGGCAGTGCCCGTGCAAGCCCAACGTGATCGGGCGGACGTGCAGCGCGTGCAAGACCGGCTTCTACGGCTTTCCTAATTGCAGGCCCTGCAATTGCCCGCTAACCGCCATTTGCGATGACAATGGTGAGTGGTGCGATCCATGGGCTTCGTAGAAAAAAATGCCACATATTTCCAACTGGAAGGTTTATTCTACACTTCGGGGCCATATGATTAGATAGTAAAAATGTTTTACAGCAGGATTTTTCACTTTATAATTAATTCTGACTGTAATGGAGTACAGTTGATTTTTCAATTAAAATATTTTCAGACAGCCAAGCTCTGTTGTAGATGATGATGATATATGTGGAATAAGCGATTGACAAAATATTTTTGTGTTGATGTAACTTTTGCTAGGTTACTTTTAAGATGTTGCGCATGAAATTTATAAGCCACCAAAAAATTGCCAATTTGTGCAATGAAATGAAATATTTATAAAGGAAACGTTGAAGACTTTTTTGTTTTATGCGATGAACACACATTACAGTGTTGTTAAGAGCAAAATATCTTCCATTCATTTAAATGTTGTCCAAATTTGAAGCAAATAAAAAACAAGCTTGCAACAATAGCGAACGCTTGTTAAAAATATATGTATATGCGTTTTAGGTCAGTGCATCTGCCCCAAAAATGTTGAGGGTGACAACTGCGACAGGTGCAAACCGTATACGTTCAACTTCGACGTGCAACGCGGTTGCGACGACTGCAACTGCAACCCGCTGGGAGTTGTTGGCAACCAGTTGCAATGCGAAGAGGACAACGGAAGCTGCGAGTGAGTGGCCCAGGAAAAACATAATCAGCTTTACATTTAATGATTGCATCGCATTGCTGGCTGAAGCAATGTCCAACAAATAAACCCAGATCAAACATTCGCAGGGATTAGTGGAGCTGTAGAGTATAAATTGGCTGCAACGTGTAGTATTTTTATGAACAAATTCTGCACGTTGCAGCCAATATGCTTGGCAACTGCGCCTAAATTTATGAAATCACTGTTCATATTCTAGCTGCAAAGAAAACGTGATAGGCCGCACCTGCGATCATTGTGTGCCCGGTCATTACGCGTTCCCGGAGTGCCTGCAATGCACATGCAGCCTAGACGGGACCACCGAGGATGTTTGCGATCAGAACACTGCCCAATGCTACTGTAAGAAGCACGTAAGGGGACAGGTACGATATGAACAATTATTCTGTTATCTGAAGAGGTATTTATGGTGTTGAAATCAAAAACAAGGTACCCACATCGACGAGAGCACCTTTAACTAAGGAATCTGAATATTGTTGATTATATATGCAGCAAAGTTGTTAAACAAGTGCCTTTCAATTCGGAAATACGTACATTAACTGTTACAAAAATAATAACATTTTTATAACACGTTGTTAACCTTCTTTCTAGGCGTGTGACACGTGTAAAGATGAATACTTTAATCTACAACCAGACAACCCGGAAGGCTGCACCAAATGTTACTGCTTCGGGAAAACCACGAGGTGCACAAGTTCCTTCCTGACTTGGGCCGAGGTGAAGTACTAATACTACTAATACTAATGTTTTACATAAAGTTTGTTTGTCAAAACTATAATATTACGTAAATAAATTAATTAATAACCATTTTAAAAACAGATAAGCGGTATGAGTGATTGGTACCTGGTGAACATCGAGATGAACCGCACGCTGAACATTTTCCCGCACACCATCGCCCCCAGCATATTAAATGACAGTGTTATTGGCGCTGAACTCGTGAGCAGCGACGAACACGATCAAAAAGTGGTCTACTTTGGTGCACCCGAGTATTACCTGGGTGAGCTGTGGCAATAAAAATGGAAATAAATCAATTCACAAGATGCGGCTAATTTATACTTTTAAACTCATTAATGTCCTGAACGACTTTTAACGTGCAGCAAAAACTACAAAATCTATAAAGCTGAATTTTAGGGTATAGGAAATCACGATTTTATCATGAAGGCGTCCAATAAAGGATTTTTAAGTTAAGGGAAACTGTATGATATTAAGACTTTATTTAAAGGTATTATATAAAGGTCGGACCTTTAAAATTAGAAATTGATCTTCTCATAAGAAATAATTAATTTCGAGGTTCATTGTTTTTTAGATTTTCACGTTTTAAAATGTCATGTTCCAATTTATTTTCTTAAAGGACAACGCCTCACATCATACGGAGGATACTTGTCGTACACCGTCTTTTACACGACGAGAGACGAAGGCAACGCTGTCATCGAAGCTGACGTAATTATTGGAGGCTCGAATGGATACATCGTACACAACAGCGTAGAACAACCACCCTCCTTAACAAACTGGAGACACAGCGTAAGAATCAGCGAGGACGAATTCACGAACTTAGATGGGTCAGCGGTCACCAGAGACCAGTTCATGAATATCCTTATCAACGTTACCAGCATTTACATCAGAGCCACATATTGGCACGAGGCCGTGACAACAAGGTATTTACGTATTGCGATATATGTAGTGAACTTTTTGTTTTCGCCACACGACTTTTACCAATAATACTTCCGGAACTCGTAAAACTCGTCGGCGGCTTCAGTGTTTGATAACTTGCAATTAATAATCCACTCTGTGAAAGAGAAATTTCGATAAAGAATTGTATCGTTTCATGTTGAAGTATGTAAGAAATGTTTGTATAGAGAATGTGCTGTTTTAAGGTTGATGAGCGTGAGTCTGGACGTAGCTGTCGAGGAATACACGACTGGTGGTAGACAAGCGTCTTCGGTGGAGGATTGTCAATGTCCGAAAGCTTACCGAGGACTATCGTGCGAGCAGTGCGCTGAAGGCTATTACCGGCTCAGCACTGGACCCCACGCGGGATTCTGCGTGCCCTGCCAGTGTAACGGTCACTCCAATGAGTGTGATGTCAACACCGGTGTTTGTCTGGTAAGTCGAAACTTAATTTACGAAATTTTTACCAGTGTAAAAGTCAGTAATCGAAATTTAAAAACATTACCGATTTTTTCTATCGAAGTTTTATCAGATTCTTATAATCGATTAACTATCTGATAATATTTTTGCAATAGAGGCGCTGCGTGATATCAGTAGAAGTAGAAGAGAGCCTGTTTTAACCTCACTAGTCAGCAACGTTTTAATAAGTGACCTCTAGTGTTCTGTGTTCTCACTAAGTTGCAAGATTTTTTGCCACCAGCACTATAAAATTAGAAAGTAAAATACTAGTGAGAGCTATATATACAATGCAAAAGACCTTATACTTTACTTCTAGGCATGTACCGACTACACAATGGGAGATCACTGCGAGCAATGCATACCCGGCTACCACGGTGACGCAACAGTTGGAACTCCACACGACTGTCTTATTTGCGCTTGCCCGATGCCTTACCCTTCCAATAAGTAAGTCTTTTCCTGGCTGTAAGGTAAGATTATCTTTTCACATGGACAAACACCCAGATCTGGAAGATTATAATCTATAGGGGACACAAACACTTGTCCCATGTGAGAATCAGACCCACGAACCGCCGCGCTAAAATCGAAAGTTTAGCAACTGCGCAAGCCGATCAATTATTTATGTAATATTTGGTTTCGTTTAATGTCATGTGATCACTTTTCTTCTTCACAGCTTTGCCATTGGGTGTGATTTAAGTCAAAATGGTTCCCTCATTTCCTGCATCTGTAAACCGGGCTACGGCGGTGCAAGATGCGAATATTGCGCAGCCGGATACTATGGTATTCCAGAAAACATTGGTGAGTAAAGACACTTGCATATACGAGTATATTATAGTTAGTTCTATTGCCCTAGTTTTGTAAAAAGAACATAAATTGCTAAAATTCATGTTATTTATTCAAGTAAAGCTACCTCGACAAGATCAGACTTCTACAATACTGCTACAAAGGGCATTTCATATTAACTTTTAAAACGTTACTACAATAAATAAAACTTCACCCGAAAGAGAATTTTAAATATAACTGGAATTTTAAATTTTTGCCCCTTATTTTTCTTTTTATTAGGGGATTATTGCAAGCCCTGCAACTGTTCGGGTAACATTAACATCGAAGATCCAAGATCTTGTGACAGCATCACTGGAGACTGCCTCAAGTGCGTTAACAACACAGCTGGTGCCGCTTGCAATCTTTGCGCCCCTGGTTTCTTTGGAGACGCCATCTTTTCGAAGAACTGCACTGGTAAGTAATAATAAAAGCTTGCTTACACCTCTCCCTTTATAGGTCCAACTTACTGCTGCCGACAAACTGCCTCACAGTTTGGCAGAGAATAATTTATGTTATTGTACCCTATTACTGGATTAAATAAATATCATGTGTTCCAAAAACATTTTGTGAGCACAAATTCTATAAAACAAACAACAAACTTGGAAAAGATTCTGTTCATAATATTCTTCTTTCAGTCAGTTCTTGCAATTGTGAGCCCAAACATTTTGCTACCAATTATACCAGCGGCACCGAAACTAATGGCTAACAGCTAAATCCCAACCGTCGTACAATCCCAAACATTTAACGATTTTACAAGAAACATCTTGATTTTACTTCATGATACAAAACTAAACATAGAATCAATGATGAATATCGTCAACAAAACAAAATTAATTCAATAAAACCCGTTCAATAGATTCATTCGTTTATCGACATCAATTTGTTTATTAACATGGACACAAAATATAATGGTCAAAAACCTATGCAATTCCATCAATGACCTCGTTCATGAGTCTATAGAGTTTAGTGTTACACGTTCAAAGTGGTCCCTTGTATTGTCAGCGTGCGTGTGCGACGAGTTTGGTATGGAGCGGTGCGACCCCACCACGGGCACGTGCGTGTGCAGCCGCGGGGTGATAGGCGAGAAGTGCGACCGCTGCGAGCCTAACCACTGGGGCATCAACAGCGGCCAGGGCTGCGAGCCATGCGACTGCGCCCTCGCTTCCGAGTCCCCCCAGTGTGACGACAGCACGGGACAGTGCAGGTGCCGATTCTAGCCGATACGTTTCTTCGTTAACGAGGGTTTAGTGACCATCGCGTTTAGGGACATCTGCAGCAGCTGATTGGTTGCACCCAAAACACCTCTAGTACCTGATCGAACGCGAAATTATTATTCTTCCACTTCACGGTGGTCTTCTGTGAAGCCGTGGTACCCCGGAGCAGTCTGCCGATTCGCGCAACATCAGAAGCCGTTGCGTGGTCATACCACGGGTATCCGTTCCATTACAATTTAATAATAAAGCACAAAGATGTCTATTCTATTGTCAAAAATTAAAAGCTTTATCATGTCCTAACTGGTGTCCTTGGCTCCCCTGGTGTTGCAAAACCAAGATAGTTTCGCTTTACCTTTTCTCTTTTTCAGATGCGCTAAAGGTGTTACTGGAAAACATTGTGATCAATGTGCCGCTGGTTACTGGAACTACACAAAAGAGGGATGCGATCGTTAGTATTAAAGTATTTTTAGTTTATGTGAAAGGTTGCTAAACTAGTAGGCGGTTCACCTGATGTGAATACCGCCGCCCATGGACATCTACTACACCCCAGGGTTTGCAGATGCAGTGACAACCTTTTTGTAAATTGAGCTCCGGCTACCTCACTCACCAGACGAAACGCGAAAGTATTTGTACTACTTCCACTTTACGCCGGTCTTCTGTGAGGTCGTGGTACTTACAGGGAGGAGTCTGCCCAATCGTGCAACAGCCGAGGCTGCTGCGTGGCTCTACCACCGAAAAAAAGAAAAAAGTATTAATTCAGATTTGTACACAATCGTACTTATCAAAAAATCTGTATCTATCGCCTTTACTGGGGTTGTTGCTGCATGTTTGTTTTCGACATCGCATTAGAAACCTTTAAAGTCATTAGTGTTTCTCTGCTATATTATTCATGAACTATACATATAAACCTTCCTCTTGAATCACTCTATCTATTAAAAAAAACCGCATCAAAATCCGTTGCGTAGTTTAAAAGTTTTAAGCATATATAGGGATAGACAGACAGCGTGACGACATTGTTTCATACTATGTAGTGATGATTAATTACGTAATTAAATCATATTGACCTCCAAAATTAATAAACACTAAAATTTAAGATTAAAATTAGATTAGAGTATGTACTTTATGAAACGCCGGCACCAATAAAAATTGTTAATTTCAAGTGCTGAATTATCACGTGCTCAATGGTGAAGGAAAACATCGTGAGGAAACCTGCATGTTTTCCAAATAATAATAAAAAAAATATTTCGAAGATATGTGAAGTCCGCCAATCCGCAGTGGGGCCGCGTGGTGCACTATGCCCTGATACCCTCTGTACAGACGAGACCTTTGCCCAGCAGTGGGACCTGTATAGGCTGATACTTTTATGTACCTTATATTTTGTGTTGTAATGTAAATTCCGTGGGTAACATATTATTTTGTTGCCAGATTGCAATTGTAATACTGGATACTCGCTCGGGTTTATGTGCAATGCAACTGGTCAATGCGAGTGTCTTCCTGGTGTCATTGGCGAGAAATGCGACCGTTGTCCGGAAAGGTACAATATTTTCAAAGTACGAACAAAATTTCCGTTCGATTGAAATTTAATTGATTGCGTATTAATGTTATTGAAACTATTTAACAGATGGGTTTTAATCCCACATGAGGGCTGCCTGGAGTGTGACTCCTGCACCGATGCCTTGATCTTCTCCGTAGAAGATTTAAGTTACTTACTTGCTAATGAGAGTTTGGAATTCAAGGTAAAATTATAGTCTAATTTCTAATAAATTTTACTTTGTAAATAGAGCTACAGTCAATTCCATAAGTAAATTCGCCTTTATATTCCTTTTTTAGTTCAATACATAGAACTATTTAAAAATTATTGCAAAGAGAACCTTAAAAAGTGGTAAACATTGGATATTGGAAGAAGTTTATATAAAAGAGATTTATTAAATTGACATCATTTTGAGTAGATTTATACCACCCCTCGCCGCTATGTCTATATTTGTCGAGCAAAAGTTTTTTCTTTAAGATAGGTAGTTTAAATAAATAAATGTAATAATAAATAAATAATGTCTACAATGTGTACCTATATATTACAAAATATGTTAGAGTACGTTTTTAGTTACATAAGAAAGTACGTACAAAATTATACCCTGAAATATGATAAATGATTCATCACTCTCTCAATACTGATTGTTACTTTTGTTCTCTATAAGCGGCGGAAAAAGCTAGACTATATAATCTCTTATTGTTTTTTTAGCGAAAAAAAATAATAGAGGCTTACTAATAATAAATTTATGTCTAACAATCTGCTATGAAATAATAAAAATGATACCATGAATTTATTGTACAATTATATATTTATGTTAATTTCAGGACAAGGCAGATTCGTTTTTCACGACCCAACGCCTGAACTACATATCGAATCAAACAGAACAGCTTAAGCCAAGATTAACTGAATTACGCAACGTGGATTTAGTTGAAGTTACATCTGCTGTTAAATCCCTGGAGACAAGCGCCAAAAACTTACTGAGATCTGTAAGTTAAATAAAGTACATATATCGTGTTAACAAAACAATTTAACCTGTCCCCTGTAAAAACGTTTATTCCTTAAATATTTCACTATTAAATGAATGTTTATGAATATAAGTACATTAATGCTAATCAAGATTAATTATTTAAAGTTGATACGTGTTTAAACATTTTTTTTTATTTAATTATTGATTCCAAAACAATGTGCCCATAAAAAGGATCTGTTTTCTTTTTATTTATACAGGCAGAGTTTGCGGCAACCGATAGCGACAACCAGATTAGTAGAGCTGCTTATTTGGCTGCGGATGCTGAAAAGGTACTTTTATCAGTCCGTGACAATGGACAGAAGGCTATGGAAGTTGTGACTCACGTCAGTGATTTGGCAACGGGGTTGGAACTAAGCCAGCAACCGAAAGTTGACAGCGCCTTAGCAGAAGCTCAACAGATTAAGAACGATATTTCAGGTAATAGCTTTGCTCTTGCAATGTGCTTGGATACCGTTTTGCCTATATATTTTTGTTAAAAGCAGTTACAATTAGATAAAGCTACGTAGGTATATTGTATTAATCATGATAATCACGACTAATGATATAATTTTTTTAGTTTGTGACATTTTTCATCTGTTTTCTTCTTTTGATACATATTTTTTTTTTTTTTTTCAGTTAAGAGTTTAATTCCAAAGGAGCAGCAAGCAATCAGCGCAATAAATAATGCAACTAACCAAATAGAACGAATGAATGTGTTTATTCAACCCGTTAACGAACAAGCGAAGGTTTTAACAGTATTTTGGAATGTTATCTGATTATTATATGTTTCCTAGAAAAGTAATTTCATATCCCTTTACAGAAATTCCAAAAATTGGTAAACTCGACGAAAGATCTCAAGGGAAAACTAGACGAAATGTTGGAGTACACTGATCTGGCACAGCACACAGCTGATGCCGCTAAGACGCTAAATGATAAAAACAGGTTAGAATAACAACTGATTATGTTTAAAAATTAATAACCACAGAAATGCTGAATGTTATGTATTTAACAGGGAGTCGAAGTTCGGGAACAAAGTGCTGTCGGTAACAAAGCTAAATGGCGCAGCAATGAAAGACCTCATCGACGCTGCTCTAGATATTAGCAACGCTACCTTTTTCAATATTTTATCGAACGGAATTGTAAACGATACTTCCAAAACTTTAGAAGCCCTGAATGATGGAAACGGGGAAATCGAGGAGCGATTAGCTTTGTTAGCGGAAGCATTGCCAGAACTAAGCAATTTAACCGACGTAGCCTTACATCACGTGAGAGGATTAAGAAACAGGGTAAGATTCAAAGGTTCTTTTTATAATGCTAATCTCTGCATTTAAAATTACTTTTCTACAAGTTTTAAGGGTAAGATTCATTAAAATCTTTGGAATTCCGTGAATTAACTTACTTAAATCGAACATACAAAGCCTGCTTGACGCTTAACCGAGAAGTTACTAATATTCTTTGTAATGCTGAAGAATTTCTGTTTCGGTATTGGAGAGTAATCAGCTGATCACTAATGATGCGTGAGTAATATAATTTTAACATGACACCATCAGGCGGACAGTCTTCGGGCCCTGGCTGAAAGGGAGAACAACAATACGCGCACACAACATGCTTACAGTGCGGCATCGGCTTACTCATCCATAGTACAAGAGATACGCGACGCTAAAGACGCGGCCGACGAAGCTGAAGCATGGGTGCATAACGCTACAAGTATAGTAAGTATATAATATAAGACATCTCATAGATATGATATCCATAGGACCAATACTTAATCATTTTAGAACTTTGCATTTAAAAATAGTACATCATATTTTTCTCCATAAAGGATTTTATACATAGGTTTCTGCATAAATTATCTCTTATATTAAACATTTGAAGTTCAAATGTTGTAATAATAACCTTGCTGCATTATTTAGGCCAAACAAGACGGTGACAATTTAGGACTGTGTAGAGTCGTTCCTAGGAAATTTTACATGAATATTAAGTAATGTTAAAATGTTTTCTCCTCAATCATATTATCTGCATTCTTAATTTTAGAATAATGTTCTTAACGAAAGCGTCACACCGGCGAAGAATACGTCACAAGTATTGTCTGAGCGGGCGTTAAAAGCACTACAAACTGTAGAACAACAGCTGAGGCCTAACCTAACTCAAGCGGAGCAAGCGCTGAAGAACGCCTGGACAACCTTAGGTGTTGCTGATGACGAAGACAACGCTATACAGCTGTACGTATTAAATTAATATTACTTGAAATTTTTGAATCAAAGTAACACATGGTAAATACAATTTTTATTCGAAGCTATTAAAAAAGGTGCTTTATTTTTAAAAAAATCCAAAAATCGAACTTATTTGCCAATTTTAAAGTTTTTTATAGTGCTAATCTCTGCACTTAAGATTGAACATTAAATCAGCCTACAGCGGCGACAATCTTTTCGTACTTTTTCTTCATGTTTTAATTATTTGCCAGTTTTTTAGTCGATCAGTTAAGACGAAACATATAATAATGAAGTGTGATTACTAGTTCAACTAACTTAATTGATTTTATTACAGATCGCTGCCAACCACCACTCCATCTTCCCTTGAAAATGAAACCGAAAAGGCGGCCAAAGTAACAGAAACTGTTAAGTCCACTGTCAAGATAATGTCTCAACTTGGAAGCGATATTGCAGCTAGCAAAGAATGGGCTCAATCACTTCCAAAGGCTGCGAATGATGCCCAAAAGATGACTTCCAACGTCGATAACTTAGGTGCGTAGTCGTGGTTATCTATAAATATTTGAAATATATTTTAGTTCCAAGAAATAACTTTTAATTATTATTTATATTCAGTAAACAGCATTGGAGATATGGACCCTAAGATTTCATCACAATACCGCGTGGTAAAAATGAAGCAGGAGAGCCTTGAACAACGGCGCAAGGAAGCCGACGATAAATTGCAAAAGTTAAGGGAACTTGTTGAACAGGTATTTTATTGATTTTCCTTTCTTTTATCACCTAAGAGTTATATGTAAAAAAAAGAAAAAGGATATGACTGACATAGCTCAACATGTTTAGATGATTGGTTGATATGTTCCCAGGCACGTACAGTAGCCAATCGAGTGCAAGTCGGAGTCACATTCGATCGCTGGTCGACTTTGCAACCGAGACTTCCTGACACTGTTGACGAAATGTCCACCTCCACCCATGTTTCTGCATATTTCCGCACAAAAGAGAAAAATGGATTCATACTATACCTGGGCAATCCGAAAGATACAATGCTCAGGCGAACAAAATCCGTAAGTGAATTCTATTTAATCCATTATTTATTTGAAAATAGCAGATATAGCATGGCCAGAACCGAGACGGTTTGCATGAATGTTTCATGTTCAATTTTTCATTCAATCGTTGTAATTTTTCCACCGCTTTGTAATGTTTGAGATGCCAATAATTGCTTGTGCTTTGAATACAATCATTATTAAGAATTTAATTCTTAATTTAGATGATATCCACGTAGGCATTTTGCTTTTACGATTTTGGATGACATTGGACAAATTTAAATGATTTTAAAACATATTAAAACTTTTATGTTTCAGGACGACTTCATGGTGATTGGCATCCAAAATGGTTATCCATATCTTGTAATGGATATTGGAGACAGTGCCGAATCTGGACAGGAGCCAAAGAGAATTGGAAATGACAAATTTGTCGCCGACAACAGATGGTATCAAGTTATAGTTGATAGGTAAGATCTACATATCATGTACCTTAAGTTTAAACACTTTATCAATTAAAATGCAAATGAACAGAAATATCAACATATAATTATAAAACACTACAAATCTTAAGTTTACAAAAGTGTAAAATTGTAACAGAAATTATGAGTTTAAACTTTCAAGCGATTAAAGTGTTTACTTTTTTACAGAGTTGGGCGCAACGTTAAACTGTCTATACGTGAAAGTCTGGACAACGGCACGGATCACATCCACTCTAAAGACTCCGCTCTACCTGGTCAACATACCATATTCAATCTGGATAGACAAAAATCGAAATTGTACGTCGGAGGTGTTCCATCAGATGCGAAACTGCAGGGTGTTAGCTTCCCCGCTTTCGAGGGACAAATAGAAGAACTCATGATAGGGGACACACCTGTAGGTCTTTGGAACTTCAAAAGTGCTGCAAATCTGAAAGGAGCGAGGCAGAGGTAACCGTCCCCGACTTAAGCATAAAATTGCTGATATATTACTCCAGTTTTCAATTTCGCTTTTAAATTTACAAATATATAACTTTTGAGAATAATTTAAACACCATTTTTTTTAGAGATAAGTTAATAACATCACTGAGCGGGCCGCGAGAGTATCGATTCAACGGGCGTTCACACGTTACAATGCCAGGAAGGGGATATTTAGTGCCCCAGAAGAACCATGTACTTCTCTTCTTCAGAACCTATGCACCAAATGGCCTTATATACTTAGTGGGTGAAGGAACACACTTCTTCTCCCTGCAAATGCAAGATGGACGCATATATCTGCAGGTATAGTTATACTGTCTTCTTTATATTTCTACATGTCAAGAATTTAAATTTTCTCTCTTTCTATGTCAAGTTTTTTCATAATTTTTAATACTTTGTTTTTTGCTTCTACGAAGGTATCACTTGGAAATACAGACGATCTTGTGATAATCGGTACCTCTAAGACTTACAATGATGGCAAATGGCATAGGCTTGACGCTGGAAGGTATTTGACAACGTGCTCTCTAAAAGTTGATGGGGAAGTTCTCAAGACTGTATCAACATCAGAAGTTAAAGAAATCCCCGATCTGGACACTATGAACTTCGGAGGCAACAACAAAGATATCATACAAGTAACAAATAAAGGATTTGATGGATGCATACGCCAAATTAGTATCGACGGCGTGAATATCGATCTCAGTGAGAATATAGAATCTGTGGGAGTAGCTTACGGTTGTCAGGTAAACATCCACTTATTAAAACGCTTATTCTAAATTACTAATTTAAAAATTGATTGTTTACACCACTGCTTACAAAAGGTGAAGTTAATGCTAATAAGCATTCTCTTCCAGTTTATCGACAATTTAAAATACGTGAAAATCAAAATTTCAAAAATATATATTTTTAGTTTGCCTCCCTGGTATCTCTTTCGGGCGAAGACAGTTACCTGCGCTACGTGAATATAACAACAGAAAATATGCAACTAACACTGAAGTTCAAAACGTCAAAGCCGGATGGTTTAATTTTTGTTTACCTAAGCAGAACCCAAACCACGACTATGTCAGACAGCGTATCACTGTCCTTAATCAATGGTTAGTAGTTTGTTGGTAAACAATTTCTAATTAAGGACAAGGTTTTGATTTCTCTGGTAATTTTGAAAAATATAAATGTACTTTTTACAACTTAGAGTTTCTAATATTTTAGGTAAACTGGTGCTGATGAGCCAAAGAGAACAACTCGACACAGGCTTGAGCACGTACAATGATTCGCAGTGGCATGTCGTGACTGTCACACATAACAATCAAGCGCTAAGGCTTGTTGTCGATGATTTCGACTATTTCAGGTATAGGAAACATTTCATTACTAATAACAAGAGGCAACTACGTAGTCCTAAACTGTGAACTGAACAGATATGTACATTCTCACACTAGACGACCAAAACTATGTACTGTTTTTATTTCAAAATATGTTGTGTATATGTCGCGAGTTGTTGGGAAAAAGGTGATGAAGGGAACGCGCATAGATAGTTTCATTCCACCAAGCTACTTCTTTAATTTCATATATAAACTACACTTTACTCTGAAAATGTCTTATATTTGTTATAATAAAAGTATATTAATTATTTGCAGCACCGACACAGCACCGGCTCCACTCCATATACTCGATGGAGTTCTGTTCGTGGGTGGGGTGCAGCCCAGCTACGTCGTTGGTGGGAAGGTCGGCTCGAAATCACCATTCCAAGGCTGCATAGCTGATGCCACTTTGAACGGCAGGGTGCTCAACTTGCTGGAGCCTTTCAGCAATAACAGTGTCACGTTTGGCAGGTGTGGCACTACTACCACCACAGGCGGAGTTCCTCCAGGTGCTATTTACACTACATTTGAAATTAGATTTTATCATTAAGCTTATTTAATATTGAGTGTAACAAGAATAATAATAAGTGACTCCATTTAATTGGAAAAAGGAAAGAATAATATAAAATAACAGAAAAAAGAAAAAAGTGAAAAAACAAAGCCTCCTCTGTACAGAGCGTAATTAAACACAGTCCACCATCCACCACACAAACTCAACGCAGTTTGAAGGAAGACTTCTCACCTTGAAATATATTTTTTCGATTATTTAGAAAATAAGCTGGTTCCTCCCGTTGTTTTCGTCCACCGTTGAGAACCTGATGATTTTAATAAAAAAAATTGTTAAATGTTATCGACGATCACTATGTGCTATTACAGATCAAGCTGCTTGGCCGGCACCTACACCGCCCGACGTGTTACCAACGCCAACGCGTTTACCAACTCTACCGCCTCTAGCCACACCTCCTCCAGACGTGGTTCCAAATAAAGGTAAGCAATTTATAAAGAGAGCACAAAGCAAAATATTCTTCTAACAATTCCTTCGATTTATGTGAGTTGTTATATGTGACGACACCAAGCGGAATACACAAAACTTATTTCGTCAACAGTGAATGTGGACGAGAACGAAATCTTCACCGTGCCACCTACGGAACCGCCAACAACAACAATGGTACCGTTCAAGATCACTTCCACCACAATACGCCCATCGACGACAACGCACCGACCCCCCCCACAACCAGAATCTGGGTGTGCCCTCGCATACGATCCCCAGTACGGGATAGGGGATCCATCTGAAGGATACAGATTCGGTTCGTACTCCTAATGATAACTTTAAATTAATAGAATGTTCTGTCTGCTATAAGAAAATCCACTATTAATACTTTTGTTAAAACGACTACAAATTTTAACTATGATGTACTCCATGAGTGGGAAGAAGTGTTGAGTGTTAAATGACCGGGAGGACTGAGACGGCCATAGGGTCGCGGAAGATTGCGTCTTCGGTTCGCGTGACCGGTGCAACGTATTGCAAGTTTTGCCGCTATAATTTATCACGTTTAAATCATGTTGACAATATCTACTTTATTAATTATTAATATTATAAATGGGAAAGTAATTCTGTTTATCTGTCTGTATGTTACTCTTGCATTTTTGATACAATTTTAGAGCTGCTGAAGATTGAAGGGTAAATAGCGCGACGGCGCTTAGATGACGGACTTGACGACAAGAAAGGCGTAGTGGGTAGTGTACCTGCCTCCTGCGCCAGAGGTTGTGGGTTCGATCCCCACTACTGGAAAAATATTGTGTGATGAACATAGTGTTTTCCTAGTGTCTGGGTGTTTATATATGTATAATATGTATTTTTATTTACAAAAGAAAAGTATATTCAAGTATGTTTATCATTTTTCTAGTACCCATACTACAAGCGTCGCTTAGTTTGGGACTAGAGAATGTTGTGTAAAAATGTGTCCTAAAATATTTATTATTCATTATTATTATATGCTGAACGTCACACTTCTCTTAGTTCTTACAGAGGCATTAGAACAAACTCATGTCTATTAAAATGCAAATAAAATAATTTTCAGGCACACGAAACGACAGCCGAATAGAATACTCCAAGCTACCCGGCAGACAACTGGAAGGATTCGACTTTACAATCACGTTCCGTACATTTGACCAACACGGTGGTCTTATCTTCTACGCAGAAGCTGATAAGGCACCTGGCCAATTTCTCGCCCTTTATATGAAGGACGCAAAGGTAATTCCACAAGAAATCAATCCACCTGTTTGAAATCTACAACAAAGATATTTCTCGTGCCTTTCAAAATTTCTTATTAAATATCTTCCTCAGTTGCACTTCACCTTCAATTGCGGAGGTGAGACCGCATTCGTGCAGTCGACGCAAATGTACAACGGCACCGAATGGCACACTGTTACCCTGGTCAGAAATGAAGGCCACGGTAAATTAACCGTCGACTCTGAGCGCATCGGGGAGGCTAGCGTCACGTGCATTTCTCCAGCTGTTCTGACACCGCCGTTCTATTACGGCGGCCTGGGAAATGTTTCCTCCAGCGTGGGCCAGAACCTCATGGTGAGTTTCTTTTTAATATTGTACAAGAAAAGGGGTTATGAAAGCAATAATAGCAGTATATAATGTTCCTGAGGGATAATTACTACCCCGATTACCTGTAAATCTAGTTTTGAGTAATTTTTATATATAAACAATTTATAAATTGACATTGATATAACAATTTCTTCGTTGGACTCAATTTCTCAATTTTCTTTAAATGCATTTGAAACCTTAATGAATACATATATGAAGAAATGAAGAACATCCACTACTTAACTGATTTATTGCATACTTTTAACAGGATTTCTACCAGCCCTTCAAGGGATGCCTAAAAGGTTTGATGATGAACGGTCAGTACGTTACCGACGTACTGTATCGCGTCAACTCTTTGCGTTGCACCGACAACATTGAGCATGGCGTGTATTTCGGCCCATCTAATAACGCTCACAGCAATTATCTGAAGGTAAACTCAAATATGTAATGTTTATTAATGTTTATTCAATCCATATTGTAAAATAATCTGTCAATTTAAGAATAATGAACATAATTGTTTTTAATGGTTACTTCAAATTCCCGTGGCGTTTGACAATTGATGTACGGAGAGCCAAAATAAATCTTCTTTCAGCTCCTCGAGAAATTCAAAGTGGGCTTCGAGATTTCGATATCAATGGAAGTGAAGCCACGCAACTCTACGGGGCTGTTGTTCAGCGTGCACGGCAGGCGGGACTTCATGATCCTCGAGCTGCTAGAGAACGAAGTGGTTGCCAATGTAGAGAACGGGAAAGGGCCCTTCCACGCCAGCTACAAGCTGGGCAACAAGTTTTCCCTGTGCGACGGAAATTGGCACAAGATTCATGGTAAGTAAGATTTATGACGCAGTTCGTAACCGTGTTCATCGAGGATGCGTTAGAGATATTCCTTGTTTATTAACTGCTTCATGGGTTGTATTTGCATAAGTGAATATTTTTCAAATCCCGAAATTGCAAGCTTATATATGTGCATATAAATTGTAGTTAACGAAAAACGTTTAACAAAAAGGCGCTCTATCACGATCGCGTTTAAGCGCGCAGGCGGTTAATTGACTAAGAACGAGCAAAACGATAATGCAGACGTGTTCCACCAGCTGTGAAATCGCGGCACGTGGTGTCCGTCGGCGTGGACGGCCACTTCTCCGACGCGGGCCTGGGCCAGTCCGGGTCCACGGACACGCGCTCCGCGCTGTACATCGGCGGCCACGAGCGGCCCATCTCGCGGGTGCCGGGCGTGCGCTCCCGGCGCGGCTTCACCGGCTGCATCAGGAACATCGTGATAAGGGAGACCACCGTTCAGATACCGCTGACCGCCGCCGGCCGCAACACCCACGTGGGCGTCTGTCCGACGGACTAAGGCGTCCGCGATATGTGCTCCCTTCAAGTACTTACCTCGATTCTATGATCCTTTGTTTCGAATTATTTTAACTACAAAGAAGCTTGATGCTTTAACCATAGGTAATATGTATATATATATATATCCGATCGATGTCTTCTTTTGACAAAGTCTGTGTAATTGTGTCAATCGACATACTTCAACTGTGTGCGGTAAAGGAAACTTTTCTGAATAAAGTATACGTATATCATTTGGTGTGGTTATTTTATTGTCCCATGTGTTGAAACATGAAAATGCTTTCAGACAACTTATTCATGAGATGCGCATGAATATAAAACAAAAATGAGTAGAGACAGTAATAGAGGATACTCTGTCTGTAACATGTCAACTATACCAATACGTACGCTAACGAAAAAAAAAACAATATTCAAAATAAGAATATTATAATACAACCTTCGCAGAAAAAAAAATACATTATTCTAATCAATCTTTTTTGTTTTGAAAGGAACATTCTTTGTCCGCTCCGGTAGAATAAAAAAAAACGTGCGAGCTAATAGAAGTATTAGTTTTGTTTTTCATTCACAGTTAAAAATGTTCCTATCTGGCTTATCACGCCCTATACGTTTAACGAAATTAAAAATATTCTGTCTATGGTCTACCTTTATAGCTCAGTGTCCAGGCGCTCGCTTTTAATGCGAAATAATCGAGTAACCCGACTTAAAATCACAGTGCCGGCACCAATAAACTGACCTTCTTACTCGCCTCTAAGGTGTTATCTCACTAATGAATTTCTTCAAAATGACTTTCAGACACTTTCCATTCCACTTCTCAAGTTCAAATTTCCCTCTGCCGTTCATACCATTCATTCCCGAGCGTTCATTGGTTGGAAATCACTCGCGTCGATAACCCCCCACCCTCTCTTTCTTGACGCGCGAACGAATGGCGGAACGAAGTTCGTTGTTTGCTTTAAAGGAAAAGGACTTAAAAATCTGTAAAAAGCAAAGATTTTTTTTTTATTTATGGTACGGTCGGTCATCAATGTCTGCACAATTTGAAAAAGTTTATTAAGAATTTATTTATTACAATTGAGGTGTAAATGTTTTTTTTTATTTTGTGTTAGATGGTGGCAAACCAGCTCGCGGTTAACCCGATGTGAAGTGATAACGGCCGCCCATTAAGATTTGCAGTACCCGTAAGGTTACAAATACCTTGCCACCACTAAGTAATAAAGTGAGCCCCGGCTACCTCACTCACCAGACGGAACGCAGAAGTATTACACTTCCCCTTTACGTTGGTCTTCTATGAGGTCGTGAGGTCGGAAGGAGCTGCCAATTCGTGCAACAGAGAAAACTATGGCTTGGCTGTACCACAGTTTCTAGTTTGTTATTTGATTTTACAGTAATCCTTTTTTTTAGTAGATTTTCTTCCTGTTCGATTACGAAGAATATTGTCGAATAGCTGAACTTTTTACGTAAGTAAGTCTATCAAGTGTAATCGTTTATTTTTATATATTTTTCATATTTCGATTCTTAAATGTTGTATTTTTTCCTGGATTATAACACTATGTTAACTTAAAATGTTAATTTTTAAGCTCTATAAAAAGCCTTCTCTCTGTAAGTATGTTCTACCGCAACGTGAGGTTTTTTATTTTTCTGGTCAAACCATTAAAATAATTGTCAATTGTTCCTAATTACCACGCAATCACTTTGCTAAAAAAATTTATACATCAATCCATCCAAATTCAACGTAAAACCAACGATAAATTCGAAACTCCCATTTAAAACGCCCACCACTAAATATTCATTCACTAAATAAATCAGTTATAATTTATTCCGCACACAGCCCTTGCTTTCAATACAGCCCTGTCAATACAACGCCGGGAGGCTGAGGCGAGCAATATTTAGCTAGTAGACTTTTGAACAGGAGCCTACAAATCCGTTTGTCATTGGCGGAACAAACACAACGCATGCCGTTCCCACCCCTTCACTCGCGCAGGTTGTAATCGATCAACCAGTCATTTTCGCCTGTCAGATTCGCGCGGTGCTACGCGTCGTCGCTCTATTAAGAATATTACTAACCGACTTCTTAAATCATCACAATCGATTTAGAATCGAATATTATCCAGATTTCGCGATTCGGTGTCGTGTGTTTTAGTGTCGCGGTTAGCTTTAATTTATAATATGTGTATAAATTTAAAGCGATCTTGCCCTAAGCTATCGATTTTTTGTTTATCTTGTTCAGCTTACTGTATATTAATAGAATTTAGTTTTGTTTTTCTTTTTGTTTCGCCTAAATGTCTAAATTATTCGCATTTTTTCCGTTGTTCCGTAAATTATTCGTATTTAAATCCTTAGACATAACTATATGAATATAATTCGCTATTTTTTTAATTTGCTTTAATTTTCAAAAAGAAACGTTAGTTTCCTGATGTAGTGATTTGATTCGTCAATAATATGTTTTTTAGAATAAGTTTTGTGTTTGACTAAAATTCACACGATTTCTTAGGGAACAGTTAAATACATGTCATTTATGATGTTATAAAAATAAATTTGTTTTAAATAAATTATTAAATATATATAATACACAAATAATTAAATAATTTGATAAGTTTGATAAAATAAATAGATAAAACATTTGCGCGTAAAAGTCCTTTGTTATCGTTATTGAGTTCCCAAAATGCAATTATAGCGTCCTCTGCAGTTTATGAGTTTCGCTTATTTCCTGTTAGTGTGGGCTATGCTTCTCTTTCTAATGCTTCCCTAATAAAATCGGAACCGTCAAAGACCGACCTAGACGACCGCGGGAAAATAAAATTGAGTAAAATTTTTAAACCGATAACTGTTTTCTATAACATCTTTATATAATAAAAATTAACCGCGAAAAAGGAATACAAAATGAATACCGTCAAGGGAAATATTAAATATTAGCCGGCGATAACTTTAGTTTTATTACAAACACAGGTAATGAAATGCCTTTGTAATGCAGTTTATCAATTTTAATTTTAGTAGATGTCTTTAGAAAGGACGTGTACGTACAGATGTGAAAAATCTCTTTTCTAATATTTACATTTTTAACGCGAATTGGGTAGTTTAAAGATGGCGGGCATTTGAGCCATTGTGAGTTTGCAGCATATATATAAGTGAGTGTCGTGTATAGTGTCAAGTGAATCATATATAACTTGTATATAGAAACGCTGGTCTCAGGCTTCGGTTGCGCACGCAGCCTCCGGCGAGGTCTGTGCTGCCGCGTCCCAGCCATTTACCTATGTACTTCTGGCTCAGCCACATATCGCTGTGCTCTCGCCGTTGCAATTAATTGTTAACGTATATCAAAAGTTTGTGTTAGATAAATAAGGCCTTTGCATTGCTTTCGTTGTGTATTAAATTGATGGTGTTGTGATAAATTTGAAGGCGGACGAAACATTTAGCTGCGATTGTGTCGAGTGAATTTGCTCCGTTGCTCGCGGACAGGTACCAACGCGCCAGAATGAATGGGGACTACGCTGAGGCTCAGGATGGGGCGGCTGGCGACCCTAGCTTCCATCGCCCTCCAGGTCTGGGAGCAGAGGAAGCCACCGGTGCTCGTCGCCGCCAGCCCCTTAATAAGACGGTTGGCGCCGGGAGACCGAAGCGACGACATGACAACGACTATATACCGCAAAATCCTCCCCCGCAAAGGCGCCCCGAGGAATTTCGCAGTAAGAAGCCTTTATTCCTACGTTGTAAATATCATTATGACAGTATGAAACCGCCATGCATAAGCGCCCTGCCTTGATATTTTTTACTCCCGCTACCACCTGAGCTTTTTCTTCTCTTGATGTTATTATTAATTACAAACACCGCATCCCTTGACATCTTTTCTTGTGCCATACTTGTGTGAAATCTAAAAACGGAAATGTTAATGTTTTCAAATCTGTAAAGACTTCGAGACAAAGTCAAACAGAAGACAAAGGGATGTTATACCTACTTAAGAGCTGGGAAATATAGCGCTAATGCGTTCTAAACCTAAATTTGAAAGCTGCGCGTGATTACTTTAATTTAATTCTAAACAGAAAATGTTAAAATGAAAATCGCTTGTATGTTTCAGCGTATTGATGTATCAATTAGGTCACATATTGATGTATCAATTAGGTCACATATTGATGTGACCTATTTATTGATGTGGCCTATTTATTGGCCTATATAATTTATGGTTCAATTTAGGATTTATATTTTATACAATTTAGGATATATTTATTATAGGTTACTAAAATAATTATTATACACGAGACCTTTAACAAAACGTGATTTTTGTATTAAAGTATACGTAACAATTTACTATGATTACGACAATAGCGTAGTGAAAAAGTCTAAAAGTCTAGTGTTTCGCAACATGATAAAGTTGGAGCGATTGACATTAATCTTGCCCCTTTTCTTCGTAAATACCGTCTCTGAGAAATTAATATCGTGACTTTGCGATAATTAACTTGGACGAAGAAGACCGGAACTAACCGAAGTTGTTTAGAAGATTGCACCGACTTTGTAGAATAATTTACTTAATTTTTTTAGTTCCAATCTTTGCTTTTAAGATGAAACTTAAAAATTTGTTTTCCGCTGCCGAAATTCGAGTGTGTGCCTTACGGATACGGAGCTAACCGGTCTACATCCGTACCGTGTGAAAATCCACTTGTAGCAATGCTTGGCGTTATCCAATGATACCTTTGCAGCACACTCAAATCACATTTTTACAATTAATATTTGAAAACCAGAAACGTCGCCTTTGCTATTGAAATTTTAAGTGCTTTATAATTTTTAGTGCTTTGCGCTTAAGATAATAAAATTGCAGCAGCGACAGTTTTATCTACACATTTGCTTAATGGGATATAATTGCACTTGTATTTTGATGATAAAAATTGTAAACAGTTATGACAAAAATTAACATCAGTTGTATTTTAAATTAACAAAGCAGCCATTGCTTAGGGTAAAAGGGAATAATGGGGTCACTTAGAGAGATCTCAAATAAAATTTTAGTCAAACTTTTTATCGCAACCGCCTTTAAACATCATTTACCTAATTTATTAACTATCATTAAAAATCATTGTCAGTCACTTTGGTAATCAACTTTCGATATTGTAAAATTTAAACAAAAACAAGATTTGACTCTCATTACACTAACATGGGGGTATGGTGGTCAACCTGGGGGCAATCGGAGTAAAAGCAAATCTAGCTATATCGCAAAGATAACCTTCAGCTGAGTTCCACCCAGTGCATTTCGCGTTAGCCTGTTGCCAACATGAGGTGCATCTGAACAACATCTCCTCGTTTTTTTCAAAATCGTTGCATATCAAGCATCTTCAGCGTCGTCATCCTCATCGTCCTGGCGTAAGTCGCCAGTGCCAACATCTTGAGACAGAAGTTTCGTTCTTGTACTTGGCGATTTGCCTTCTCAGGACCCTTCTTCTGTATTATAGTGTTTTTCCCTGACCTTTACCTTTCCATCTCTTTTCATTTTCTGTACATCCTGTTTTTTTTTTTCATTTTCTTATTTTCTTTTTCTATCAAGTTTTCTTTGATTGGCGTTGAAGTTAAAATTGTTGTGTGTTGCTTCTTTCGTCCCTTTATAACAATCGTTTTCTTTGGCAACTTGATTAAGTCAATGCAATTAAACACTTACTTGGTTTGTGTGCCAGGTACTGGTGCGACAATATCTCGTTCAGAAGTGTTTACTTCTTTAGACATCCTAAGAACCGGTGGATCAATTTGTTTTGATGTTCACTGGTGAGTGAACCTTTTTAGATGTGCTGGAAATCGTGCCGGCAGCTGCGAGAGTTGGTGGCTTAAAATTAAATTTAAATTTCTTTATTTGCTAGTAAATAGTAAATATATCAGCAAAGAACAAAAACCAGCATATCTCAATGGCGCGGGAGCTGTACTAAACTTCCAAGTAGCGAGGCCAGGTCGTTAAATGGCGTTCTTAATTTAATTTTAATTAAATTTTTAGTTTAGAGTAACGGCCGGTTTCAATATTCTATCAAAAAATCAAAAATATATTTATTCAAATAGACGCTTGCGCGTTCTTATGAATCGTTAAATTTTACATCGAAAATTAATTATAAAGGTTCGTAAGGCACCACCAATTCGGAAAGCAGTTTCTGTTTAGAAGAGACCGGTATGAAACTCAACAGTTGCTACTTTTCAAAAGTATCAGTTTACCATATAACATACAGGAATAAGTCTTATTCTATCCTACGTGAGTATCAACAGTATTAGCTTCACACATTGGCGTCATCGAGATATTCTGCAATGGTATAATATGCTTTAACCATAAGTTGACTTTTGATTTTACGTTTAAATTGATCAAGCGGCAGACTTAATATCGACTGTGAGATTTTATTATATATGCGCACAATTTGCCCCATGAACGACCTTACTTTATACCTTCGACGACCTTATTTCCTTATGTTTGTCCTTATTATTTCTAGTGTTTATTTTATGTCTGTCACTATTCTTTATTTTATGACGTATATACAAAATATTACAATAAATGTATTGAGAAGCAACAGTGAGTATATTAAACCCTGAGTGAATTCCGGGCTCCGGTATTGTAGATTGCTAAGGAAGATTTGTTGTATGAGTATTTCACATAACGCCGGTCCTCATTAACAATGTCGGTACTACATTTCACACTTGTAATTTTTTAAATAAAACTTATAATATCTAGTGTAATGATGTTCGGAAAAGTTAATCAAAGCGCGAAAATACGACGATACGCTGTCGATCACTCTTCTCCCGAGCGACGGTTAGAATGAAACTACATTGACGTATTATCTACTAGGCCACTTAGGAACACATGCCAAAGCAACGTCCGCTAGTTTGTTGTTTGTGTTTTTTAACTACTGTACGTATGAGCCCCGCGTACGAATGCCTTCCCTATATGATAAATCTATAATAAATTTGTCTGGGCTCTGATCACTCTGGTTTAAAATTTTCAATAAATGACAACATCACTATAAGCAAACTTAAACCCAGGTGTAGACCAGTCACTTCTAATAGAATCTGTCAATGTCAATGTAGAATCTCATCATCTCCGTAAAGATGAAGATCAATGGTTATTTTTTTCATATCTTCTTATAATGATACTTTTAAATAACGCACAATTTTAAAAAATTCAAAAAAAAATTTTGTGACGGGGCGCAGTGGGTATAAATTATAAAAGTATGAAATAATTCAGTGTATGAATTATATGAGTCAGTGGAATCACGACCGTAAATTCTATAAGCGGATACAAAAATCTATTATTTATTGTAATATTTTGTACGTTAGACATAATCTTAATAATTATCTAAAGAATAATGACAGCCATAAACTAATACTTAAGTCTACGACTTAACCAAGTTAAACGCAGAATTAAAACTAAACTTATGTAGCTTATGTATATCATATTATGTATACACCGTTGCGGAATATCTCGACGACGTCAATGTGTGGAGTTAATACTGTACGTAGGCTAAAATAAGAATATTATACTTTAAAATTTGTAGAAAAAGTACGAAAAGATTGCCGCCGCTGTGGGCATCGACGTCCAATCCACGTCTACGGCATTCGCGGCCTGACCATCTAGCCACTGAGCTAAACGGCTGATAGCCACAGCGACGAAAATCTTAACGTCTTTTATCTAGAGTAAAGCAGAATATTATTGCCCACTGATAGTTATTGCCCATTTTAAGGAAAAATAGTCGTGTGTTAATTTTACATGGTTTTTAAAATTCACTAGATAGCGCTGTAATTAAGTTATGGTACTTTCAAAATCGATCCCTGGCAACAATTAAAAGAAAAAAATTACTAATGGTGAATTTTTCAAAAACCAGTGAACAATCTACTGTAATAGGTAAGCATTTTATCAATTTTCATAAGAAATTACTTGCTGAAAGCTTGTTTTTTAATTACTGTTATTGGACACTCAACTATTTTTATATAATTATGATAAAATGAAATGCATTTTCTTAGCGTTGCTTGGTTATTTGTATTGAATATTAAATACTAACGATAATTTTAGCGGTGGGCAATCGCTGAACCTAAATTTAATTGTTTTTAGTTATTGCCCGCCGATCTTTTAGTAATTACCATATGTTAATATTTATAGTTATTGCCCGGTCAATAAATATCACAGTCGAAAAACAGTTTAACGAAGTCGAAGTGTATTGCAAATATCTTGTGTGTTGTATGTACAACTTAAATCCTTCACAATCTTTTTATATAAACAGGTGCATCTAAATCGTCATTTTCAGAATGCCAAAGACACCACAATTTCAATATATTAGAGAAAATTTGCAGAAAGCCGTTAATGCGTTTCAATCGCCGAAAAATACGATGTTCCAAGGTCTAGTCTTCTACTAAAAATCTGAAACACAAAACCAGTTTTGGGCTATCACCTGTAATAACTGTTTCAGAAGAAAATAGTTTTTTTTTTTTGGGAAAAAAGCGGCAAACGAGCAAGAGGCTCACCAAGTTAAGTGGCCACACCGAGTGCTCACCGAGGTAAGTGATCACCGTCGCCCATGGACACCTGCAACACCAGAGGGCTTACAAATGCGTTGCCGGCCTTTTAGGAAAGAGTTTGCTCTCTTCTTGAAGGTTCCCAGGTCGTAACGGTTCGGTAAGACCGCTGGTGGCAGCTGGTTCCACAGAGCGGTTGTTCAAGGCAGGAAATGCCTTGAAAATCGCACTGTTGTGGAGGCTGGACATCGAGCGGCAGGGTTATGTGGGAGTCCCGGTGAGATGGACGGGCCTGCCCATTCGTGCAACAGCCGAGGCTGCTGCGTGGCCCTACCACCGTAGAATTGTAATCTGATATTTAAAAAAAAAAAGAGCAACTGTTAAGTTTCTTGACGGTCTCCTCAATAGAGACATAAGAACTTACATATTAATTATTATGAAACTCGACGTTTCATAAGAACGCGCAAGCATCTATTTGAATAAAGATATTTTGAATTTGAATTTGTAAATAGTATATCGTTGTTATTAATCACTAGTAAGAAGTTATATTTTACAGTTAATATTTTCTCCTCTTTATCACTAAAAAGTAAATATTAACTGTAAAACATAAATTTTTTATAATATGTTTAATAAGGTAAGAATTATTCAGAATACAATTTAACTTATGATTACAATTAGAAGACGCCACAGAGGCATAACTTATTACACTCGTGGCGTGTATAATGTAAATAACTTGTACACGTCAATGCGCACTTATATACGTGCAATGCAACCGGGAACGTATTAAAGGAAAGTTTCAACCACAAGTGTGTTGCAGGGCCGTTTGGTAACGATTACAACTTGAACTCCGGAGCCATGGGACATCGCGGCGACGAGCTGTTTGCGGGTGCTGGGGCACGCGCGGAAATTTACGAGGGCCATCGTCGCCGAGATTTGTTTAGCGAGCGTCCAGCGCGATACCACTCCCAGCACCAACCGGGGAATAATCCACAGATGGGATTCAACAATCAAGCCCCTAACTTGGGCTACAATCGCCGTCCGGAATTGAATGGAAACCCACCGATGCAAGGCCGTAACCCTCCTCCGCAATTCGGCAACAACCCGCCAATAGTGCTTGCCCGCTATCTGCCAGTGGGCTACATGGTGTTGCCACCAATGATGGGGATGGGCTTTGGCAACATTGTGCCGATAGCTGTCCCTGTGTACCAGGCAAATGATGCTCCAGTAAACATGGGTCCCATTATACCGCAAAGGTTTGAAAATAATTTAGAACACTTCGAGGAACGCGGCGCGCACGGGTGAGTGAGCCTTCAAGACTTAGCTATTTCGCCTTCAATGATTTCATTTATATTTATAATCTCGCCCAAATAAAGTAACATCCTATATATATTCCACTATTGGACAAAGGGTACGAGTCTCCAAAGCGGCTTGGCAAATTAGACATACCTTGAAAATGTTTTTGTTTCCATTGTGCATTTTTTTTCCTTCACCGCTGAGCACGTAACACTATTCATCAATACTTTATATTGCAAGCAAATATATAATTTGCGCCACACCGCTCAAATTGTTCGAAAATGTAGAATTAGAAGCGCGCACCAGAACACTGACTATCACGGTTACTATGCGTGCAAGAACTTGTATTGTTCATATTATAAAAATACAAACATCCAAAACACCATGTAAAATTCTTATGTCACAGTTTTGGTCTTTACACTCCTCCGAAACGGCTTAACCGATTTTGATGAAATTTTTTATGTATATTCAGTAGGTATGAGAATAGATTTATAACATTTTTTTTTATTTTTTCTACCCAACAAATAATTTATATGGCAAAACAACGTCTGCCTGGTCAGCTACTAATTATATATATAAATGTTATATTTTATTAAATAAAATAATATTATTCATATGGTATTTCTCATACCACTTATTATTAGACCGTATCAAATATCTCGCAAAAGATAACAGCTCCGTGGGTCGTGGATTAGATTCCCAGCCGAATATGTACTTCTATAATAAACAGATAATTTTTCCGCATATGTTCGATTAGCCTTTATTACTTTGTATTTGTACAACCTTTGCATCTCTTTTCTATAACACAGAATTATTCTTATCCCACAGTAGAGGAAATATTATTAAAGGAACAAAAAAAGAACAGTCAAAATAAGTTAGTTTCAGAACAGTAAAACTGTACTTTTACCTATATAAGTATCCGGAGGACCGAGCTTTACACGGTTTTTTTTTTTTTTGAAAAATCATATAATTTGGAAATAAAAAAATAAACAATAAAGAAAATGACCTGGTATAGAAAAACAAGTAAAAAAAATAAGTGTGTAAATGGCCGTCTGTGTTGGGGCCGCCCGATTACCTACCGAGCTATTATAACATTTTTTGTTGCGTCGAAATTTACCGTCATATTCGAATGATATTTTTCATTCCTTGAAAACAGGGATAAAAGGACATTTTCTAAAAATGAAACCTTTTTCGCCCCCGCATCTACGCACATACTAAATTTCATGAAAATCGCTGGAGCCGTTTCTGAGATTCCGATTATATATATATATATATATATATATATATATATACAAGAATTGCTCGTTTAAGGGATAAGATGTACATTTCAGGGGTGTGCCAAATGCAGTACCTAATCCACCCGCGCAACGCCAAGGTGGCCCGCAATCGTATGGGATGGCGGGGTATCCTGCAGGGATGCGAAACCTCGGAAATCAGGTGTGTAGTCAAACAATGATCGTTACACTTCCAGCTCACAAACAATTGCCAACCATGTGAATGCTAACTCCGTATCTTCCTTTTAAACGGCAAGCGGTAGCGATGGTTGGAGCCCTGACTATAAGTCTCTCGTCGACAGTTACGTTAGGCTTGTTGCTTTGTAAGAGGCTATATAACAAAGGGATGTAACAAAGGGAAGGACTATCCAACCCCTTCCACCCAAATCATTATCACAAGCAAGCAATGGTTGGGAAGGTGGGAAATAAATATCCGATAATAGAATGATTTTTGTAGAGTGTTTTAAATGATATTTCCAACGTGGTATTAAAAATTAATTAAACAATTATTTAAACTTCAGTTAAGGACTCTCTTATTGTGTATTATGGACCTTAACTTTACGTATTAAGATTTATAATGATCGAGGGGCGGCGGTTTTCTGCTTTCTTTTACGCAATCGTATCATGATGACCACAAAACATACGGGAGCTATTGGATTTAACGCTTTGTGTTCTTGGCCAATGAGGATGAAATCGTTCGCAGATGCGTCGCAATGATGTGATGGCCGCAGCGGACGAAGTGCTCATCTTGGAGCAACCCGAAGATGAAGCCAACACACCCTCTTCTGACCTTGCGTCGGCATTCAAGTATGCTAGATAAGAGTCAAGTGTTTTATACACGCAATATTCATTCTTACAATAATAAAATAATTAAAAAAAAATTTCCATGTGTACTCTTTGATTGGAAGAAATATCCAATACTCATAAAATAAAAAAGATCTAGTAACAATTTCCTCAACGATCAATCACAAGAGATAAAATTTATCAAAATAAACATGAAAGCTAATGCCAAACGGTCAATTACGCAGCTGACGGATGTAGTACATAAATAAAAGGATGAACCACGTTCTAATAAATTTCATCACATGCGAAAGCCCGCCAAACGTAGGCGCGCGCCTACAGCTATTGGACAATCATCCACCAATCACGAGGCTCCATTTTAGGCGCCCACTCAAGACTTTTTGCTTATATCTGTCTAACTTCTTAGACACAAAATGAGTATGTTTGTAATATATATGCATAGTGCGTAAATACTGTTAACATAGGACTGGGAACTTATTTTTAGGATATCATAAATATAATGATTTTATTTTTTTCAGATACTAGATGTCGAGCCCGGGATTACTTCGAGGTGTTACGAGCAGATTACCCATTCTAAGTGTCTAGTCATCCGCTAAACGGATAAATAAGATAGATTAGTTACTCGTCCGATCATCGGATTATTAGATAACATTTTGAAAGATTCGAGGTTAAAATATTTATTACAGTCTAAATAAAAATAAAAACAAATCCGGAATAATTTCATGCTATACTGTTTAAAACTTAGATTTAATTAAAAACTTGTTAAAAATTGAGTAGAAACCAATTTTACAATAAAAATATTCAACGATTATTGATAAACAAGAGACAAGATCTTTATTCCTGGTTTATTCTGCAAAGAGAAAAAGTTGATAATGTTATCCAAGTTTTAGAATTAAAAAAAAAACTAAGAATATAACATGAGAAAAATTTTAATGTTAAAACATCTTCTTGTTGAAAGAAAAAAATAATGTACCTAATAATTTTTCCACACTGAACTTGCCAACTGCGCCCAGTTACCCCGAACGACCCCAAAAGACCCCAAAATTTCAAAAGTGTCAATCAATTTTAAAAATAATTCATATATTATATTCTCTAGATTATATAATATTAACTCTAACATAATATCTAATTGTTAATTCAATCTTAATGTAACTGCTCAAACAATAAATGGATTGACTTAATTCTGGGAGTTTTATTTAAAGACATCGTCCTTTAAAAAAAATTAAACTATTTAAATTGACTATAGAATAAGTAGCGGAAGATTGGCACCATTCGTACACTTTTTAGACTTTGATTTTTAAAAAATCTGATATCAAAGATAAATCGTTTAATCTATTATTATAACAAATTACATACATTCAGCTTCCTACTAAAAATATATGCAATCATTATTTCTTCAAATAAATGAATGAAATGCATTTTAATAAAAGATGTCAAATGTCCGAATCTACCCCACTATAGAGGTACATTCGTACAAGTTAAATAAAATAGCAAATCAAGTATGAAAACTCATATTAATTGACATTAAAAATAGGAAGGATGTAATAAACTAAATGACAAAACTTTTATCAACAAAATTTATTAATTTCTTAGAAAAATAAATCAATAAGTAGAAAAAACACAACATAGTGCAGACTGCACTAATTTTTAATCCGGATCAGTCAATAAGAGATAAATATTCTAGTTATTTAGTGATCAGACATAAGTTGAAGATAAACTATAACTACTTAAACATATCTTTCATACACAGATTTCCAATTATCGTAAAACTCATATATGGCTATTTTATTGAAAGTAAAAGATCTAGCAGCACTCGATTTTTCGGGTTTTCTTTAACTTAAACTACTATTTCTCTTCCAAAATCCAGTCTATACCAACCCTTCCAGTTTTATCTCATTTTGGCGGATATGTACATTTCAGAGCTTTAGCATAATCATATGCCAGCTTTCTGACGTGTAATATTGCGAGCCTGTAATGCATTTTTGTGCTTTTTTTATATATTTGTTTAATTGGGACTCTTGTTCTTTAGAAAATAATGTTGATAACTGTTGAATTTAGACTGATACGTGTGGCTCATGCCAACATCATTATGTTTATCATTTACTTTTTTACCCGACTCTCCAAAGTTAATGTTATATTCATCCGCAGTTTTTCTAAATCATCTTTTACTGCCGAGGACATATTTTCTTCATTTATTAATGCAGACCTAGTCTCTTTTTTCTTGTAATTCCGCACCATTTTTGCGTATTTTCTGAAATAAAAAAAACCTGTTAATAGATGTGGGTATATACCAAACAGTTAGAGTATGTACGCGTACGAATGTGCCCATCTGCCCCGAAGGTAAAAAACGAAAGATTTTTACCCACACACAAATCATTTATAAAAAACAACAAAAAAGATACATTATTTCTTTCGTGACCGTAGTTACTCACCAATTAGCAATAATCGAATAGAATTTATCACTTCACATAACCACGAAACACCCGAAAACATCGACAAGATATTTACGCTAAGCGTGCAAAAACACATTACATACTCTAGCATTACTCGCAATGGCCGCACTGGCGGCTAACATCGTTGACAACTGACGGCCGCCCCAGCATATTCCCACACCCAAAGCTGGAATAAATACGTCGTTCTAACAGGCGGTTATAGTGACTGTATGAAGCTTCCCCGTGTACGAATGGTGCCAATCTTCCCCTACATGGTACTTAAGAATATGTCCATAATTCTAATCTCAAATAAATAAAAATAAATCGACGTTTAGGAAATAGAAACAGGCACGATCTAATAAACTTTAACTGGGTTTAACATGGCTTTAACTTTAATTCAGAATAAATAAATTTTATGTCTGCAATTGGTTTTATCATATAAGAGAAAACATAATGTGGACATTTTTATGTTAAAAATTGACAAATGAGCAGGTCAGTGCAGTGACAAAGGAGCCGCCGCCAATCTGCAACACCTGGCGATCCAGATTTGCCAACATTAAAAAGTGTACCCCGGTTAGCTCAATTATCAGACGAAATGCAAAATAGTTATACTTTCACAACCAAAATCAAACAGCAGAACACCAAATCGCAAAAAAAAAATTACCTTGCCGTGACTCAGGGCATTAATGTCGTGGTGATCGACACTTGGCTTGTAGTGAAACCCTTTTTTAAATGATTTTGATTTGACAATAACAGAATTGCTAAATCAATCGATTAAGAATCCCAAAACACTATGGAAATGAATTTTGCGGCGGCCAGGGTGCCTTTAAACTTCTTTGGTGGGTTTGTCCCTTTTTTATGCCACTGTATGTACTCGTGCTTGCTCTTAAAATCATTGTGATGGAACGGTCGAAAATACTATGTGGAGGCTCACCACAGAGCTGCAAAATCTCCTCGTATACCTCACATTTGTTTCTGAAGCAGAGTGAGCATTCGGCACCCATCTTGCACTGACCTTTGGCAGATTCAAATGCTCTTAAGAATATTATGAATGGGACCCACGGATAGCTCAGTATTTTCTGTTATTGATTTCTCTCTTACACAGGCATCTTCGAATACAAGTTTATTAACGATTTTGACGTTTAATTATCATGGCACTAACCGGCACACCGTCACGAGGGTCGTCTTCAACACTTTCTCCGCCCCGTTTGAATTCACAACAAGTGATCTGAATAGTAAATAATTAAGGAGCAGATTCCTTCGTGAATAACTTTTTTAATTTTTTCCTTTTTTTTCACTTTTTTTCACCTTTTTTTCCACAACAATCACAGCGCTATGCTTTATTTTTTTAACATTGTCGTATCAGTCGTATTGATTTCTTGAATAAATGGTGATAAATGAAATTTTATATTTACCCCTCAGTGAGCCTTTAACGATAAATTAATTACGCTCATCATTAGTATATCAACCTGATACCGAGAATAACACATTGAATACACCTTATAGTAAGGTATGTTTTATACATTTAGGAGAAGATTATTTTAATTTAATTCATTGAATTCATACAGTGAATCCCTCTTTTTGTATATATTTGAATTTTTAGCAATTATGCATGATTTAAAAGTATCATTATAAAATTTTAAACCAGAGTTATCAAAACTTAGACAATTTATGATAGATTTATCATATTTTAACAAAATACATTGTCTATACTATAGGTTCCACTGAAAATCAGCTTTCATGAAGTTATTAAACTTTGTCATCATGAAACCTTTTTGGTGCACCAATAAGCATAAAATATTTTTTTCTCTTTCTAACTAAATTACTGTGTTTATGTCTTTTATGTATTTTTTTTGTTTATGTACCAAATAAATATTTTTCTTTCTTTCTTATACATGTGGAGGATACGTTAAGCTAAGTTATGTTACTTGTAATAAATCCATATTAAAATCTATTACTAAAACTAATATTGATTTACTACATGAACAGAGATTTTTAACGAAATCTTTCATTACACACTCATACTGATCGAAATCACCGATACACGCGTACTATAATAATATATACTGTTGACTCTCAACGCAAGATGATTCTATATAGCGTTCGACAGAGTGTGCCACTATATCCTGTCGATTTTTAAACATACTAAATCAGTTCTTACTAATACCATCCACCACCGGGAATAACAATTACTCTTACGAATGAACTTAACAACTTATAGTTTTCTATATCTATAATACTCGTATTACAATGCTTATGTAATCAAATGTCTCTGTGAAGCAGATGACATGATGTTCAATTTCAGGTTCTTTGCCTTTATGTCTTGCTTATTTTGATTTGACTGAGATTTTTGATTTGACTTCAGTCAGAGGTATTCAATATTCTCGCTTGTCCGGTGAGAATAAATATGGATATACGGGTGCGCGACCCCGACTTGCTCAAGCTACTGTCACTGTTCTCCCCAAAATCCTCTCCGCAATGACAGTATCCCTAACCTTTCTTATCCTCTCTTCATCTTTATTATTTCCTGTCACAGCTTGGTGGGCTCCCCAGCTTTTGCTCTTAATAAATCACCTAGAAGAAG